TATTTGCGGCTGGAAAAACTTGACGATGGGGTTGACCTTGGGCATCGGTGGTTCGGCGGTGCCGTTCGACATTCCCTTTTCGGCGTCGCTTGGACCGGCTTCTTGATGACTAGGCTGAGGAGATAGAGGTCCGTCGTCCTCGGTTTCCAAGTTCTTCGGCAGATAGTTTAGCAAAGGTGTCACGGCCTGGATCAGCGAATAGTGATATATGATTGTGAAGACACCAAAGATGATCATCAGGATCATTGGACCCAAGGCACGACGATCGGATGCAGTTCCAATAGCAAATAGACCAATGAGACAAACGATCAAGAGATAGCAACCAACGGTTGTATGTTGCAGTGCTCGAGGATAGACCATGCCTTTGGTATCGATGTTGGCGTTCGTCACATAAAGCATGTTGTATCTGTACGCGAGGTAGAAGAGGTACAGCCCGATAGTAGCGAAGCCCATCACCAGAGGTGCGATAGCGGAATACGTAATAGCTACAAATCGGTTAGCAAATATAGAATAGTAATGCGCCGTCAATAATTCCATACCAATAACGCAAAGGTTAGTAAGTACAGGGAACACGGTTCCCCAGCCCATACCAGCCAGGGTCGACCATCTCTTGTACATCTTTCGGGGGGTATTATCCAAGAGTGTACCCAGGATCTTCGAGATAACAAGGCCTGCGATTTGCAAGAGAGCACCAGAACTGAATGTCAAGCCCTGCAGGATAAAATACGCAATGTAAAAGTTAGAAGCCTTAGGGATGTTCTCGGCGAGCAAGGAAGCAGCTTCCTGTGGCTTTTGAATAATTTTAGTCACAGCACTGGATGCCGCTGAGGCAATGGTTGTGACCAAGAAGACCTGGACAACTTGGAAACCGAAATAGAAATTTTGGGTTCGCAACTCAACGGCTGCTGCGGTTGGCACGCCTCCGAGTCTTGCTAGGACTAAGACAGGTCAGTTCACGATCCAATATGTCGGAGGGATAAGGCGATCACTTACGTCGGAGTACAATAGGCAGTAGAGCCATGAGAACCGCCAAAAGAATGGAAGGGAGAAGTGCTGTGATAACACCGAGAATTACCGGAGGGCAGTCCTTGATAAAGGCAAGGAACGGCACTTTGTTAGTGAGAAAGTTGATGTTGGAGATAGCACCGACGACGGCAACAGGAATTGCCCAGAAAATAATCAATGCGACAACAGCGGCGATAGTAGCAGCATTTCGAATGATAAGCTCCCACCATTTGATGCGCAAGTTTGACCAGATAATGTCCTCAGGGTTCAAACCAATGTAGCGTGGGGCCATGTGCAGCGGCTGATGATGCGCCACTATGAACGCAGGTTAACATTGATTTCATGCGCGGCAAATGCAGAGGAATAAAAAGTAAAAAGGAGGGACATACGCATTTGATATGCAGCCTGTGCGTCATTTTGCGTGTAAAACTCAACGAAAACTGAGGAGATATGTTCGGCTTCACCGGCACGAAGCTTCTCCTGCAGAGATTCAATTTCAGGATTGAGACGCTCAATCTCTCCGCGAGCCCAATTGATGGTGTCAACCTTCTTGCCGATGATCGGCTTGAGTCTGTGAGTGGGTCTTTCAGAAGGCTTTATCCATTTAGCTGCAACTGAGCCGGATTCTCCGTCTGTTTCATCAGATCCAAAGGCGAGATTGGTTTGCTGTCCTTCTTCGTCGCTTTGTTGCCCTTTTGTAGCCTTAACGCGGGCAGCGGTTGCAAGTTTGATTAGTTTAGTCTCAGCGCCCTCGAGCTTGAAGGCAGCGCCGTCGCGCTCTTCAACCTTTTCCAGAAGTTGGTCGATGTTCGGAACAAGCCAAACGTTCTTGACCTTGTCCTCTCCGTACATCTTCCTGATTCGGGCCTCGTCAAGATATTCATCGGGCACAGCCGTGAAAAGAACAGTCTTAGAAGAGATACGCCCAGAATAGAGAGGAGAGAAGAAGTAAGCTTGGCGTAGATTGATGAAGTAAATGTTTTCGCGGGTAACCATAAAGAAAACGAAAGCTATAAGGTTTGTCAGCTTATCGATCATCTCCACTACTTGGACCGGCATGACTTTTGTAAAACATACAAATGAAAATCCAGGCGATGAATGTATGGGCGTAGTATCGGCTTAGATTGCCCGTGACATTGCCAAAGGACAAAATATCCAACTGCACCTTCCCACCTCCGCCAGTTGCATTGACGGGGAAGAGGACGGGCCAGGTGATGAAGCAGCCAACAAGGCAGATGCTGGTGGCAATCTTTAGGTAGCGCAGAAGCAGATAAGCATCCATTGAGTGATGACGAAGCACATAGGTATCTGGCAGCTTCAGCATGGACAGGATCCAGCCGAAAAAGCCAGGTTCGGGAGCGGGAGTGCGTTCCTGCTCACGCAGAGCGCCAATGTAGGTTCTGGGAGCATACTGCCTCCGTTCGCTGCGGCGCAGGATTACGAAGAGCAGGAGCATCGCACCTGAGATGACGAGGGTCGGAAGCAGGGTGGAGACAAGACCCGATGCCGAATTGGAGGCGTTCTGGGGGTCTTCATCGTCCTAGGCATTGGAACGAGATACGGTCAGCAAGAGTTCTGTACTCCCTATGGAGTACATGAACAGGAAGACAAAAAGGGGTATTCATGAGAGGCAATGAACATACCGCCCGTTTGGCGAACTGGACGAAGGTGTCCATGGTTGCTCAACAGCCAGCACACACCTGTCAAAGAAGAAAAAAAAAATGTGATAGGGCCCTGATATAGGGTAAACAAGGAGGAATTGGCCCCCCGGTACAGCAAAATCACGGGCAGCAGAGAAAGGAAAAGAAAAGGAAATGAGTGAGGGAGTGACTGGGCAACAATAAAAAAGAGAGGCAAACGAGGGACAAGAAGACAAGCGCAGCGCCGCGTGCGAGGAGGTGATTGAAAGGAGCAAAAGGCCGGGCGATCGATATTAAGCGTGGTGTGTTGCGCTGGTGCCAGTCGCTGGCTCATGGGAAGCTTCCCCGCCAAGCAAGCCACGGATCCAGGTCTCGCCACACCTGCTTAGTAAGACACGCCATGCCTGTTTTCGGCAGCGGGTGGAGCCGTGTGGCTTGGCTGCGACATGCTGATTGACCGGATCATTATTCTTCCGCCGATGCGGTCCCCACCGGGAAATCACGGGGTCTGAAATCCGCGTCCCTATTGGCCGATCTTGCGGAGATTTGCTGGCTGGCTGAAGGAACCTTAAGTCGATCGCCAAATTTCCTCGCATCACGTAGTGCCCTGATTTCTTGCTCTTGGGCGATCCTCGCACGCCGCCCACACGCAGCTCACGCAGGACCTCAGTAGGGAGTGTTTGCTACGCAGCTTTCATATGTATATTCACCACATCGACCTCAACAGTACGGAGTACTCCGTACTCCGTAGAAGAATACGTAACCATCCACCGCGAGGGCTCCGTCCGGAGTACCCCTGACACTGGGAAATGCACGCTTTGACAATGAACCAGGGAATGACAATTCAACATTCGTTGCTCCAATCCGGGACCTTTGCCACATCCTCCACCCATGCAGGCAGGGACCTTCACTCGTTCGTTAGCGTGGCCGCTAAAAGGCTATGGCCTCGCAGCGATCAACCAGGCGCGCGGGGAAGTAGACACCGCTTCCATCCATATTCGTCACCGCTATGATAGAAGTCACCTCCTAAGTAATGAAGAGACTTCGCCTGGATTCCCTTTGCCCCCCTTGGGAAAATCAATCAAAAAACCCGAGAGTGTGAATTTGTGATTTCAATGGACACCTAGAAGTTTGTGCGTTTGAGCAATGCTGTCATGTTGATATTGACGTTGATATCTCATTGGAAATGCTTGATATAAACTTCAATTATCAATTTAAACAACAAAGTGCGAGACCGTTCCGGATTCTCTCATAGGTCATTGGCCCTTTCTATAATCCATGGCCCCTGATAATCGGTATATAACCTCCAGGACCAAGCAATAATCAAACTAGTTAGGTGAAACACTTGCCCCTCAAACATTCAATCTCAAGGCATATCATCAACATTTTATCAAGGTCGTTGAATCAGCTTTTCCTTTTCACCAGTGACACCTGATGCCCTGGCTATGCTCTCCAAATAAGCTCTTCAACAGTAACGCATTGGAGAATGAACATAATACCCGTCAGGAGAAAGAGAGCGTGTGACAAACCCAGGGCCTGTGGCCGAATGGTACTGTAATCTACCAAGCCACGCCTGAAGAACCCCAATAAACGAGAGCAGAAGGTTCACGAAACCCGGGTTCCCGCGCGGCAAAAGGACGTACCACTGGGTTTGGGCTCACCGGTAGGGAACCTTTTTGCCATTCCAGTCTACCTTGTTAGTTTTGATTGGTTGTGCTTCTACCTTTTGTTGAAAAAATTTCTACAGAATCTAGAGATTTCGCCATTGTTTTTATTTTGTATCCATCACCTCTTCCTGGTGTTGGTTTTATGATCTTATTATGTCGAAAGCTGGAGGAAATTGATATCGGCCTGTCATCCAATTACCATATAGGGTTAAGGGAATGTTACAACAATAATTTCACGCCTTCCCGGGAAATGCCTATATGATACCAGGCATGTCTACAATAACCTCTTTTTCTCTTTCTTTAGCGTTGCACTCCTGCATCTATGGCCCGTTATAGAAAACCATAGCGATATTAGGTGATGATAAGCCTTGCCGGTTGCTGGACAGGTCACGCTCTTCCTTGCTCTATACCGCGCTATTAACCTTGGATACGGGCCTTCTAGGACAATAACCGGACGTATGGCTTTATGGAATTAATGACATTTCTGCCTATATGGTTGACTGTACGTGGGATGTTTATGATATGGAAGGTAATCCAGTTCACACATCTACGAGGTATGTATCCGCAGTACACACAGAGGAGATTTCTATACCGCAATCAAAAAGGCTATTCAGATTCACTAAGAACGCTGGAGAAAATGAAAATGAAGCCAAAAGAAAAGAAATCAACAAATACTCAAGCATTAGGAGGAAAATTACTCTGTCGCAATGCTATATTATAGTTGCGCCTCGAGACCGAAAGGAACATCGAGTTTCCACATAGCAGGAGACAGGCGGACGCGACTCGAAATATAACTATGCATGAGGCTCACTCGTGGCAGTCGACAACCAACTGCGAATTGACATGCTGCCATAGGGCTACTTCAAATTTATCCAGTGATATCTCAAGATCCGGCGGCCTCAGCATCAAAAAACGGAGTAAAAGTTCACTGAACTGATACTTCAGCAGCGCCGGCAGCCTTTGAACGATTCCCATTATGTCCCCCACAACCCAGGCACGCCGCGGGTCTTTCAAGTCCACGTTTGAAGGATCCTCAAGAAGCATCCATAAAAGCGACTCTGTAGATGCCCAGCGGTCGAGATTGTGCTGGCTAATCTTCAGCAACAGTTCCTCAAGAAAGAGGTTACACTTGTGCGGCGAGAGACGATAGTCAAGTATAGACGAGGTGATATATATCAGTGACGCGACACGACAGAGATCGTGCACTGCGCCGCAATTGACGACCCATTTTCGTTCTTCCTTCGGCACAGGACTCGGATGCGGCCCCGAGGAGAGTATCAGATGAAGAGGCGTGGAGAACTGGAATGCGGTCCTTCTGAGAGGGGCCTGGTAAATAAAGTGATAATCTTGGGCCGCAGATTGCGCAATGCGTAGAAAGGATGATAACTTAGAAGCTTCTACAGCGTCCCGGACCACGCCGCATGGAGACATGGTATAACGCACATAATGAACAAATACGTTTTGGAAAGGATAATCTGCCGCACGAGGCCTTAACCGCACCATCGCTTGATTCATATGTTCCGCGGCCCTTTCTTTGCTCCCGTATCTCTCCTCTTGGAGCGATAACGCAGCAAAGGTCATGACGATATTCTCGTCATACGGGTCGCTTGCGGCTTGGATATATCGCAGAAGAGAGCGTTCTGCCGTTGACGTATATTGGATAGACTGGGGCGTCTCTTTTAATCCCGAAGCGTGAGCTCGAAATCTGGCACAGTAAGTAAGAATTGTCACATAAAACGTCATCGGACTGAGCATCGCTTGTCGAAAAGCAGCGATTTTCATGTGGTTGTTTTGGCCAGACCAGTACGCAAGTTTCGTCGTCCAGCAATCTGCCAGCTGTTGAGACTCATCCGTGAGCTCCATGGGTAGAGTACCAAAGGGATCCAATCTTGACGTTCTCAAGCTTATTTGGTTGCAAAGCGAGCAATACGTCTGATTAAGGGCTGGATATATCTCTGTCGCAGGTTCTTTATTCGTGCTAGACATGTCGTCATTCTACTATATCGCCTTAGCAGTTGACACCCTAACCCGGAGGTTTTATATTGGAATCACTTGAGACATACCAGGACGGGGGCAATTCGGCTCAAAGAAACAACATTCGAGTCTGCAGCGACCTGCGATATCTCACTTCTCCTCCAAGGCAGGGTTCGAGGTCGACCAACTCCTTGCCCGTTCACGGCCTGAGAAAGTAATCTTCTCTGCTCCCTCTTTTTCTCTTGAATGTGATGTTTCATCACATGTGCACGTTTCCCTTTGCTAGACGATTTAGCGTCGACAAAGAAAAAAGTGCGTTGGGGAGGCAGAGAAGAAATTCTCTCGTGTGGCAGCGCCGCATCCGACACTGGCCGAGCGGGAGCTATCCGCCGCTTCGCCCATGAAGGGCCTTCTCCTGCTCCTGCGATGGTACTGTCAGCTGTAGCTCGAAAGATGCGGTTCGCTGAAAATGAACTGGTTACCTGACATGGTGGTAAGGATCTACTCGGAAAGAGGATGGACAAGGGGAGAGAAATAGCTACGGTGAGATTATAATCCTGATCTTTCTTCGATGAACGATCAGATCGAAGCTATAAATATAGTATAGATATCAACGTCTTTGTGAACTGTCGAGCCATGTGTCAAGCAGTCTCGGGATTTGCTGAAAATTTTATCGTTTGCCAGAAATCCCGAGTCGATAGAAAGGATGTATCGAAGGCAGGGTCAAGAGAATGATGACTCTGCGGAGAACTAATGCTTTCAGCTCATGCAGAGTTAAAAGTCCGATTGACCCGCTTCACTCCAACAGCATACTTCAATATTACCAGAGCTTTCGATGTGAATCTCGGTTTGCGATCTTGGCGAACCTCAGGTGTCCCATTATAACATCGCACATCGAAAGGTCCTATGCCAAAGAACAGACAAGTACATACAAAACGGACGTAATGAACCTTGGGATTTGCCGTCGTGAGTTCCAAGGAGGATGGGCGGAATGCAGCCTGTTGACGAATGCCAGATCCGATCGTGAGAATCCCTGCTTCAGCTAACCAATTGCCAAATCAAGCAATCGAACGAACGGCTGGAGCTCTTCTGATTGGATCTCGAGAGCTTAAACGAGCATGCAATTTGTGTCCGTGCAGTTGGCCTGCTGCGCTCAGTCCAAAGCTGGCGCGTTGCTCGTTGTCAGTGGGACGAGTGATAGCCACTCGTCACCACAAGCGATATTCGCAGTCTTTTCTTTTTCTCGGTGTCTCGACTGGAACCGCTTTGAGCAAACTCGTTCACCAACTAACACCGAAGTGGCGTGGTAAGGGAAAGCCGATTGAGTGGGATTGGTGACTCCGCTCCAACTGCGCGTGGTGATCTCTTGTTCAGTATCCCTGCCATCCCGGCCGATCGAGACCATGAGGCTGGGGGGAATTTTTCCAATATGTTTTGGAGATCTTGAAGGCCTTTATTCATGGAGTTATTCAAAATATTCCTTCTTGTCGCCGCCGTTCCGCCTGTTTGTTTGAGCTGGTTCACTCATACTTTACCTCTTTTTTTTTTTTTCTTTTTTTTGAAATTGTCAGGGTTCAACTTTGAAGCAAAGTTTCACTCTGCTGCTGTTTTGATTGCTATGGTCATTCCTCGGGTCTGTTTTGGGGTGCATTTTCCCAAAATGTGGATCAGCATGCGCCCTGTCTGTGTATCTCATGCACAACCAAACTTGCTGCCATGGCGTTCTGCATGATTGCTCTCGCCAATGATACCTAGCTGCACGCGGGTCAGCTGTTAACTAAAACATAACTTCGGTTTCTTCAGAACCTCTTCTACATACTATTAATACTAATTCATCCCTTCTAGCCTGACTACGACTGGTATTTTGCCTATCTTCCTGGTATGTATGACCATCATCAAGCACTGCTAGAAACTGCTCCTTGATTCAGCCAAAATATTGCCCCGCCTAGTCCAAACAACCCAGCTTGCATTCAACGCGGTTTTGATCTCAAGGTGGAACTGCGAGGTGGAGGACTAGATTCGAGAGGTTCGCCTAGATCAACGTGGGTCACGTGAGTAGGGTGCTACAAGGTGTAGTTGGATTAGTTATCCAACACCTTTGATATCACTCAGCCGACTGCTCCGTGCTCCGTTGGCAACCCAACCGCTAGTTAGTTAGTTATCGGTGTGATCTTTGGCGGTAAGTCCTTCCCTTGTCGTCGGCTAACCAAAATGATGCTTTCCCAGCAACAAGAACGCAGCAGACTCGTCACAGTGCTACATTCACACAAGAGTCCGCAATGGATATCAGCGACTTGAAGGATGACCTTTATGAGCTATACCGCAATAGATCATCCTACTGGGTGCGAGACATCCCATATTTCAAGAGTTCTTGCTCAAAGATCCTATGGAAACTCGGCCCGGTCTTTACAGAACGCGAGACTTATGGGAATGATGATATCTATAAGACAGAGACATGTGGTACATGTGTTGCAACTCAGGTTGAAGGGCCCAGTCCAGGAGTTCAGGGCATTGCAAAGATCAGATTGCAGTATGTTTCTTTCTTACCTTCTACAGCTGACTATTTCTTCTAACTTTAGCATGTGTACCTAGGATTCCTGATGATCCTGAAAACCCTTCATCAACCAAACCTCAACGCAGCAGCTCTCGTCTCGCATTTGAATATTATAACCATCGTACACTCACAGAACTTGGTTGCACTTGTATCCCAAAGCTGCTAGACTATACACTTTTCACTCAAAAGAAGGGTGATCCTCTTCCTGGTGGCTTCCTTTTCATTCTTGTGATGGAAAGATTGTCAGGGCGCAATTTGGTTAATTTTGCTGATTTGCCCATGTCCGAGCGGGATCAGGTCCGGTTAGCATTTGCGAAGTCAATACGGTATACCTTCCTGGTCTTGTGCTGAAGTGATTCCGGGTTAACAAAGACCGTCATACTGCCAGCGAGTTCTACGCCTTCAGGTTCATGCATAATGACCCTGATCGTCGCAATCTGATGTGGGACCCTGAGAATAAAAAATGGTACGTGAAATAACTAGTCATTGCCATCCATGCTGTTCTTTCTATCATTGCTTATCTTCCATGTATCCTGCAGCTACATAATAGACCTCGAAGACGCGTATCAAATCAAAGTTCATGCCTGAGATTCATTATCGCGAGTGGGGGATTGCTGGGCCCGAAATCAACTGCCACATGTATGGCTTGGATCCAATGGTCCCGCATGATCGCAAGTTCATTAAGGACCCAGACGACAAGACACTCGAGAAGATGGCCGCCGATTCAGCAGGCAACCAGCTTGTGTTTGGAAAATAAACTATTCTTCTTCCATATATGCTTTCGGTATGGTATGGATGAGACCCAAGCGAGTGGTTCTAGAGCCAGCAGAGTCTCTTTGGCCACCACTGGAATTCTGAGGCCTATGGGTTGCTTGCTTTACTATTCTCATTCTTGGGGGCTAGGCTAAACTCGAATCTAAAAGCCTTTCGGAGCCTGCTGTCATAGTTTTTCTTATCTTCCATTTTCCTGATCGCGACGCAGAGGAGGGTCCTGCTTTGCTCCTTGTACCTGAACAGCCTATTCAGAGTGAGTATCTTCTGACTTGCACCTACTATTGGCCATGACTTCCGGGTATTGGGCGGTAGCCGGTAGCCTGGCCTGTAATAACTATGGCACTGATTTAAGCTTACTTATTTAAGCGTAGTTGTGGAGTTATTTCAAAAATTTTATGGGTACTCTGTACGGAGTAGTGTGAGGTTGTTCCAGTCATCTGCTACCTCAGGTCGTTTATTGCCCGCGGATAGCTTTTCGCCGGGTCTACCCCTGATCATTACCTCCGGTATACTTTAGAGATAAGAGAGCGCAGTTCTAAGTCTATGTCCTTTTTCCTACGTCTTATTGCAAGCTATCATCAGCAGTTGACTCCCCTTTGGAATTCAGATAAAAATATCGAAAGGTCCTGTCACGCCTTGTCTAAATATGCTACAGAAAAGTCCTTTTGCAAACTTTGGCAAAAGGGGAAAGGGGAAAAAAGGAGGGAAATACAGTCCTGTGGCGTCAGGCCACGGAGGTGTTTGATTAACCATGGAGCTGTAAATACTAAAGCACCCAAACAGCTTCTTTTTATTTTTTATCAACGTTCCATTTTAAGCTTCTCTGTTCCCTCCTCATAGTTACATCGCGGTTAACATCTTAATTTTTCTTCGCCACCATGTGGTTGCTGTGCTTTTTGGTCTTTTCAAACCTGCTGGCCCATGTTGCTTGCACTTTGCCTTCTGCCGGCCCAGGCTACTTCTTTCAATGGCGGGCAATCTTAATCGTATGGCCTCTGGATGGAATCTTTACGTAGTAAGTACAAAATAAACTCATTGTGATTAAGGGCGCATATCTCATCGCACTGTACTGTAGCTGGAGCACAGATACTGCATGGCCTGTCAATGGTTCCCAATGCTTGATGCTGAATTGCTCGACTCTAGCTCGTTTTCTGACTCCGATTCTGAGTACGCGCCGCTTCTTTTGATGATAACGCAGCACTTGAAAAAGCCAGCAGAGCGTGTATACACAGCCAATAGTCTGTTAAAAGCACATCAAGCGCAGAGAATGCCGAAGAGCGAAGCAATTCTGGAATAAGATATTGGTTTATAACGACATAACCCCAAAGAACACTGGAAATATGCTCGAAGGGAAGACAGAGCCATTCAATTCCCATATTCTTATTGGGAAGGCTGGTGGGCTATAGATTAGGCCTAATAATTTGTTACGCCATTCGATAGTATGAATCATCTTTCCGAGTCGTCCATTGCCGAAAGTTACCCTAGTATTTTGGTCTTCGAAAAGTTCCGAGCTATATGCATAACATGAACCTGAAAGTTCAATAACCGGTCTTGAATTCTCGGTTCGCCTCTCACCTTCGAAGGCTGGTCCCGACTCTCGCTTCCGATACGAAACACAACCCAAACCAGGCTCATTGTGCCTCACTGTTATGCTCGAATAAAGTGCCTAAGCCACCTGAGGTGAAATAGTGAAGCTATATCTCCGATTGAGATCTCGAAGACGAATTTAGTCGCTACATTGAGAATGGAATCACTTCATAGCAAGGCTTGGGTAGCTCGCTCTACGTGATCCATCCTGTTGCGCCACGTAGTATCTTCTCAATAGGAGGTGAGCACCTTCAAGTAAAGTCTGATAAACTAGTGATTTCGCACTTTTCAAGGTAAACCTGTATACAGTATAATACATGATGTTGAGAGAGCTTTGTCCAATTGGATAGCGTTGTATGATGCGTATATACGGAGTACATATATATTATCTATCTTCCCTCCCTTCCAAGACGCAATATATATTTAAGAGCTGGACACTACCACATCTCTAGTCACAAAGCCAGCGCGCCAGCAACTGCTATAAGGCCTGCGAGTTTCAAACCAGCTTTGTTCATAACCGCAGCGTCAGTAAACGTGGCAGCAGGCGGGTTGGCCGATGACCCAGAGGAGGATCCCGAGTTATCTGGGTTTGGAGACGCCGTCGATCCGGTCGCAGTAGCCGTAGCAGAAGAAGAACCCGAAGAAGCAGATGTGGTAGGAGAAGCTGGCAATGAGAGAGATGCTCCATAGGCATTGCAGAGCTGAACAGCAACCTTAGTAGCAGCTGTAAAAGAATTTCGCGTCAGTGAGCAGCCTCTATAACTCAATGGAATTGTACGAGAGACATACCAGCAAAGTCCTCTGGGCTGCAAACTTTTGGAATCTTCTCCAGTAAGCCAGAAACAAAGTCTTTGTCAGTGCAGATGCACTTCACATCAGTCAGGCCGCACTTTGAGGAAGAAATAGCTTCTAGGACGGGTGATTGCTGTCAACCAGAATAAAAGTTAGCAATTAGTGATGGGCAACGCCTATTACAAGCTCAGGGAAGACGAGAATAGAGGGCAGAAAGAGGCCAAGTGGGACTTCATACCGCGCACTGAGGCATGGAGGTAATATCCTGAGCAAATGCCGACAAGGCAAACAGAAAGTTAGCAAACATAGCGCCTAGTTTCATCGTGATAGAAAGGTGTTATTAATGAATCTATGGGGAAAATAGACAAATATTTTCCAGAGGTAGAATCCGCCACTTGGATCAAATGTGCTTCTCGATATAGCCAACGCAGCGCTAAGGAAAAGGGAAATGACCGCTGGATATATACCGGGGAACCTTCCTCGTTGTCTCGGAAAAATTGGGTTTCAAGCAAGGAGAAAGGAAACACGGAACCGAACGGCCTTCTCCGTCCACGAGAGCCAAGAATTTCCCATGCCCGATTCTGGCGCCAGAGCCATGCCCTCGGCTGTCGTTTTTGAACGTCATTTTTCAACGTCATTTTCCCTTTCTTCGAACAGGGAATTACGGCTTCTTATCGGACAGAATATTTCCCTCACATGGTTTCGCTTCGATTTCGTCTAACTGTGCAAGTTTAACAGGCGAATAATCGGATGCAAGCGGCACTTCCGATTGTGTGGACTGTCGAAGTCCGAAGAACGGTAGTATTAAAGTTATCTGATCGCGGGTCCGTCACATGGCCTCTCGCGTTCTCCCTCGCTGATTGACAGGAGTTTGTCGGGGTTTTTGATCGACCTAGCCCAATAAGGAATAGCGGCTCCAGGCCACCGACCACCAGGGTTGATTCGACCAACCGGCATTGGCTAGGTCGGATCAGATAATTTTAACCGAGCTATCCCACGCATTGGATCAGATAAGATAATTATCCGGGACTGCTTGTTTTCCAGTTGGATGGCCGGCAACGAGGTCCCTCCCATCGGACGATGCGTGGGGGTTCCAGCTCAGGTTCAAGACAATAGTTCCAGTATCCAAGGCGAGAAAAAATTTTAGCCTTCTGCTCTTCAAGAATCTAGCTGGCTCGGCCGATGATCGGTGTCCCACTGGCTCTTGTATGATATGAAAGAAAAATCATTTCAACCTCTTGAATTTCATCTCCCTGCATTACTTTTCATCGTCCTTCGTCGAGAGAGTGTCTTCAATATCTTGCTTTCAATTGATTGAAGCCTATTGATCATTGAGGATGAGGAGCCCCTTCGGCGGAAGTAACAAAGCAGCTGAAGCTGGCACAGAGAAATACCAACCAGACATCGAAGCTTCCGACCGTGAGAATGATAATAGTGACGGCATCAGAAGTCCCACTGAAGCGGAGGATGTCTCGAAGGAGGTTCAAGATGGTGTGCGTAACATGGAGGCTGCCACATCAGTGTGGACAAAGTGGCATCTAATCGCAGCATATGTGAAGTGAGTGTTTATCTGCGAGAACCGCAAAGATAAGGACGAATTGTGAAAGATCAAACCTCCTAACACTTCAATTAGCATTTGGCTCATCTATTTCGTCACCTCGATGCAAGAAGTCGTTTTACGCTCCCTGAACCCCTATGTGACCAGCTCCTTTTCACTCCATTCATTGACGGCGGCGACTACCGTCATGTCGAGCATCATCGGAGGGCTGAGTAAAATCCCTCTAGCCAAAATATTGGACACATGGGGCAGACCCCAAGGGTTGGCTCTCACTCTCTTCATTTGGGTTATCGGGTACATCATGATGGCAGCATGCAAAAACGTCCAGACGTATGCTGCTGCGCAAGTCTTTTCCGCCGTGGGGTGAGTTCATCATCATGAGCCCTTTGGCAAACGGTCGCTCATTCTTCGTGCTAGATCTCAGGGAGTCAGCTATTGTATGACCGTTTTTATCGCCGACACGTCCTCCCTGAAGAACCGATCGCTGATGCTCGCATTCGCTACCTCACCCTACGTTGCAACCACTTGGGTCGGCGGGCCGATATCCAAAAGTATTATCCAGGTGGCCGGCTGGCGCTGGGGCTTCGGTATATTCAGCATCGTGGTTCCCGTGGTTGTCTCGCCTCTGTGCCTCATTTTCCTTTTGAATCACCGTAAAGCAAAGAAGGCTGGGATAGCATCCACCCCAGGCTCCGATCGGATATTGAACCTCCAAAATATCAAGAAATACGCCATTGATGTCGATCTTGTTGGAGTCATTATCTTGGCTAGCGGTATGGCGCTGTTCCTCTTGCCATTTAGTCTCTGGTCTTTTCAGGCAGAGAAGTGGAAGGCCCCCATGATTATTTGCATGATCATTTTTGGCGGCCTTCTGCTGATATTTTTCACAATTTATGAAAAATATCTCGCCAGGGTGACATTTATCCCCTTTACCCTTCTTATGGACCGTACTGTTTTCTTCGCAGCCGTCTATTTCTTCTTTGTCTTCTTCTGTGGTGCGGTCTGGGGCGGGTATTTCTTCTCGATGTTGCAGGTGGTGTGGGAGCTGGACATCACCAATGCAACCTATGTTAGCAACATTTATCGTGTGGGCTCTTGTCTGTGGGCACTGGTGGTCGGTGTCCTAATCCGCTGGACTGGTAGATTTAAATGGCTTGCGGTGTATTTCGCGGTGCCTTTGATGATGCTTGGCGTCGGCCTCATGATTCACTTCCGCCAGCCAGGCGTAAACATCGGATACATCGTCATGACGCAGATCTTCGTTGCCTTCGCCGGCGGTACGTGCGTCATCACAGGCGAGATGGCCATGATGGCGCCCTCAGACCACCAACATATTGCCGTCATAATCGCGATCCTCAACTTATTCTCGAGCATCGGTGGTGCGGTGGGAGGAACCGTGTCCACAGCTATCTGGACCAGTCAGTTCCCGGCCGCACTCCACAAACATCTTCCCCCGGGAACAGATGTAAGCCGCATTTATGCCTCGATTATCACACAGCTGTCATATAAGCCTGGAACGGCCATCCGAGACGGAATTAGTAGAGCATATGGTGATGCTCAGCGCTACATGCTCATCACAAGCCTGTGTCTTCTTGCAGGTGCCTTGATCTGCGCTGCAGCCTGGAGAGACATTAAGATCAAGGATATAAAACAGGTAAAGGGAAGAGTGGTGTAAAGGAGAGTTGGGATGACCAGAATAACAACGAAAGAAAAGACTCCAATGTGGATTCCACGATTCGCTTCAGGCTGTGGTGTGAGTCTGGAGTTCGTTTTGAGATTAACACCAAGATCGGGGCGTGAACTTACTGATGGCCAGGTTGTGACAGGAACCAAGAGGATGTAAATCTCAACATTTAAACCCGATAGCAGAAAATGAAGTTTTAAATACCTAGACATCCCATCAAAGCTAATTATATAAATCTCACTCTTAAGACAAATCGAGTCCCAAGCTCTTGGTGCAGCATAGATGCTGGTTGGTTCCTCTTTCCGAGGTTGGAACGCGCTGAAGCCCTAGTAACTAACCAACCATGAAATCTGAATACATGAAATTTCGCAAAGAACCGGGATCTGACGAAGCATGCGACCTTGGTTTAGCACTTGTGATATGCACACAAGTAATGTTCACAGCTGTAGGAGGAAAATGTACGGATAAATTTTCAAATGAAGTGTATGCAGTACTACAGGGCATTTCTAAATCTTCTGTCCATGTGGTTGACAGAGAGATTGAGAACATATACAATCAAGTGTTCCACAGATCAATATTGGGTATAACTAGGTACATACATATCTGGGATAAAATTACAGAACCTGACAAAATAAGTGCTCAAGAACAGAATCACAAATGGCTGTGAAAAAAATATCACTGTTAGCAGCGATAGGGCGACCAGCGGAGAATGAAGAGTAAGAGAATCTAGGCTCATATGGAACACAAATTGGGCCAGCAGTCCTAACAGACACAACAATGGCTACCTGGAGAGCGCCAACAGGCAAGAATGTAGGAAAATTTTGGGAAGGACAATGGGTGTGGAAATATGAAATTTGGGGGTGAAGGGAAACCTCAACCGGGGCTCGACCATACACGTAATCTCGATGTATATGGAGGGAATATCCTATAAAAACGGAAGAAAAGAAAGCTGATTGAGACCAACGTCTTCTAGAGACACTCAAGCTTCGACCGATTTCGCGAAAACGCCGATGGAAACACACAATACCACACATTCGTGAAGACATGACGACATTGAACCAAGAGAAAGAGATAGGAGGACATCACATTACTGGCTGTCCATGCTCGATCTCGTCTGGGGATCTCCTTCGATCGTCTTTCTCCAGTGTTCGGGTAGACAAACGCAGACAAGCTAGAAACGGCGTTAGTAAAGGTGTACTTAGATAATTTTTCGAAGTTAGCTTACCGGAAAGGCCTTAATTTCACCAGTGGGAGCCGGGGATGACCCCCGTCTATCAGTACCGTTAGAAACACCACTGTCGCGCTGTGCTTTGTGTTTGCCATCATAGTCTTCGACAGTTTCATTAAGACGAATACCGGTAGCCCATCCATCGTCCCAGATGCCGACGACTTTAAGCATATCGCCTCGTTCGAGCTCGAATTCATCAGCTGCACGAGGTTGATAAGCCCACAGCACGGCTACCTTGTCGTTGGGGTGAATGTCATCTTGCGAGTAATAGTCTCTGAAATAAGGAAGCTGTTCCGATTGGCCGCTAGCGACGCCCTCTGGAGATGAGAATTGTGCGCCGCTCCCAGATTTTGGAGACGTTGTATCGCCGTCACCAGCGAGAGCAGATGCGCTGGATAATGAACCGTTTCTTCTACCAGTAACCGGAGGTCGTCTTCTGGTGCCACTGGCGGGGCTAGCAAAAGCTTCGGAATCCGACGAATCGTATTTCATGGCAGCGGTGCCACGTGGAGAATCGTCGTTGTTTTGTAAAGCAGACATTCGGGCAACGCGCCCTCCTGGTAGAACGTCAAAGCCAGGGCCCTGAGCCATGTTTCCAGGGGCATATTGCATCGAACTCGTCCCCTTTCGTGGAGGTGATGGTTGGTTGAATATACTGCTGTTCCGGTCACGTCTCTGGCGGAGGAATATGAACAAAAATACCGCCAATGCACCCAACAAGGCAATACCGGCTACAGATCCAACGACAATACCTGCAATTGTTCCACCAGAGAGTCCGGTGCCAGCACCCGCGCTAGCTGACGGGTTAGAACTTGAAGTGGACGACGGGAAGAGTGGAGGTAAAGAGGGCACTGTCGGCAGTTCTAGACCACGGCATCGATTTGTAGCGTCTGCAGCAACACAACATGAATCGGTTGCATTCGGTGAGCTTTCCGCACAGAACCCGCAAAGTCCAAGCAAATTGGGGCCGTAGCCACATTCAGCCGGTTCGTTTTCGCTCCCAGAGATACATTTTCCGGTCAGAGAGTCTGCGGGATTTGCGCATATGGTAAAATCAGAGCGGATTTGGTCCATAAAGTTCGACTTTGGGGTGCCACATAAGTCTGGATTGACCGCAACTAGTTCTTCGCTCGTAGCCGATAATGCCTGCCATAGATTAGCCAGTGTTTATCCCAAATTGAGCATGCGAAGGACGAACACATGTGTCAGCACAAAGCGGTCGCGAATCGTCCGGTGAAACATTGCAAATCCCCCTTGAGCTTTGAACTATCCCGTTGCAAATGACACTAGTGGTATATCGGGCATAGAGAGAACTGGTGTTTGTAAGCTTGACGTTGGAACAGCCCAGAAGGTCTTGATATCTGTGCAGAGGAGTCACAGAGTCAGTCTTCGAAAAACAGAGTTTCGCCAAGTCTTCAAGAACATACTTTCGCTTGACATAGTCATGATGCACGTAATTCTGCAGCTCTTTGTCGAAGTCTTTGACAGAGGAAACGAATTCGAGGAAGGGACTGTGAAAATTTCAGCACGTTAGCTACGACTGCGCGTCGTTCAGAGGGAGCGAGAGAGAGAGAGAGAAGAGAGAGGCGCAAGGCGTACAATTGATCCACAATGTCCTGTCTGGTAGAGACGGAGGCACTGGCGAATGCAGGGCATGTTGTTGAGTCTTTGAGCGAAATGCAGTTCTCTGCCATGGTCCGAGCTCGAGGTGCAGAAGGCCCTCAACGGCGTGAAGAAAAAAAAGAAAAAGAAGATGGTGCGAAGCCTTTCCTTTTCTCGAAACGTAATCGGGTAGGTGACAAGCTGAGTTAAATTGTGACGCAGGTCTTCATTAGAAGTTGGATGGCGGATCCTTCAGTTTACCATTATCCTTTATTATTGGGTGTTGTTTGCTTTGTTGTGATTGTAAGGTTCTGTGCCCCTGACAGATCGCGAAACCGAAGTTGGTCGAATAAAGAAAACGAGAGACAAAAGTGATGGGAATGCAAAATAAGGCGAAGACACACCAGGATTAAGAAGAAAAGTAAGAGGAGTCAATCCGAACGAGTGGATGCCTGACGAGAACAGGCTGGACAAGGGCGACGAGGAGAAGGTGTCGGGGAGACGAAGAAACCGCAAGTCGAGCAGGGGAGAGAGAGGAGACGAGAGGCGTGCGACGGGCGAGCAACAGCAGGAGGGAGGCGGTGATTCATCAAAATAGATTACCGTAGGAATTTACCCTGTATCGTGCCGTAACCTGCCATTCCGTGTGGGGATTGTCCTTTTCCGCCCTACCATACTAATAACCACTGCTAGCCTGGCCAGTGGCTTTTGGGCGAATCCTTGGAGAGAGGTTAAAAAAAAAAAAAAAAAAAAAAAAAAAAAAAAAAAATCTTTCTGCTGCAAGACTTTCTCCGGACGCCTTGACGTTTCATCTGGTCTCTCCATGTTTACATTCTCCATACTTTTCTGAGTATGGAACCGCTAAGGTTATCACCCAGCGTTGAACCACGGATGCTGCAGACGCAGGTGACACGCCGAGGTCCCCTGAAATTAGTTAGCGGGCGCCTGTCACTGGCCACGACGTTGCGTGCTTGGCGCAAAACGGGTGCAAATCACATCGACAACCCCGATTTCGATGTGGTTTGCAAGCTTCTCCATCGCATCAGATCTCGGGCATCCGGTACATCCATTCCGCAATGGGTTGCCCAAAACTACGAGGCAAAAACAGGAAGAGTCGACACCCAATGCTTTGGTGTTTCCGTTCCATCCATAGTGTTCTGACCAACGCCCATCATCCCCCCCCCAAAGGAGAAACTTACCCAGTCAACTAAAATTGTTAACAGTGAGGTTGTCGGTTACACCTTAGATGATTCACAGACTGTCCTGAGTGATAGACATCTGGGAAAACAGATTTCACTATCACTGTTACATCAACTCTCTTCTGTTCCTCTTTCCCTGACATGTGTATGTGTGGAAATTTCTTGCGCCCCGAGGCTGCAAAACACAAGTGGGAGTGGAAGCCCACATGGAACGCAGTGAAAGCACAGTCCATCAGAGATCAAAATGAGCCTTTGAAGCATTACACAGACCCAACCATGAGGACCTTTTGGTATGCATTAGATTCAGAGAATGGTGGTTACCACGCAACACACCGTTGTTCAACTGAGCAGAACAAGGGCGGTGACTAGCTTAGCAGACCAACAAGCTAGCATTCCACATGTCCTTCGCAAGCATTCATTTGAGAGCATATGTGTGTGCATTGGGACCTTTCATGATCAGAGTACAAGTCCCGCATCACTGTGACCTTGCCGATGTGTTTGATGGCCTTAAAAGAAACTCCCATCAATGAGTTGCTTATGGGTCTTTAAACAAAGGGAAAAGAAAATCTCAATCTAACGGCCCCCTGTTGCTTGCTTCGGTTGAAGATTGAAATCGGTATGTTGTTAACGAATTTCCTGATCGGAGGAAGAGCCGTGCGCGGGGCAGAGCTGCGCTGCGCTTTCGACATGATATCCTCACGCTATAAGCCTCTTGGCGATGGCGAACCCAAAGCCATCAACTGCTCGCCGTCAACGCAAAGCAGCTTTCAAGTCTGTCATATCCAGGATGGAGGATCCGCTAACTTGTCCGGATGGGGTTAGCGGGGAGCGTGTCCCACGTGATGCTGACGAAGCCACTTGTTCCCCGCCAACCCGCGTCGCACCAAGCCAACGTCATGATCGATCCGGCCAATGTTCCTCGCTCAGCCCTAAGGCTACCGTGAATCGAATCGACGAGCAGAGACAACAGCATCATGTCCCGATACCACCAGCATTGAGTACCGCATATATATATTGGCCTGACAATTTTCACAAATTAAGATTCTTCACTGCATCACCATGTGCTCCCCCGACCTGTTCCTCGGGCTCCTTGCTGTCTTGTTCCCCCCAGTTGCAGGTGAGACACCGCGCTATTTTGACTTCTCGCAACATCCAAGGCGTTTTATCCATATGTTCCTTCAAATGCAGCATCTAACGCCTATAATAGTATGGATTAAAGTCGGAATATGCTCCGCCGATTCTATCATCAATATCGCTCTGTGCTGCCTAGGATACGTGCCAGGTCTCCTGCATGCATGGTACATAATTCTCAAATATCCAGAGCCCTATGACGAGTATCCAGACGGCTATCAGCCCATCGTTGGATCTGGCACGCATCACGACCCTGAGAATGGGAGCGTTACATATTACTATGTCGCCCATCACCACCGAGACAACAACCGTTCCCCTCACAACCACATCTCACCCCAACGGTCTTACGGAGCAACTCAACAGAACGCGCCCGGAGTACCACCTCCATCTACCAAACCAGCGCCACCAGTGCCTCCACAACATCCTTCTCAGCAAAATGAACCTGCCCGCGGAGAAAGCTCTGGGCAAGGCAGCAGTTCCAGACCACACGATGGATCAAGGCCCCCTCCAACCTATGCTGAAGCCGTGAAGGGGGATTACAAGATCCAATCTTGAGCTGCTTTTTTTTATCGTCTTTGATACTGTTCAGACAGCGAAACTGAATGGTGCTCATGGATTGCATCGATATCCATAAAGCGGTTTGTGGCGTTTCCCGGCCCACTCTGATGGTGCTAAGCAGTCATAATCATCCTGCACGATCTAGCTTTCAGTGTTTCTCTCTTGCCTTAGTAAAGCTATAGTTAGCGATTCTGTCATGGTGTTTATCTTGGCGCAATCCCTGGCTTTATTCTTCTGCCTTGTGTTAGGCCTCAAGACTGTGTAATAATTACTGTTATTTCCGCTGTTCTTATGGTGGGGTTTGGCTGGTTATTCCTTGGAATTAAAGTGATACTGCGAGCGTATATGTATACCTATCTGCAATTGAGTTCTTCTCGCATCAAGGATTTGATCTCTGCACGCAGTTAGACTGCGAATGGAGATTCGTCCCAAGCAAGGAAGATGGCTCTGGGCCCGCCGCGCCACGGCATAGCAAACGCGATTTATCGACGTAAAATATAAAGTCAAACATACCCGGTAAAAAGACGAGCAAGATATTGAGCTTATCCCACGGACTGAAAAGTTCATTGCGGTGGAGCCTCAACTCCATTTGTGCGGAGCACCTGTTGGGCTGTGGACGGAGCAAGCGGCCGTTGCAAAAAGTATTCCCGGAACAAAAGACGCCCGCACATCAACAAAAACACAACCCCAACACCCGCACATGAAGCTGTCTTCATGACGGCCACCTCTGCCCAAATCCAGTCATGCATGCTCTCCCGCTCCTATTCAGACACTCTCTCCGGACAGGAGCCGGTTTCGCGAAATCAACATCGCCCAATCACGTTTCGACCACATCGTTTGTGGTAAAGCTTGCTCCTCCTCGGCAGCGGTCACGGCTCGGATACGTTGATGCTTCGATATGCCTACGTTGCCAATTCCGTGCTCAAACGAGATTTTACTCTGTGCAAGGGGATGGAGGAGGCTCTGGAAAGGAGAATAAAGAGGGTGGCAGTCTAGAGGGGGGAAACCCGACCAGTTCGACCGACGCGAAGCGGGACCAGACTTCCTCTCCGGATAGCAGCTCTACGTTGAAATCGTCAGATAAAAGCCAAGCAGAGGAGTCTAAAGATGGCCCAGAATCAAGAAAAGAAGACGGCGAAGCCGAAACAGGAGGAAGTCTGCCCTCTCATTGGGAAAGTCGTCGGTCGCATCTCTCGAAACAATTCTCCCAATTGATGGACAATCTACAATCAAATATTTTCATTGCTAATAGACACTTGAACGACTTGACTGGCTATTCTGCAATTGAGGCTTTAAAGAAGAATATAGTAGCACAAGGTACGTTGTTCGTTTGGTTTCATTGCTCCTCAACGTTTTCTTTTCTTTCCTTCCCCCTTTTTTTCGCCTCTAAGTGCAGCTGAATAAAACTGACAATCAATTATCTGACAGAGGAACATGTCCGACAAACGCGCACCCGAGTTAGAGAAGCCAAGGATGCATACTCAGCCGCAATAAACCGTCGCTCTGCTTCTCAACGTGAAGTAAACGAACTTCTCCAACGCAAACACGCTTGGACCCCAACTGACCTCGAACGATTCACATCACTATATCGCTCTGACCACGCCAACGAGAGGGCTGAAACAGAAGCCCAGGATGCTCTCATGGCTGCTGAGCGTGAAGCAGAAGAAGCAGCTGGCCTGTTGAGCAAGAGCATACTTTCCCGGTACCACGAAGAGCAGATTTGGTCTGATAAGATTCGACGGATGAGCACATGGGGAACTTGGGGCCTTATGGGAGTCAACGTGTTGCTGTTTTTGATCTTTCAAGTCGCTGTCGAGCCGTGGAGGAGAAAGAGGCTGGTCAAGGGTTTCGAAGAGAAAGTTATGGAGGCCATAGAGAAAGAGAACGGAGCTCAAAAGGAGTACGCGGAATTGGAGGGCAAACCGGCCGTCGAGGTCATTCCCCCAGCCGTTCAAACCCAGCGGCTCACCGAAGAGCTAGCGTCCGAGGATCAGGGCGAAAATATACCCACTTTCACATCCGCAGCACCGTCCGATTTGTCTTCCCAAGAAATGCAGCCCGGATTACCCATACAACCTGAAATCGAGCCTGAACTTGAACCTGAACCCGAACCGATCGTCGAACCTCCTCTTACCACGATCCTACCACCAGAGGCCTCTTTATCCCCCGATTCCTGGCAACAAACGTTCCGGGATCTATTCAGCGAGCGACGCGTAACTCTTTCCCAACGAGACCTGACGACAGTTGCCCTAGAAAGCGCAGCCGCCGGCGCGGCTGTCATGGGTGTGCTGATTGCCATTTTTAGGCCGCGGTAAAATAAAGAAAAGAAATCTACTATATGTAGTAATATGTGCATGATGCTGAAAACAGAGCTGGTTGACGGGCAAATGGGAAGGAAAGAGGAGAGATGTATCCATCGATATGTAAGTTTTGTATAGAAAAAAAATAGCGTGTGATTAGATTTGTATATAGATATGTTTTTTCCTTGGTTACTGACGATGTAATTACTTGATATTGAGCGGCGTTTGCACTGGATTGTATTCTAGCTACGGAGTACAGAGTAGATGTGCATTTTTATAGGTTGCTCTACATTCGAATTACTCCCTATTATACGGAGTACTTAAAAAGTTATCTAAAAGAAGTTTGTGAACGCGGAGACTTTAGTAGGAGTCCTGGGAGTTCTCTTTTCTTCTTGATTACCTACGAGTCTTAGCGTCTATCATCGTATTTTATTAGAAAGAAAGGAAAGAGGGAGTTGTGTATATTTTCTGGTGGTACAAAAGGAAATAATATCAAGGCCTGTAGAGCGCAAGGGGAACAAAATACATATATGAACAGAGTCAGGTTCTCTAAAAAAGGAAAAAACCCAAGGTAATCTTGTGGGAGGCGATGTCAAAGTCTCCCGCTTTTTCTCTATACGAAATCCAAAGATGATAATTCCTTCTTTCCACTATCAACTCCCTTTAACCGACCGCGGAATTAGTTCTACAGGTATAAGACGAATAAGCCCCTCCCTGCGTATCCCGCACTCTCCGCTCCCGTAGCCGTCGCTCCTCTCGCTTGATATCCAAGAGGCTTAACCGATGACAAGGGTGTCTTCCGATGGGAAGTCGTATTGAGGAACCTCGAGGTTAAGTGGCGCGGGACCTTTTCTGATACGGCCGGAGATATCGTAGTGGGAACCGTGGCATGGGCAGAACCAACCGCCGAATTCACCGGCTTCACCGATGGGCACACAACCAAGATGGGTGCAGACACCTATACAAAAACAATTGAGCGTGGATTCATTTGCGAAGAAGTTGGAATCAAGTGGGCTGGGCAGGGACAGATTTCACATACCCAACATAACGAGCCACTCCGGTTTCTTCACACGATCCGAATCTGGCTGAGGGTCTCGAAGGGTTTCCCAGTTTGTGCTCTCAGCTTCAGCGATTTCGCTGGCGGTTCGGTGACGGATGAAAACTGGCTTTCCTCGCCATTTGATGATAACCTGTTAAACCAACCAAATGACAGCAACATCGGTCAGAATCGCCCAATTTGATATGAATCATAATTCGGAAGGGAAAGACGTACGTTTTTGCCCTCGGGAATGGACGCGAGAGAGATTTCGACCTTAGCTTGGGCGAGAACGTCGGCAGAGGCGGACATATTAACGAGGAAGTCTGAAAGAGCGCAATTGATCAGTATCTGGAATCGAATGCGCCCTGTTTCCCGACTATCCGTTGATTCCCTGAAAAACAACGACGCCAAGATCCATATCAAAGAGGCGATAAAGAGGCCCAAAATCGACGTCAAACATCCGGGATAAAACGTACCCTGCACAGTAGCCTTTGCTCCGACGGCACTGACTAAACCCATACTTCCAGCGACGAAATACGAGAAGACTTTGTTCGTTGTGGCATTGCGAGGGCTGGCGTATTTCTTGAAGCTAGGGATCTTCAGGGACGAAGCACTCTCCTTGCTGCGACCAAAGGGACTGTCGAAGGACGAGGTCGGCGCGGCTTCCGCTGTAGATTTGGCTCGGAGCTGCTGGGAGGAGGCCGTCACGGAAAGTGTGCGTGGGAGAGCAAGGTTTTGCCGGGCGCAGGCCCGGACGAGCGACGAGGCAGAGGAAGCGGCGAGAGGAGGCATGGCGGATGAGACGATGGCCAAAGGAAGAGGGGAGAAGAGGAACACAATTGAGCAGGAACCCAAACGGCGTGTGGGGGTGGACTGACGGTGTCTGAGCGAGAGAGAATTGCGAGGTTGAAATGTTGATGTTGCGAATTCGTGAAAGTCCGGAATCCCGGGCACGCTGATTGGCTGGCCGCCTTCTCCACCAAGAAACAGCCGGCTTCACGCGCTTCGAAGAGAGCAGAGAACTACGGAATCCTAAGAGACGGTGCGAGATGCTGCGAGATGCACTTCGAACTCTGTCAGGGCTGATGACGGGCCTACAGGGGGACGTCTCTGGGGGGTCTACGGTTGGGCAAGACTGTCAGTGGCTTCGAACCACACACATCAATCGATTCACCTGACTGCTTTTGTGTGGAATCCAGCCTTAAAACCGCAATGTAGGTATGATAGCATGCTCCGAACTCCTTATCTCCGAACCTGCAAACAATCGCCCATCTATTATGCGCGTTAAACCTATCGTTATCCGCCAGAATGCTGCCTCGATTTTGGAATGGCAGAGGTGTCGCCGCCACGGAAACGGCGCGGCCCTTAGCGAATTCCGGGAACAAGCAAACCCAGCCGTGACGAAATCCTCAACCGCTCATGCTGACATCCTTATCGACGGGTTCCTCATCCGCAGGCTCCTCGTTTACAAGTGCGCTGCGTGTCCGTGAAGAGTGTATGACCATTGGCGGGCGAGGCGAAGACTGTGCTCCGTTCGCGTCCAGGTTCACCATCGACTCCTCGCGAGACATCACCGATTCGCCATTCGCAGCCAATCCTTTCCTATGCAATGTACGCTGACCTTTGGGTCTCTCGGACTCTTTAGCTGCCTCCCGCGCTCTCTTTTCCTTGAATTGTTTGTACGTCGTAGTTTTCGGGATGACATCGGAGAGGAACTCCAGATTATCGATTCGAGAAACGGCAGTTGCTGCGGGGGAGGGGAAAAAAAGCATAGTAGATTAGCATAAAGAGCTCTGTTTGGGATTCCAACACGGTATCGACCCCCAGGGGTAAGGAAAGCCATACCAAGGTCCTTATACTGTATAGTTTTCCGTGGCTTTCGTTCGGACTTCACGACGTTGTAGCTCTGTTCTGCAAGGTAACGGATAAACATCTCCTGTAAGCGGAGTGTCCCAATCAGCAAACCCAACTCAAGGCTCCATCTCGCTCAACAAAAAGGCAGCTTGGATATACCGTAGCGACCGCGATTAGAAAGGCTGCATTGTTAGAACATTGTGCAATATCTTCATCAAGGTGGATGATCTTCTTGATCCTGGTCACTATTTATTGTCGCACAGATTGTCAGCCTTAAAAATTCCATACCCAAGCGAACTGTGATGGAATCAAGCAAGCAAGCATACAGGGCAGGGCAGTTCGCCCACTCGCCTCCTTGCGTGGAGGGATCGCGGCGGTGTTGTAAGGCATTTAGGATGCGTTTCGTTATGGACTTAGCCTATGGACGGCATATAGACTGAGGGTGAGCTCAGTTTTCTAGTTGTAAATGAAGCGAACTTGTAAGTGGCAATCTAGCTAGGATATTGGACGGCGTTGCGAAGGCTGGCAAAAAGTAACTGGGAAATCTGGAGAGCTGAGAAGGTTAAGTTTCGACATCTCGATGATTGGCCGCGAACCTCTCCGTCTTCGCCGATGGACAGCATGCCTTACTCCGCAGGCAACCGGTATATCTTTGACAGCTTCTTACGACTTTGATCCGGCGCAGGCCTCGATTACGGTACTTCTATAACAATTTATCGTCTGCAGCCGTGAAGCCGCGCTAAATACCAACGGTTGCGCATCAACCCAACCACCCCGACGGCGTTCCTCCACCAGAAGCGGCTGGGCAGGGCGACCCTAAATATCACCGACGCGAGCTTGACACGGTGACATCGATATCCAAGTACCAAATAATGTGAGCTGCCGCCGCAGGATGGTAAAGTGAATGCACATTCCGTCGGTGTGATGAACCCCAACATATCCTCCCATTCCGCTCCACGCCGCCGCCCCTCCTCCCATACAATCCCCGCCAAGCGTCACTCAGGCCTTTCTTTCCTCTCAACGGTCGACCATGAACCCAATACACCTATCACGCCCGTCACGCCTGTGGCGGGAGAACTTCATTCGCAGAATCCTACGATAACCGAAGAAATCAGCGAGATCAAGAGATATGAGGACTTTACGACAATCGATTGGGTGCAGGATGCGGTACATGAACAGGCCCGACGGCGCGCGCGGAGGAAACAAGGAGCTCGATTTTGGGACAAAGAGGGTGCGTTTGGCTGGAGGCGGAAAGTTAGCGAAGCTTATGATGCCGGTCAGGCCTGGCTGGTTGTGACTATTGTTGGAGCGGCCATTGGCTTGAATGCCGGATTCCTGAATATTGTGACGGAATGGTTGGCGGATGTCAAGCTGGGATACTGCACTACGGCATTCTATTTGAATGAAGCATTCTGCTGCTGGGAGGCAGAGAATGGAAGTATGTGTGATTAAGTGGACCTTTTGCCGCGACTCCATCTAACTGAGACTATTTGCAGAGTGTCCGGAATGGAAAAGATGGAGCACGCTACCGCCTATAAATTACGTTGTTTACTTCGTCTTTGCTGTAAGGTCTCTTTGACTCTTTGCATGGTTGTCATCCTTATGTGCTCTTAGGTCTTATTTGCCTCCTCCGGCGCAGTTTTGGTCGACGCGATTGCCCCTTACGCCGCCGGATCCGGAATATCAGAAATCAAGGTTATCATTGCAGGATTTATCATGAAAGGATTTCTTGGGGTGAGAACATTGTTGATCAAATCCATTGGTCTGCCTTTGGCTATCGCCGCCGGCCTTTCAGTGGGAAAAGAAGGACCTAGCGTCCACATCGCCGTATGCACAGGAAACGTGATTTCTCGGTGGTTCAGCAAGTATAAGAGGCATGCGGCTAAGACCCGGGAAATCCTAACGGCTACGTCTGCAGCCGGTGTAGCAGTCGCCTTTGGAAGCCCCATAGGCGGCGTTCTATTTTCATTGGAGGTATGATGCGCGCCTTCCTGTGGTGTGGAGAAGTCATTCTTATGATCATAGGAAATGGCATCTCATTTTCCCCTGAAGACGCTGTGGAGGAGTTATTTTTGCGCCTTAGTGGCAACCGGTGTTCTGGCGGTACGTACCATCGCCGAGCCAGCCTTCCAACGCGGATATCTTTGATGCTAACTTACTTCCAGGCGATGAACCCGTTCAGAACAGGTCAATTGGTTATGTTCCAAGTTAAATATGAGAGGACTTGGCACTTCTTTGAACTTATTTTCTTTGTGATACTCGGCGTTTTTGGAGGATTGTACGGTGCATTTGTTATGAAGTGGAATCTACGGGCGCAGGCGTTCAGGAAGAAGCATCTCTCGCGCCATCCAATTCTCGAGGCCACAGTGCTGGCTGGTCTGACGGCTCTTGTTTGCTATCCTAACATGTTCATGAGAATCACGATGACTGAAATGATGGAGATACTATTCCGTGAATGTGAAGGAAAACATGATTATAATGGGATCTGCCAGTGAGGACGCTCTTTACTCAAGATATTCCGATATTATTTCTGAGACTGACATTCTTAGGGCTGCCCATCGGTGGTCGATGGTGTTCTCACTCTTTATGGCAACGGTATTACGGGTTCTTTTTGTGATCATATCATATGGATGCAAGGTTCCAGCGGGCATTTTCGTACCATCGATGGCAATCGGGGCGTCATTTGGGCGAATGGTCGGAATACTCGTCCAAGCCCTACAAGAATCGTTCCCACACTCAAAATTCTTCGCCGCGTGCGAGCCAGATGTCCCGTGCATAACCCCAGGAACGTATGCGTTCCTGGGTGCCGGCGCAGCGTTGAGTGGTATTATGCACTTAACAATCTCTGTTACGGTTATCATGTTTGAATTGACGGGCGCCTTGACTTATATTCTTCCTACCATGGTAAGCTTGCCGTTGAACGCAGTAATGTACGATCCGTACTAAAACACATGAGTAGATTGTTGTTGGAGTGACGAAGGCCGTCAGCGATCGTTTTGGGAGAGGTGGCATTGCAGATCGTATGATTTGGTTTAACGGGTTTCCTTTCCTCGACAGCAAAGAGGAACACATCTTTAATGTTCCAGTTTCTCATGCCATGACCAGTAAACCCGTTGTCCTACCCGCAACTGATTTCCCCGTCAGAAAAGCAGAGAGGCTACTCGAAAACAACAAGTTCCAAGGCTTCCCTATCGTGGAAGACCTGACATCGCGTACGTTGGTGGGATTTATCGGTCGCACAGAATTTCAGTACGCCATCAATCGAGCTAAAAGAGAAGATCGTCTCTTCTCGCCAGAGGCGAAATGTCGATTCGTCCCTCAACCCAGCTCATTTCAAACCACGCCCTCCGCGTCTTTATCGACATCTAACCTGTCGCAATCTTCGGGTCGATACTTTGATTCTTCCATAGCCACACCTTCCTCCTCTCGGCCTGTCGAGGAGCATCTACCACCTCAAACGTTTGACGACATAGCTACACCCTCCGGAGTCCGCTCGATCGATTTCAGTTCATACGTTGACGTTGCGCCAATAACCGTGCATCCGCGTCTTGCCCTCGAAACCGTGATGGAAATATTTAAAAAGATGGGTCCGCGTATGATCCTCGTTGAACATCGCGGTCGATTATCCGGACTCGTCACGGTGAAAGATTGTTTGAAGTACCAGTTTAAAGTGGAACATCAGGAGCTTGCGGATGCAAATGCGACAAGTAGCGATCGACTTGCCGCAAATGGGGGGAAGGGGGAGGGGCTCGTGGAGCAAAAGGTGTGGGAAATTATCCAATGGGTCGTTCGGAAGGTTGCGTTTTGGAGGAGACGTGGTGGACGTTCAGAAAGGTTTGAGGATGGGAGTAGGAGACCGAGAGACAATTCATTCGATATTATCGATGGAACGGAAGATGTCGATACATTTGATGGGATTGTTGAATTGGAGGAATAGGAGGACGGAAGGTGAAGAAAGTAGTTTTGGAGAAGGATGTGACGATAATTTTGATGTCGATAGAGAATAGATCCAATAAGTCTATCAAGATACCTTGTCTTACAGGGTATGTCATGTATCTACTGTACATTTCTTTGCTCTTTGGTTCGAATAGATAAGATTTCATACGGGATTGAATCTCACTCTCGTCGCGAGGAGTCCTCGTCTTGGAACTCGATCAAATCATCCGAACTGCCACCCCTACGTCCTCCCAATTCGTCCTCAACCGCATTGCCATCTTTTGGCGTTCCCTTTTCATCCCTCAGTCCGACAATGATACATCCCGTCGCCATGATGGTTGCACCAAGCCACCACAACGGCGCCACTCGTTCCCGGAAAACTACCATACCCAGAATGGCGGTGACGAGGAAGTTAGCTGTGGTATTTGTGATGGTGACCTGTGTTGAGGAGCTGGCGGCAGTCAAGGCGCGAGTGAAGAGAGCCCACATTGTTATATTTGAAAGAACATTCAGGGCGAAGAAGAACTGAAGCATAGGTGTTAGAGAGGTCATCCAATAGGAATATCAAGCAGAGATGGCTCTGGGAATTCCAGGTATATGCCGATGAAAGGCAGATGGGATATTGCATACAGCTCGGACAATATACTCTACAGCAATATCCATTGATGCTGAGAACGACAGAAAGCGTGATATTCCCTGTGATATGTCGGTTGTGAGCTGGGTAGTTGTCCTTGTCACAGCGTTAGCGGCATTGAAAACTTCAGGTGAGAGGATATCTGACATTCCTAGTTCTCTGTTTACGAATGTCTGATTTTTGGTGTATGGATAATAGATTACACTTACAACTTTGCGAAGACCCCATTTAGAGCAGCAAAGGTTCCGCTGGAAAGGGCGAGCACTAGCCACTTTTGCGACATGGCGGCCATGCTTTTCTCATCTGATCTCGCCGGCTGGGACTCCTTTTCCCTCGTTGGAGGATAATTCTTCTGGTCTGTGATTCCGAGAGACGGTCACACACGGGAAAACTACAGTTAGCAGCGTATCCCTGTTTGGTGATTTTATCACTGCCTCACGACGCGTTTTTGGTAGTAAGAGCAGGTAAGGTATCTCATAGCCCAGGGCACATGGAGATGGATGAATTGAGCATTGCTTAAAACAACATACCAGTTCCGCACCCTGAACCGGTTTTCTCCTGAGCTGCTTGCTGCTCACAATTCAACGTGTGCCTTTGACGTTGCCGCACCATGCTGGTTTCATTGTCCGTCTGCGCGACAGATTATGCGTGCGTCACGACGACTGGACTTGGCTCGCCTCAGCGCCGCCGCCGCCCGGGGATTCAGCCCGACCCGGTCTTGGCACCCGGAGTTGCGCACGCCAAGACTTTGATGTCGCCAGCGAGAGCGAGTTGGGGGCTCAGCGCAACTTCCGGGTCAACGTCAAAAAAACACCGCCGGAGCAACGCGATATGCGACTGGAATTATTTCGAGAAACAACGTTGAAGCTATAATATATATATATATGAGAGGTCGTCTAAAATCGTACTTTTTCGACGTCGTACTCCGAAGGAGCAGATGTCGCGTAGCCAAGTCTATCATCTTCATCCTCATCGTCGTCATGACCGCCATCACTACGGCGACAGTCTCTGAATCCGCCATCTAAACGTCTTTTCGTCACCTTCTCCCAGATGCTCGTTCTCCCCGTGCACCCTCACGTACCGAAAGCGGTCATGCAGTCGACTTTTCCTCCCCTGCCAGAACTCCACTGACTCAGGCACAAGCCTGACCCCTCCCCAGAACGGCGGGAGAGGAATCTCTTCGGTATCCGCGAACCTCTTCTCCATCTCTTTCACCCGATTCTCCAGCACAGAGCGTCCATCATCCTCTTCTCCCGATTGAGAATTAATATCCTTAAGGCGGCTAGCAGCCCCAGGAACAGCATCCACACCCTCCATATCCCTCGGCTCCGTCGACCACAACACTTTACTCTGCTGACTCGCCCACGCCCCAATCTGGCTCCCTCTCTCCCTAACCCGCCAATACGTCTCGCTCTCCTCGCGGCTCAACATTTCAATCAGCCCTTCAACCCTAACCTGCCTCTCCACACTGGGCCAATTGAACGTCAACGCCGCCCATCGATTGCCCTCCAGCTTTCCCTGCCCATCGTCAGGAATCACACTCCCTTCCTCCCCTACTTCTTCTTCTTCCCCACCATTAACATCGATCCCCGTCTCCGTACCAAACACCTGCCCTCCCTTTCCCGCCCGACTGCCCCAGTTACTATACACAACCCACCCCCGCTCATCAAGCTCTTTCAGGTATACAATCCTAGCACTCACACGGCCCGAAGGCATACTCGCAGTAGCCAGCGTGCACGTCTCCGGTGCGGAGGATGGCGCTAATCTAGCATCCCGGAACCAGGTGTGGAACTGATGTAGCGGATTGGTAGGATGGATCTGGGAGAAAGTCAGGGGTGGGTTGGTGAGGAATTGATGGGCGCGGGCGGCGCGGGAGACGACGGCGGCATTGGTGGATGGAGTTGAGGCTCCGGAGCGGGTGGGATCGTCGATGACCGGTAGGTGAGGCGGTAAGGGAGAGGCAGAATGATATTTTGCGGTTTGGGGGTCGATTGTGCTGCGTGGTGTTGCGATGGTGATGGTGGGGGCCGCGGCGGAGGAGAGGGGTGCTTGGATGTCGCCGGGTGCAACTAGGGATGGTTGGTCAATTGGGGCTTTGAAGCAGCGATTTATTTATAGGAGGATGTTAGGCAACAGTTGAAAAAATGACATACAGATCAACCTCTTTGGGTGGTGGTGCGGGTGTGTTTCGTGGTGGTCATGGCCAGCATGCTCCCCCGCGGACGGAGGGCTGTCGCGAGTCATAGCTTTGGTGCCTTTTCGTAGAAGAAGAGACAATTGAGAGACCAGGCCCCAAGTCCTTTTGCGAATGGAAAATGGAGGAGATATCATTCACTAATTCTATGGCACCATGAAGAACAATGATCTGTGAAATTTCACTGAAAGAAAAGCAGGTCGAGCGTGTCGTCGTAACGCCGATGGAGGCGGGTGGCTCAGATATTCAAAGGTGCCGAAGCGCAACCCAAACGGCCGATGGTACGCGGAAACCACCGTCGCTTCGGCGATCCTCGGCAGGCAAAATACCATAGAATTTCGAGACGCCTCCAAAGAGAGTGTTATGGGCGTGGAGATGACACAAAGGTAAAATGGCCTGATATCTGCGTTGGTTTTGTTTTCCGGCCTTCCACGAAGTCTTTTTTCAGCGGTTCCGAAAATCAGCCCATGGAACGGAGTATTATTACATTTTTATCAACAAACAGAATCGACAATGCCTACAGGGGACCCCATGATTCACACATATTTCCATGTCATATTTTCTTCTTTCTTCTTCCTATATCCAGCGTAGCAAGGACAGCATATCTATCGCCGCCAAGCCACAATTATATAGCCTTCCAAGATCCAGGATACATGACGTCATAACAAAAAAAGGTAATACATCATGAGCCCATTCGTACCTCGATCCAGAAGAGAGTAGAGATGTGTCTATAGAATAGCAAAAAAAAGAAAAAGCCAAAGTCCCCAAGCCATGTTGGAAAATTGAACCCAGTCCGCCGAATAACATAGGAGAAAATAATAAAATCAAAAAAAGTAAGATATCTTCATCCAAGTTAACGCCATCCGCTATGGATTATGTACCGAATGCTGCAAAAAACAATCTTAAAATTTTTTTTAGACAAGGAAAAAGAAAAGAAGAAAAATGCATGTATATCTCTCACTGGAAAGGAAATGAAAAGAAGCTGTGGGCTGAATCAAAAATGAACCCGGATATCTTTTTCGAAACAAAAAAATATATAAAATCTTTTTCCTTCCTTTCTTTTTTTCTTAAAAAAAAAAAAAAAAAGGTAGGTCGAAAACACGATTTAAAAAGTGTCTATGCGAAATTTGGAGTGTATATCGAATCAAACCACAGTGACGCATTCCAGTAGAGACCGAAAAAAACACCAGTAGAGCCAGTTCCAATCATGCACCGACGGGTGTAGGTGGGTTGCCGCCGCTGACGAGCTCGACCACTTTACTGGCGACAGCAGATGGATATCCGCGGGAGAGCATCTCCTGAACAACAGCAGACGCACTCTGGCGGTCTTCGGCAGCTAAGAATGCCCGAGTCATCGCTTCGTAGGTGCTGGGTTCGCGCTTTTGTATACCGATACTCTCGTACACGGACTTGGCGTTGTTCACGTTACCCTCAGTGGCCCAGCCGTGAATCAGAGTGTTGGCGATGTACGGTGTCATTTCAACACCCGCCTTCGTCATACTCTCGAGAAGGGCGGGGGTATCGGTGACCTTGTGGTTGGCGACCATGGCTTCGAAGAGGGCCTGGTAGAGACATGCCTGTGGCCTGACGGCACGGCTGGATAGCGCGGAGTCGAAAACTTTGCGGGCACCTTCCATGTCATGCAATACGCATCCCTTGGCATGAACCAAAGACGCGAAGTGCACACCTTCGGGTTGCTGGCCAGTGGACCGGATGGTCTCAAGGACACCCTCTGCAGCCTCCATATTAACAGGCTCCAATGAAGCATAGGCATCGATGAGAAGTTTGTACGTATGCATCGTTGGTTCGATGTTCTTTGACTTCATCCGTTCGTAGTAAGCCAGGACCTTCAATCGATCACGCTTTGTATTGAGGAAGTATTGGATGAGCGAATTATAAGGCGCCGGTCGCGGCTTGTAGTTCGGCATCGACTCCATCTCGTCGAACATCTCCTCAGCAAAACGTTCATCGCTGACCCTGCAGAGTGCGTTGACTATCGTGCCATACGTGACACTTGTCGGACGGACACCATTGGCGCGCATCTCCGCAAAGTAGAGAAGGCAGTCATCGATGCGACGAGCCTTACCGAGTTTCCCGATCAACGCGTTGTACAAAAACGACGTGGGTTCAACTCCCTCAGACATGGCCCGGTGGAAGATTTTTACGGCTTCCGTTGCCTCGTCGAATGTTTTCGTCGACTCCTTCAAGGTGGTGATGTAGAGACCAAAAGTGTTCGCCGAAGGTGCGGCGCCCATGTTCAATAGTTCTTGGTGGTATTTGGCAGCAAGACCGCGTTCTCCAGCGGTTAGGCTGGCTGCGACCATCGCATCGAGGATGGAGGTCCAGCCGTACTTGACCGCACCGTACTGTGGAATTAGAGGAACATCATGTCTAGCCATTCCCAAAATCTCGTGGACAAGATTCATACGTCCGCACTTGGCAGCAGCGGTGATGAGCTTGGCATAGGTGATATATCGAGGATGTCTGCCAATACGACGCATATTTCTGAACTTGATCATTGCAGTGTTGAGATGATCTTCCGGTCGTCCACGGGTGTTCTCAAGCTCTTCGGCAATCATGGAAGAACCACGGAAATCAGTTGAATGAGCATAGGGATCAAATGAATCCTCAGGGTGAGTGGGCTTTACGGCAGGGGAGACCTTTTGGGTGGGGGAATACCGCGGCGACACAAATGTCGGTTTAGCGGAGCCCTGTGTGAAATGCTGCCATTTGCGCAACAGCTCTGGACGAGCAACGCTGACCTTAGAGACGCCTTGGTCTAAGAGCTGCTTCGTGTGGTGATTGAACGGCAGCCCAGTGGACATGGCCAGCTCAAGCATGTGGGCGAAACGGGCAGGATGCGCCGCGTCAAAAAGCGGGGATCCATTGATGAGCATGCCTGCCTGGACCTGAAGAGCGAGATTGAGATCGTGGGCGCTGAGCTGGGAGATCTCCATGGGGCCGAGGCTGGCGATGGCGTGTTCTGCAACCGGCGATACCAGCCCACCATTCTCGACCATAGCCCAGATCAGAGTCATGGCGGCATGAGCTGAAAGAACAGGCGACGATTGCATGAGGACGCGACCGAAGAGGTCAATGGCCTCATCGATTTCTTCACGGAGTTGGCCTTGTTTATTGGGAGAGGCATTCCTAATCTTGGCAAACATGTTGCGGGCTTGGGAGAGGCCTTCATCAGTTTGACCACTCCGAAGAAGTGCAACGGCATACATGGCCGTCGGCTGAATGAGATCCGCGTTGACGTGATCATTGGAAGCTAATATAGCCCACTGGGATTTGGCCGAGACAAGATCTCCCTGTCGGATATGCATGGCCATCATGGCAACGACAGGGGTTTGGCTGCTGCTGCCGCTGCCGGTTTTCTCAGCAGACAAGAGGTCGTACGCTTCGGAAGCAACGGCAGACTCCCCCGCATCCGCTGCGCTCTCGCAGATTTTCAAAACGGCGGATCGTAGAGATTCTCCACCAAGACGGTTCTGAGCAGTCTTGAGGGCCTCAACGAAATTGCCGGCCTTGATGGAGTGCTGAACCATGCCGTCCTTCACGATCACATCTTCTACAACCTTGAGTCTCTGCTCCCGGTTCTCAACTCCGTCAAAGGAGGTTCTGATCTTGTCGAAAAATCGAAGAGCGCCATCGGTTTTACCGCAGTTCATGTAAGCTTTGACCACAGCGGCATAAACTTCGCCGTCTTTTCTGTCGACAACACCGAAGACTCCGCTGTCATCCGCGATGGCCAAGGTCCTGTATTCATTGTAACATTCAACGGCGCTCTTCAGATCGCCGCCTGCAGCAAAGGCGTCGATCATCGGGGGAAACATAGCAGCATGTGGAGCAACCTTGTTTTTCTCCATGTGGGCGAAAATCTGTATCATCTTGTCAACCTCGCCCTTCATCGCACACGCGGTCAGGAGACTGCGGTAGATGTCGAGCGAAAAGACGATGCCGTGGTGGCGCGAAGTGGCCAGCGTAAACAGTTTCAGAGCGATGGAGAGAGAATGATCCTCAGTCAAGAGTTCATGCTCCACCTCGCTTGATCGGAAGAGGGACTTTCCAGGTTCGTCCATGCCTCCGTAGCGAATTCGCGCTTGTTCGAGATTTTGGACCATGTGTTGGCAGTCCAGGGCACGGGTAGATAGAAGACGGACCAGTGTCTGGTACGTCTGTTCGTTTGGCATCACATTTCGACGGATCATGTCGGAGTAGATGTCGAGGGCCTTGGGAACGGCGTGGTAGACGTCGGAATGCAGGTAAATGGCTGCCTGCAGGAGAGCGTTATATGCCCCGATACTCGGGACCACGCCATCTTTCAGCAGCTTCTCGAAAGCGACGGGGACTTGGGAGAAGGATCTGGCAGCGGCGAGTTCGACGATCCGGTTAGACTCCTCGTTCGTGGCCTGTGTGGATCTCAAGGCTCGGACCGGGGTCCTTGGGGTTCTTGGAGCCTTGGGCGAAGGGGCAACATCCTCGACCGAAGTTACGGGGGTGATCTCGGCGCTGGTAGCCTCCTTGGATTCGAGGAGCTCAGCAGAATCAACCACGGAAGCCGAGTCGGTCAATTCCGCTGCTTCCTGGATCTGCTGGATCTCGCGAGCAACGGCCTCGTCGACCCTGGCGCTGACGTCCTTGTCGACGGGGGCGCTTTCGACGCTTCTCACGCTTCGACCGTCATTCAGACTGGAGTGGGACAAGGAAGCGCTATCCTGTTCGTCCGCCGACTCCCTCTCGGGCTTACTCTCCTCTTCCTTGGATTCCTTGGCACCAGCCTTCCAGCCGATTCTCCGGGTAAACTGGTACTGTTTCCAGTCCCCATCTTCGCCGGTCTGCTGCGCCAGCTGCCATGCTGCAAAGTAGGCCGCTAGGCCGGAATCAGCGGAGGCGTAGTTCGAGGCTGCATGGCCGGCCTTTGCGCCGGCGCTCGAGGAGGAGCCGGAGGCATTCTGGAAAGCACTCTGGAGCTGGGCAGTGCGAGTGAACTTTCCGGGAACGGAGGTGATCTGGTTTAAGGAGGTGGCGGAGGATGCATAGGAGGACTGAGAGGCCGCAACTACGGATTGAGCGTAGCCATGGGCGAAGGTTTTGGAGAAGGTTTGACGCGCGAGGTGGGTAAATGGCTTAAAAACCATTTATCTAATTGGATTCCTCTCCAGATTGAAGAGGAGATTCTACAATGCACACACATACGCGGGCGCGGTCAGCTCATAGTACTGGACTGTGCTTTGGGGGGGCGGGGGGGTTTCTCACATCTGCACTCGGGGAGTTCTGAAATCGCAGGTTCATCTGACGACCCTTAGCCGTCAATGAACGCGCACACAATGGCTAAGAAAGGGTTGTAGGGGTTAAGAAGAAAAGAGGGCTTGAGACAGCGCTGGGTCTGTCTGGCGGTCGAGTGGTGGACGGTTGGGTAGTTTTTGACCTGTTTCGTGATTGATCCGAGTAACACTGCGAAAGAGGCAGAGAGGCACAACCTCGAGAACAACTCTCCTTTTTAAATTCTCCCTGAAGAAAATCAAGAGAGGAGAGTCCTGTGTTTGAGGAGCGAGATGTCACTTCAAAGAAAGTCGTCTTGGTCTAGGAGAGAAAGAAGAAGGAAAAAGAAGAAGAAGAAGAAGTCAAAAGATAAAAATTATAAAAAAAATATGAAATCAATTAATAGCTGCAGCCTGCAACAATGAAATCGGCCATCGAGCTGCGGCGCTCCGAATCGACTTCGAGCGAAAATTTCCAGCCCGCGCGAAACCCGTTACGGCCGCCATACCGCATTCGGGGAATAGCAGCCCGCTGATTGGCCCGCTGCACCCAAGCCACCGGGGGCCTCCCGTATTGAAACGCAGCCTCGTGACTGGCTGTGCCTTTCCGCCGCCCGCCGTTCAGCTTTTCGCTTTTTTTTCTGCTCATTTTTTTTAATATTTTTTTCTTTCATTGCCTTTTTCGCGATCGTACGATCATCTGCTGGCTCCAGGTGCAGTTCTCTTTGTCGTTCTGCAGGCCCCCCCACCACCACCACCACCACCACCCCTCCTCCTGCACGCTCGTTATGCTTCTCGATGCCAATCGAAATAAAGCATTGTCTGTATGCAGTACACAGTACATCGTACACACGTAGCTCTCGCAGTCAGGGGGAAAAGGGGGGTTGCAGGGGAGGGCCCCTTGCTGCTGCGTGGTGGTGGGCGAGTTCCGGGGGAAGCTCGGGCTCCATCGGGGGGTTGAGGAGGCGGCTTGGCCCATTCCCGGGGGCGTGACTCACTGCCGATTCCGAGAAATTATCGGCCCCGGAACGCTCTCCCGGCGCAGAAACAGCCCCAATACGAGCCACCAAGGTTTTCTACTCCATTCCTGCAATTACACACCCCCGTTCATCAGCGTCATGATTTAGTAAGAGCTTTTGTTGAATTTCGTCGTCGCATCCAGAGCGGAAAGGATCGCGTGTGAAAATCTCCCGAGCGTTGACGCGTCGACTGAGGAGTATCAGGCCACACACACACACACACACACCGATCCAGACTGCCCAGGAGAACTGCTTCGAACCCGGGCAAGCGTCAGAAAACACGGAGACCTGGCTTCACATGTCAACATCGAGATCCTTTTTTTGTTTTTCTTTTGTTTTTCTTTTCCTTTTTTTCTAAAAAGCCTCACACTGAATGGACCACACTTCACTGATGCTCCGTAATGGCTGTGAGGTCACTCGCCCAGAAGTTAGAAGTTACCCCGGAAATGGGAGCAAGACGTCATCGTGCTCCGACAGCTGGTCGCCGACTCCGCCGTGGTGGAGCTTCTTCTGGAAGCCCCATCGAATCGCCGACTTCAAAGGCGTAATCCAGACCAGAACAGAACGTGCAGGATTCAGCAACAGCCGAGTACTCCGTAGGGCTTTTCACATTCTTCTTCTGCTGATTCTGTGCTATTATTACATTCGCCAAAATACCATTGGACTGCCCTCTCAAGCTGCTAAAAAAAAAAAAAAGAAGAAAAAAGGAAAAGGTAAAAATCCAAGGAGATGGACAAAAAAAATCATGGTCCCTGTATCAGTGAGATCCCTTCTCTCTCGTTTTTCCAAACTTTTATGGAGGACTCCGTAGACCAACCAGCATTCACCTTTTTGATCGACATAAAAAAATAAAAAGAAATAAGACTGTTAAACGTCACAGCCTTTTTTTTCTTTTTTATCAATCTAATACCAAGCAATTCACCTAATTGCATCATCCTATATGAAAATATCCAAATCTCTCCAAATTAAAAAAAGTTTTCCTCCAACTTTCAATGCCTAAAAGCACCGTTCCGCGGGCTGGACACGCTCGTACTTCTCATCACAGCATCAATGGACCCCGCAACCTGCGGTGTTTCCGCCGAAGCCTGCGCTGCTGCCAAAGCCACCGGCTGAGGCAGATGTAGATTCCTCGCGACCACGCTTGCCGGCAGCTCTAGCGACGGGATCGACGAATCCACCGTCGCCGGCGTGGTCGGACTGAGCTTCACCGACGACAGGGATGCCGGGCCGGCAGTAGTAGCAGTCTTGCCCTTGGCCATGGCCATCTCCGCAAAGAACGCCTCGAGCTGCTCTGCGTCGGAGCAGAAGGCGCGCATGCTGTCTTTGATCTGGTCCGTTACGCGGTACGAGTTCTGGGAGGCGTCGCTTGCCGAGATGTACAGTGGGGAGGCGGAGGGGATGCTGCTGTCTGTGCCGGGGGTGGGGCGAGCCACAGGTGACAGGAGGGGCGAGCGGCGGTCGAGCGGGTCGAATGTCGCTGCACGTGGGCGCGGGAAATATTCCGAGGAACGGTCGAACTTGTTCGAGTCCTTGAGGCTGACGGGGTTGTGACTGTTGTGAAATCGGTTTGCGAGGAGGAGGAAATGCCCTTCGTCCGTGATCTGGGCCAGCACCGCTCCGGTGCGGTGCACGTACTGAGGGAATTGATAGTCGGGCTTCCCCCAGCTATAGCACACGTCCACGTTCGCCGGGAACGCACTCTTGGCCTCAAAGTCCAGCACGAAATCAAACTTCTTCAGGATGGCCTTCTGGTAAAAATGGTGATCCGGCACAGCTTGAGAAGTAAAAGACGTCGCGGTGAGATACGTCGATACAGGCGTCGGCGGTGGGTCGACCTTCAACTTGATAGGATACGGTCGCCTGAACACTTGTCTTTCCACGATGGAAGACGCTTCAGATATCGGCAGCTCGACCAGCTTCAGTCCATACTTCTCCGCGGTTCCAACCCAGGACATGATGGCGTCTTCCACAAGCTTGGGCGTGGCATTCATCCAGCTCAGTTCAATGTGAAAACAATTCTCCGGATTATGAATCCTATCATAGTGAAGATCAATCACTTCAGGCCTATCCGACCGTTTGCGCGGATCGACATCGTATTTCAAGGATTTTGCCAGAGAAATGGAGGGCTTGGGCCGACTGGGTTTCGAAGATCCTGGGATGTCAGGCTTGCTCCCTGTCTCATCAATACTTTTTTCTGATCTGGCGCGGATGCTTGACGCTGAGTCTTTCATGGCCTCACCCATCGGCGTATTTGGGTTTGATTTGTCCACCTTGCGTGGCTGAAACCACCCGCCTCTCGACTCTGGGCGAACCACTCTGTATTCGTCCGCGATCTGGTAGAAGTAATTGCCATCCCTAAAATTGTGCCTCCGCTGAACGTGATGGAACAATCCATGCGTCATCAGGTCATTTCCAAACTCAACAGCTTCCTCTCGAGTATCGATATCACGGAAATTTTGCAGTAGCCATGTTGTGAATTCCATGCCAACGAAGCAGTTGTAGTGAAGGCGCCAATGCCATCTCCTGTCCATCATCCTTACTCCCTTTTCACCCTGTATCTTTTGTGCCAAGAAGGCGAGGGTGATGTTGGATCGCTGGAGCAACTCCGAATCAGGTAACAGCTGGGCAGGGGCATTGTCCAGTCCAGGGTCTTCCAGCAATAGCCTGTCAAGCTCGGCAGCAACCACCACCGAGGGATCACTCGTTTGATAAATGATATTGAGTGGGTTCTGATCTTTGCTTTTACGTGCGGCACTCTGAAATTGTCTTTCCTCGGGGGGTATATACCTGTGGCGTTGCCACATCTGAGTCAATTTATAAATTCCAAGTAGGTGGATTTCCTCTTCATTATCTTCGTGGAATGAAGAGATATGCCGTCTTGCAGCTAAGGGTACCTGAACCGGTATCAAAACAAATCTTGTTCGCCAAAACCGGAGCTGCCTGATGGAGTTGGTGATATGGTCTCTATGGCCAGCGAGAAACGCGTCCGCAGAGTTCCAGTTGTACTCTTCCGGTGGAGCCCCCAAGGATATGGTGTTCTTGCAGTACTGAGCACTCAAAATGGTTTTAACAGCAGGGCTGTAGCTTATTGAAGCATCATTCAGCTCGTCAGTTGGGAAACCATTCAACGGTCTGCGAGTAAACTTTGTAACTTCAATCTCCCCTTCAACGCACACAAGTCTGTGGATCACATTTCCTCTCGCCATAAAAACCGTTGTGCCATCCTTAGACAGTGCCTTGGTGTCAAAAATATTCGAATAGCCCGTCGATTGCTCCTCGACCTTCTTACCTACTACTATCTGAAACCCGTGCGACAACCTCAAAGAAATCATATCACGCAAGAGCATTTCTCTCGTCTTCGGCACCTCAGCGTCAGCCTCGTCGTTTTGATAAACTCGATAGGGAGTTTGGAGAAAGTTTGATGTTAATTCGGATTCTGTGGGTAGCTCTTCAGCCGTTATTGGCAACGATGCAGGCGACTTCAGGCTCTTCCACTTCACAGAAGTCGTTTTTGGAATTCTCGGATATACATGCTGCCAGCGTCCGTACCAACTTGAGCGTGAGGGCGCCAGCTTCGGTGGGTTCCAGGGGTTGATGGGGCTTACCCACGGAGAGAGTGCATCCGTCGCCGAGACAGTAGGAGGGGAGGTGGGATCACCACTGCTCAGTAGATCCAGCCTTCGCCCCGTTCTCTTTACAGGAAAAGCTCCCTGGCTGTCGTGATGCTGCAATAGATCATGACGGGGCTCAGTACCTTGGGTGGAGAAGGACCCTTCTAGAGGCAGGGGCTCTACGCTACCATCCTCCCCAGTCCTTCGGATGGCTCTGATCAAAATCGGTTTGGATGGCGTCATTGCTTCGACGTGACTTGGTGCGTCAGCTTCAGACCGTTCGGGCTTAGGAGTAGCTGCGCCCGAATTAAGAGGAGAATTCTGCCTGGGAGTGACTGTATTTGATGCTTCTGATGCAGGGTCTTCCGGTGTCCTTCCACCCGAGGTTGGGAGAGCCTGGGCATGTTCAGTTTTGACTTCAGTGCTTGCGTGCGCCCTAGGAGGAGCAGAACCAAGTCCCCGCAGGGCAAAGCTGATAGACCGAGAGATTCGTGGAATAGGCAGCTTCGGTTTCGGCTTTATGATTGATTTCATATTTGTTTGGGCGGGCGGTTGAGTGATCCGTCGGGGTGTAACGAGTGACTCCTCCTCTATTCTTTCGTATCTTAATTGTAAGTGAGGTTGACCAAAAGGAGATAGGTGGCGATTATCAGGCTGCCCTAGATCCATACTTGATCTTAGTTTTGGAGTTTCGTGCTGGGAAGGCCTGCTGGTTTCGGTCTCGGCAGCTTGCTTTGCCTTGGAGCGCCTACGAGGTCGCTTTTGTTTGGGATGCAGATGGAAAATCGACTGATCGTAAGAGTCCATCCATTCCACCAAGTTGGTCCGTTCTTTTGCATCAGGCGGCAGCATACTCTTCTTTGAGTCCTTTATATTATACATAAAGGATTTTGGCCGAAAGCCGTCACCTGCTTGGGACCTGTATGATGAATCTGGTGATGGGCTATTCCCAATGGATGCAGCGAGGGAAGCCAAGGTACCGGGGCGTTTTTGAGTGCGGGATGAGGTCGAAGACATATGAGGGATGCATATGTTTGACTGCTCGCTCTCCATTACCCCCATCATTTGTATTTCGTACATTCGCACTTTTGGCACGAACAGCTGCGAATTTTTCGCAATGGTCGCTATCACAGGGGACATTGTAGATTTTTTCTTAGCGGCTGCCCGGCTAGCACGGTCTAATTTAGGATCCCAGTACGAGATATCGACCCAATGTGGAATACCATATCCCCATTCCTCTTCTTGGGGAGAACTGCCGATACCCTGCAGCGCCTGGTCAGATAATGCGGTGCCTGGTCTATCAAGAGGGGACATGTGAGCTGTCGAGAAGGTCGCTGACATTCGACGATGTTCATAAGGAGCAAGGCGCGACGAAATGGAGCTCCCCGGTCGACGAGAGGTATCACGAGGTAGTTTGTATTTGAAAAGAGGTACGGAATGGAGTGGCATAGGGCTGAGACAAATGAGATCTATGCCGATGGCCCGACTGGTAAGGACATCGGACGTCAGGGATAGGATTTTGAAAGGGACCTCAAACACCCCCGTTCCAGGTGTTATAATGACGATTGAGGTTCCTGTTCTTACCAGGTCACGGCCGATATGCTCGAAAGCAAGGTAAGACGAAGCAACGTGAATTGCCTCCAGGATGTTACCCCGTAGAGCTGAGGTTGGCCGCCCAGCAATCTTAGGAGGATGTGATTCTGTGAATCTCGGGATATCTTCCGCTGCTATTGGAGTATCAGGAAAATAGGGTGGTGGGATTGAGACATCTCGTAGGAATGTGCGAAATTCCTTCTTAAGAGAGTCTAATATAGTAGTCCACTGTCCACTCGGCATATCGTTGACCACGACACGATAGAAATCCTGGGTTTTCGGCGCCGAACCATCTGGACCGCGGTTTAAAAAGCTGCTATTGAGGGTGGCGTGTCCCGACGTCGGAGTTGCAAAGTCATACTGTACTCTAGTAAAGAGCACGATCGTCACCAAATGATGAGCATCAATATTTGCCCATCGCTTAAAAAGCTCGGGCATCAGGCTGTTGATGACACGACTGAACAAAATATCACCAGTGCCCTCCGAGTCGAAGTCCCACATCTCCTTGGACATTTGGATGAAGAGAACGAACCGAGCTGATTCGCTTCGAAATATGGGGATAGTATTAGGCGAGAAGTAAGCGGATAGGGTCTTGTTGCCATTGATATAAACCGATTTCACTGTGGCCTTAATGCTTCCCATGAAGAGGATCTTCTGGCCTTTATATATTGGACGGTCAACAAGTTCCGACATTGTCAATCTCCACATATCGGAGCGAAGCAGGAACTGGTCACGAAATATGAGTTCCACATGGGACGCTGAGCATTGCGCTCGCTTCCTAACAGTGAGGTGGATTTGAGATCGATTCTTGAAGCCAAAGGCATTCGCGACGTGATTTGCAACTGATACTTGGAGATTGGGATGCTTGGCTCTAACCTCCGGGGGAAACGGCTTGACGATAAACAGGAACTTTCCAGGTGTTTTCCGGCTCCGAAGCTTGGCATCACCGCCGAATGTAGATCTCGAGGCACTACCTCCGGCCCCAATGGGCCACCGAGGCGATGTGAAGCTGCCTTCATCTTGAAGATATCTGCTGCCGGTTTCAAGCTTCAGCTGCGATCCTAGGTGATCTCCTTGCGCAACCGAGACTTCTACCAAATACCCCACGTTCAACCCAAAATCAGGTAGCGCCTGAAGGTTGCAGAGGACTTCTTCCCGGGAGAAGGTTTCATCATGGACCCATAGCGTGCATGACCGTTTGCTCGGGCTCTTGGGTGAATATTGAGGGGAATCAGGTCTAGCAGAATCAACTTTCGAATCCTGCAAACTAGCAATGGTTGCCCGCATGGAGCGTGCTTCAGCGCTAGCCGGTTGGAACTGCTTGCGCTGCGGGCCTTTGATGCCTCCAGACTGAAGCATTGCCGAGGTAGATGTTCAAAGATGCAACATATCCAACAGGTGTCACTGAAACATGTTCCTCATCAACCTCACATTGCTGCAAAAATAGCTCTCCTGGAGAGTAAGATGGTTGCAAGCTGGCCATCAAGGTGGTTGAAGTGAGTTTATGATGCTCAGCATGCGACGAAAGGGGAGCTCAGGCAATATCACGTGATGTTACAAACAAGACAAATGAATTTGTGAACCTTGTTATATAAGCACAGGCAGCTGTGGCTTGTGTTATGAGTGTTCAAGCCACGACCACCCCGGCCAATTGTGGCTTGTGGCTGCTATATGTCATGAACGAGTCGAGATCGAGAGCATTCCAGCAGATGATCCATCTTCTACAGAATTAATTGTTCGTAAATTGACTGGCAACTCATCTTCTTTTTCATTTGGAGAGTAACTATGCCAGTGCTGCAAATAGAACAACAGGGCTAAGGTATTTCTTCCTCCATCAAACGCAAGCAGTAAATAGCTGAGCGGCTGCCAAGTACATTTCTGGTGGCTGAAGCCCTGGCGCCAAGATGCCACACGAGCTGGTCAAGCCTTCACCAAGAGAAAGCTTGATGCTTGAGTTGCTTGTAAAACTTTGATGTCTGCAACTGTCCGACGTGTCTGTGCTTGACATGTATCTGCTGGGCACACGATTCGACTGCTTCTTTAGCTACTTCAACAGGCCAATCCTAATGCGTGAGGGCAATGTGCTGTCACACAACTCCGTATTCCCACCCTACACAAAAGGGGTGGGACCCATGGCCGCAGAACAACCAATGCGGAGGGGTTCCGGTTAGCGTAAATCAATAACAAAGGGACAGATATACAGATACCCCTGTCCTTTGCTCAAACAAGGAGCAGCTTTTGATGAATCTACCTGGGGGAGGTGAACTATCAGTGGCCGCGACACAGCCCTGGCTTCAAACAAGCTAATTAAACCAGTCGTATTTTCCCGATGTCATCACAGCCCGAAGCCACACCAGCACCCTGGAGCTTTTCATTCAGAATTTCAAAACAGGCTCTCGCATCCATTGCTTGAACGACTATATTGGGTGCTTGTTTTCACTCTGTCGGATAATGATCATAACCAGTCCATTATCTGATCACTTTTTGTTTTACTCTTTCTTCATTTAGCCTACTGTTAACAATTAGAGATCAGAGATCCTCATTGTCTTGGTTTTCCCTCCAGGTTCAATTTCGGCAGAAGAAAAGCTGACAAGAAGATGCGTGAGTCTTCGCCCACAGTGACGAACTCTCGGTTATTGGCTAAAGTATGCCCCAGATATATACCGCCGACGAGCCAGGAATCTCGCCTGGTACGACGAAGATGGCGAACCGCCTACTCGAAATCCCTTCAAGAAATTCAGAACCCGGTCACCTACACGTAGAACGACCACCGTGGCGGCGAGACCGGAATTCGATGATATATCAATGGCAGAACATCGCAAGGGAGAGGCTATGGCCGGTGGCATCCAACGAGCTGAGGGCACAGATTCTATGCCCTTGCCTTCATCTGTTGGGACAGATGGAGCCTTTGGGTTGCCCCCTGTCGGAGAATCGGTTAATAGCCTCGTTCCCCTAAGGCGGCCGGAAATAGACGCCGCTTCCTTGAGCGATCAGTCTATCAGACGGAGAACCACTCCGAAGCACGCGGAGAATGCCAATCTCGACGACGCGATAATTGAGGACCCGGAGGCGCTTGGTGGTAAGGAAGACAAACAGAAGTACACATTTGTTGGTCAACTGAGAGCCACTTTGTTCAACTCTTGGATTAATGTCTTGTTACTGGCTGTGCCGGTGGGAAGTATGGCTTGCTCAACAATCAGCAAGATGTTTGGAAGCATGGGTTAACCCAGAATAGTTATCCTACATTATATCCATGTTGACCCAATCGCAGTATTTGTGGTCAATTTTGTTGCAATCATGTATGATTCGAATATCCGGGCCAAGGACGCTCCCATTGCTAACAGCAATTTAGACCACTTGCCGCACTGTTAGGTTATGGAACAGAGGAAATCGCCATGAGGTATAAATTTCCTTTTTTTTCCTTTTTTTTTTTTTTTGTTTTTTTCCGGCTGTCGCAAACACAAACTAATGCTAATTCTGTCAAAGGACTGGCGAGACCGTCGGCGGCCTTCTCAACGCCACCTTCGGGTAAGTAGAGGCAGAAATGCTCAGTCTTTTACGGTTCTTTCTAATCGCCTGCAGAAACGCCGTTGAGTTAATTGTGTCAATCCTGGCGCTGTTCAAAAATGAGATCGTTATCGTGAAAACCTCTCTCATTGGGAGTATGTTATCCAATCTACTCTTGGTGATGGGTATGTCATTCTTTCTCGGAGGAATCAATCGCATTGAGCAGAATTTCAATATGACGGTCGCCCAAACTGCTGCCAGTTTGCTTGCTCTCGCGGTTGGGAGTCTGATCATTCCAACTGCATTTCATACATGGTCCGAAGGTATGAGCCTTGATGGTTGCTAATACGAGTTTGTTTGCTAATAAGCTATTTACAGCTGGTGAAACTGGAATCGCACCCTTGTCGAGAGGTAGGACCATCCGTTATCACAGAGAAGCTTTATTGAAGACCCAGCTAAAATGAGCTAGGAACAAGCATCATCCTGCTATTTGTGTACGGCTGCTACCTTTTCTTTCAGCTAAAATCCCACACGGAGATGTACAACAAGCCCAGCGAAAAGGTTGAGAAACGGAGAGGGAAAGTTGAGAGTGGAGATGCCATCAAGGGAATCGCCCAGATAGGAGCTGGCATTTCAGCGAGTATGGGCGGGCACAATGCGCAGAGCGTACCGATTCAAGTTCCAGATGATGAAGACCAAGAAGAACCAGAACTCCATTTCTTTGTCGCCCTATTTACGCTCGCTGCGTCCACAGCGTTGGTAGGAGTCTGCGCTGAAGCGTTGGTACGTACGAATATTTTGTACTACGGAAGAAGACAAAGTATTTACTTTTTTTGTGAAACAGGTCTCTTCCATAGATGTAATAACGACTCGCGGGCATATCTCCGAAACATTTGTTGGACTGATTCTCCTACCTATCGTGGGCAACGCCGCAGAACATGCCACTGCTATTACCGTTGCCATGAAGGATAAAATGGACTTGTCTATTGGTGTTGCCGTCGGATCGAGTATGCAGATTGCGCTGTTGGTTCTTCCACTTATTGTTGTGATCGGATGGATTGCAGGTACGTTTTTCGCCTTATATATCTCATTTCCAAAAGCTAATTCTGCTCTGCAGGCAAGGATGATATGGTGACTTCTTCATATTACGGGCGACATAGTTTTAGCAAGCTAACCAATGTATTTAGTCATTGTATTTCGATGGATTCCAGATTGCCGTCCTGTTCGTCGCTGTCCTTCTGGTACGATGGTCTCCCTTTTCTCGGTTTCGCCATCAATAAGCTGATCAGATGTTTCAACAGGTTAACTACCTCATTCAAGATGGCAAGTCTCACTGGTTGGAAGGAATGCTACTAATGACGTTATATCTTATTATTTCTGTGGCTGCATGGTAAGCTGTTCTCCTAGCGCCAACGTTTCGATCAAACCAAACTGAGTTCTTCATAGGTTTTACCCTGCAAAGTCCGAACGAACCGGATCCGGTGCTTCCTGATTTTCTTTATGTTCATTTGTCCAATCTCCTTGATCTAGCCATGACAGTTTCAGCATTTTTTTAACTCTGTAGATGTATAAATATCTACCTTTCATGTGAAGATACCCGCCTTTATGATAGTGCCTGTGTATATCATGCATTTTCATTCTTGAACTGGCAGCGTCTCAAGTATCGCATCCGTATGGATCAAATCAATGGCTCCAAAAGAGGGCGCTGACTATGTCATTTCCGCAACCTCAAACACACATTTCCGGGAAAAGATTATGGAGAGGATCGAGATGCGTATGAGATAATTTCAGTGTATCAAAATTCGAAAACACATTAGGGCACATAACAGGTAACCAGCACCTTCATTCAGCAAAGAGCAATCGCTTCACATGCCGGTAACTTCAGTCGGGAATTGTGACTGCTCGAGCCAGTCAGGCTAAGGGCAGTAGAATAGTTAGGTATGAACACCTGATGAGAGCAATGCGGTTCAGGAGGAAAGCTTGGAGTTCCCATCCTCGCTATTGACCAGGACTCCTCCGACTACACCTATTTCTGTTGGCTGAATGTCTCTGCACTGAAGCGGATCTCTCTTTCCGTCCTTCTATCCCCTCCTGATAGCATGATCAAGATCATATGCACGTCAAAATTCCTTGTAGATCTGATTGCACCGTTACTGCCAGCAATTGGCCCTAGTCTTCTCCGGGATCTCAATGCTTTTTTCAACATACTCTGCCACTATGCCAAGCTGCTGCCATTCTGTTCCTCAGACCAGAAGTCACCCTTCAAGTCTTCTAATCTCTGAGTTTTGAAAGCTAGACCATCTTCATCTTCATCCTGAAAAGGTGATATATTGCCACTCTCGATAGCTTTCATTGTATCATTGATAATTTGGGTTCCGATATCGATTATTGTCTGGCGTTGTCGCTTCTCGTTCTGGCCTCGACATTCGTGCAACTCCAGAAAGGTAGCCACATCGTTAAAGACTCTTATCATCTGTTCCTTTAAAATGTGCCGATAGTTTCCGAGACTCGATCAAAAGACACCTAATACCCATCTTGAAAATCACTCTTGTAATCATCAACATGTGGATGCTTTGATTTGAGCAGCTTGTTTCGATCACCTCGATGTCGAAAATAATATCCCCTCCTTGAGCGACTGTGTTTTCATATCGTTTTCTTTTTGGTCCTGTTTTTCCGCCTATTCGGCAGACACGCCTGTCTTCGCATATTCTCAGACGGAGCTTAATGAGGCCTGTCTGTGTTTCGTGAAGCTCCGCCCGGATTCCGGCATTTTCCTCCCGCAACACCGCCTGCTCTGCCTCAAGCTTTCGGAGCGCCTTCGTATCTCCATCGCGTCAAATCCCACCTTATTACCAATGCGCCTTTTCTCGGTGAAATTCTCGACTTTGTCAGATCTGATCCTGTCCGCCAAGTAATCGCCCGGTTCAACATTAGCTTCGTACGCTAACCCACTCTTATAGTTAATTGCCTTGTACTATTGATGGTGTTAGGAACAAAGAAATTCTAGTTCCAAAGAGAGACTTACCATGTTGTTCTCGCACTTAAGCTGGTTGTAAGCTTCAAGCAAAGACAACTTGTCTGCATCATACAGCATTGAAGATATGAAGTAGAAGGCTGTTTTTAAATACAGTCAAAGGAAACCTGGAGTGGCGGTCTTTTTATCTTTTAGGTCTCTTAAGTAGCTTGAAGGCCCTCTGTATTCTTGTGACAGAGCCACATTATTGAAATTTTCTTTGATGACAAGGTTGAATTGAATGAAGAATATAGCTTCTGAGTGCTATCATCCTCTAGAGAGATCTTTAGAGAGGTCAAAATAAGATGCAAGTTAGCTTGATTCTTTCAGTGTTGCAGCTTTCATGAATAATTGACTACAGTTAGAATCAGCAAAGAATCATTGTATGTATGACAATTTGGTTATCAGAGGAATCAGGATGTCAGCAGCTAGACACTGCTGTTTCCATGTCCCTGCTTTTGTCTGCTTCACAAAGGCTGTATTTCTCTTCTTTGAGACACAGGTGGCTCTGAGGCAAGGACAGCTATGTGACATGACTGTCTTGAATGTCGACAAACCTCTTGTTGACACAGATCTAGCGCCAGCTGACAATTCGAATTCGGGCACTACGCATAGTACTTCCATGCAGCCTTAGGGGCCTTCTCCGGTATAATCAGGAAGACTAGCGATACTTGGATATTCAAATGAAAAAATTGATATTGGCAAATGAGTGAGCTCTTTGTGGAAGATATAGGTGTGTATAAAACACAAGATGAAGAGGATCAGATACTTGTGTGAAATCTGGAGAGCATGACTATCTAGTTACATTGCTTAGCTAGCAGAGCAAAGGAAAGGGGGGCTAAGTAGGAGAAAATGCCGATCGTAAGAAGAACCTTCATGATTACTTGTTCTTGTCTTTTTCCGGCTGGCTCTCTTGCTGCTAGTTTTATCTTTTAACCTTGCTTGTTGAACCAGCTTCAATCTTCAAGAATTTGTTGGATTTTTGTATTTATTTACATAGAGATGTCTGCTAGAAGATGATGTTGAGATGCTAGTCTACATGAAGTTAGTCTTCAGCTCAGATCTTCTTTGATCCAATGCAGAGGTTTTTGCTCTCAGCTTGGTTTGGGACTTCTTACAATCAAGCAACTGAGAGAGAGCACTTGAATGGTATAAGTGCTTGTTCGAGCTTCCGCGCATACTTAGTTAACTGGTTAACTAATAGGCTAGCTAGCCTTTTGAAACCGTGCCAGTCTGTGAAGCATCGTTCAACACGGTTACTCCACAAAGACCTCACTTGTTTGAAGCACATGTTATTGTTGTGAAACTACTCCGTACTCTGCACCAAAGATTGAAATTCACTATAGACTGAAGATCTGAACTCAACTACTAACAAGCCATACAACCAGGAATGATGGGACTGGCCACTGCCCTCCTTCATAGCATCAGATCTGGGGTAAAACATTTCATCTTATCACTGAGCGAAGGGTATTTTCTAAGGTCATATCTCAGATAAGAGCCTTTCCAATACTCGCAGACTATGCGCCATGAATGGAAACCGAGCTCGACAGTGGGTTGGTCATTCGAGATTCCATCTATCCCTAGCTGTTCCTGCGGAAAAGTCAACGTTGAAAGGGCGACAAAAAATTTCGTGTTAACCTATGATGGGGATTAGCACCAATTACATTGAACCCCAGCAAAATAAATCGGACGCCCTTATACCCACATTTGGTTCGTGTCAGGGGCATCCATGACCACGACCGGAGTGATTATCGCAGCCGCTACGGTTTATACACGTTAGTTATATGAAACTTCCATGTCAAAAGATCCAAACAGAAACAGGACGGACTCACTTGACATTTAGCAGCTACCCTCCCAGTGGTGGTTGCGGCCGCAGTCACACTTGCCACCACAGTCGTTGTCACAGCCGACGCCAAAACCAGGGCCGGTCCAGCAGTTGATACCCTGACTCTTCATGGCATTGATGAATTTGACGCGTGCATTGGCACAGGAGCAGGTGTATCCGACCCATCTCTCGTTACAGTCCGAGTTATGCCAGCAGGTGGTCTCGGCCAGAACTTGCAAAGGAACGACGGTCGCCAGGAGAGAAACGATTGCAAGGAGCTTCATGATGGCTGATTTTCAGATTTAGAAGGGAAAAAAAAATATGGATAAGGGGCTCTTTGAAAGTGACCTTGTGAGAATGTCTTGATGGTATCGATAGCGATGTTGAGTTTGAACAGAGAGATATCATGAAGGATTCTTCGCTGTATTTATACCCTGCTTTGCGGTTTAGAGAAGTGGTCCGGAATTCCAAATTTGGATTTGGAATTCTCTGTCTTCCCCTCTCCGCGCTGAAGCTCAACAAATTCGTTGGTGTCAGACACGAGTATACGAAGTAGAAACCTGGTCATCATTACTCTATATTGAATAGCGACCTTGCCAATCTGATCAGAGTCCTGTTTAGCGCTTGCAAGCTCAGCTGAAACTGACCGTATCCTGGAGGGGATATGCATTCAGATTCTGTTCAATCTCAGCTGATGATTGGGTATAAAAACAATTCTTACGCATTGGCCACAGCCCTTGTCGCTGCTCATCGGCACCAGTATCGGCCTCTCTTTGTCCATATTCTCTCCGTTTTCCCATCCAGGATGCCCTTGTTCTCCTGTACCTTTCTCGCATCCGGTCATGAGTCGGGCTTTGTGGTCCAAACTCCTCAATCCACCAGCCTGATGTGACTTCTCCTTCACTGCCACAGTTTCTTTCATCGTCGGGGCGATCCAGAAGCCTAGACCATTCGTCCATGCTTCGATATTTGGTAGATGCCTGCTGCAGAGCTGCCATGTCTTCAGCCAATGTGGTGGCTCGGGAATTTCTTGAATGTTACGCAATTTTAAGTACAAGATCTGCGGTTTTCTTTTTTTGGGAGGCCAATCACAGTACTCAAATTCTTTGCATGTTTACTGATCAAAATCCTCGGCGTACCCCGGTTGAGCCGCACATTTTCTGGAATATTGTTTCGGGTTGATGCTGTTTGCCTTGAATTGCTCTTGATTTCGCGATCTGTACGAGCCTGCGAGGGCCCAAAGGCAGGGGTGAACGCCCGTCGGTCCAATGATGAATCTCTCCAGGACGCCTTCTCGTGCTTTGCCCAGAGCATTGACTGGGTACTATGTGGGCGGGACTGTCAGTTTGTGCAGTCCGAAGCAATGAACATCCTGGAGCGAGGCCACAACAACCTAAGTGGACCGCATGAATCTTACGGTTGCATTGAGCGAGGAGGACTTCGATCTCAATCACACCGCCGATGCAAAGTAGAGTTGAGAGGGCCGCTGGCTGCAAGATAGAAGCTCTGATGTCCCAACCAGTATAATCGCCATGGGTGCTATACCCACTTGTGGGGTGTATATCGACCTGAAAGTAGAGATGTGCGTTTGGAGCGCCGATTTTGATATGGGCTCATGTGGCCTGGTGCCTCTCCAAAGGCAGGGAGGGCATTCTGGGGCGGCTCATGAGACTGATAGGACCAGGATGGTGTCCAGCAACTTGAGAAGCCACCTGCGTAACTAACTGTGTAATGTAACTCACAGGCTAACTTGCCACATGATACATTGTGCGCTGGGAAGTGGAGAGCGGGTGAACTAGCTAGCTGTCGATCAGCGAAGGTTCCATGCTGAAGGTACTCCGTACAAGCTCAAAGGCAACAAGAACTGCACATTAGAGCCATGATATATATCCCTTCCCTAGCTCTCAAGCAAACAGGTCTTTTTATGGAGAACCGACCTGCGTTCCCTGTTTTTTGGTTTTGTTGTCTCGACATAGCATGTTTGACGGAAAAAAAAACCACCACGGGCGATGTTTGTTTCAAACTCGATGCGCCCCCAAATGTAACTCTCACACCTAGTCATGTCCGACGGAGGGGGGTGAGCACTAATTAAGCTGCATCGGCTTAACGCACCACTCGGTATCACAGCCACCACTCCCGTGCAGAAAAGTGGCTCATGCCGCGGACCTCAGCAAGCTCGTGTGTGTGATTTTTCAAAGGGCCAAGGGAGGTTTGCGTGTGCGCATGTCTTTTTGATTCATTTGATTTTCATTTCTTTTTTTGCCCCGAGGTGGAGACGCGAGGCATCCCGACGTCGATGCTCTGAAGCTTTCATATGAAGACGTGAGGCCGGAGTTGAGTTCGACGACCCGTGAATGTCGATGTTTGTTCGTTGGTATCTCCGTTTGCGAGCTGACGATGACGATGCCTAGGAATCCGACAGAACGGGAGAAGTTGGAACGAAGGCATCGGAGATAGGACGCATCCATTTCTAGGATAAAAATTAAAACCTTCCATCAATTGGTTGATTAAAACACTCGCAAGAAAAAAAGACACGAACTGAAAGAAGTATTATAAGCATACACGAATCCTCGGATAATTAAACCCGCAGGCATAGAAGAGAAAAAAGAAGTGGGGAAAAATGGCTCTCAAGAAAACTCGAAAACAATTCGATCTGGAATACATCAAACAAGCAAATACTAATAATAATAATGATGATGATGATGATGATGATAAGCGTAATGCCCGTTTCCCATGTCCCGTTACCGTTCCCTTCCATTCCCTCCCAGCCAATTCCCATCCCATTAACCCCGTCCATCCTCAAAACAAAACAGAGCGGGAAGCACCGCAAGGGACCAAACAGAAAATCTTGTATCCCAGCTCCCAGATGCGTATGTGTATGTAGCATAGAACAATGTAACATGATGCGACCTTTTTCGTCGTCGGGGTAAAACGTACGCCCACACATCCCTTAGCCCCCATCCCACCTTGATGTAGAACCCATAGCATAATGAAACAGATTCCCGCAGAACACCAGATACCAAAAAAGAAAAAAAAATACAAATACATAAAGGTAACCCAGCCACGACCTCAGTAGTACACATGCAGGAATTAAAAACAGATGAGCAAGAGCTCGGCAGATACGCACAGGAAGAACGAGGACGGTGTGTGTGTGTGAGAGCCTTTTAATGCGCGTACCCATCCCAGATCGTCGCCAACCATCCGCCCTGCACTCCAACGTGCGGCGTAGCATTGCTTGTTGCCCACTTCTCTAAGCCTTCACCTTCCACAAATGCAATCACGTCGTCTCCGCCTAGGCTGCTCATCCACACGGTGCTCGTTCCGGGGTCGGGAGGTAGCGGAGACATTATGCGCGACGCTGCACCGTCAAGGAGGCGTGGTGGAGTAAGACGTGGGTGATGCTGGTGGAGCTGCAAGGGAAGAGGAGGAGGAGGCGGCGGTGGTTGTGTGCTGGCGGCGAGGGGAGGCATGGGGAAGTTTTGCTGTGCGGCCGCATTCAGAGCAGGAAGGGATTGCGAGTATGGAGGAGGCGGAGGTTGACGGGCGGTGGGCCAGGGCTGGAGTGGCTGGAGACGGTTATTTGCAGACGGAAGATAAGATGGTGAAGAGGAGTATACTGTCGAAGAGGAGAGAGATTGTGGAGTGCTGGAGGGTGGCGGTGCTAGGTTATGCTGATGGATAGATGGGAGACTGTATGAAGGTGGTGCCGGGGGTCCTGGGAGATTTGCCCATCGATCGCTTTCGATCGGGCGAAGGATGGTGGAATCGAGTCTTTCTGGCTCTCGGTTTGGCTCGTGAGCGGCACTGTTGACAGGAACCCAGGTCTCTCGTCGCGTGGTGCTGTCGCCGTTGGCCTCTGCTGCATCACCAGATTCGCTCCTGACATGATTGCTTCCAGCATCACTGCCATTAGTATGGTCGGTCCCATTGACATGAGGCGCGACCGGCTCGTCGCTGAGGCCATTCGAGTCGGGAGTCTGGTCCTCTGCAACGCCCATATCTGTGAAGATCTTCTCCAAGAGCTTCAATTCATCAGGATTACCACCAAAGGGCAGCTCTCCACTCGGTGTCAAACTTTCCCGGCTCCGCACCGTACGCTTGTAGTCTCGCCTGGCTTTGACAAAGAACGTATGCAGCCTGTTGATAGTGCGGAACCAGCCAACGGCCATTGGAAGTCGCGACCTCATACTCCCAAGGATCTCAACGGCCCTGCGGATCTCCGCTTGTCCCTGGCCGCCCAGACCAGGCATGACATCGGTCGAGCTAGGTTTCGAGCAGATGTAACCTTCCTGGTCCATATGGTTAAAGTGAGCCGCGTAAACGCCCATGGAAGCAGCATTGTAGACGGCAAATCCAACCAGTGGAGTCTCCATCAAAACGCCGCGTTCATAACAGGTCTTGACAAGCTCGATCATATGTCGAGAGGCTCGAAAGACCTCCCGAGCGATGTCTCTCCGGAAGCCTTCGGCGGGGAACGAAGGCTCGTCGATTGGTCCCTGCGGATCCATGCCGCGCAGAGGCAAAAAAGGTACATAGGACCTATGTAGCACAATGACCGACAGAAAGTAAATGATATGCATAAGCGAATACGGCGCCAGTGTGTTCTTGTACATGATGTGGGTATCGGTGTTTCGTGCGCTGTACTGCAGGTTTCGCGGCAGGCCCTCTTGGAACTCGATCAGGAGTTCTTTCAGCCGATTAAACTGCGAATCGGGATGCCACGGAGGGTACTGATCAATTCTGTGGAAAATAACGCCTTTTAGCTGGTTACACAGAAAGGGAAAAGAATATTTTAAAAATAAAAGTAAAAAAAAATAAAAGTAAAAAATAGAAAAATAAAAAAATAAAAAAAAAGGAGGGGAAGAAGGGGGCAACAATGTGCTAACTGACCTTCGTCCACCGGCACACGACCATTTCGCAATACTTCCCCAAACACGAATGATGCGTATCAGTCTGCTCAGAACACATTCTTCAGCGCCGACTTCCCAGCGATCAATTCCATTCTCAACTCCGTCGCTGCGATGACTGCCGTTCGACCACTGCTTCGGGTCGTTCAGGATCGATCCGTTAGCTCGGAACTTCAGATCGTCGGATAATCCCACGTTCTGACGCAGGCCCGGCATCACTCGGGGCTCGAAGCTCTGCGATCGGCGATTACCAGCATTCTCACCCAGGCGCGACGTTCGCACGCGCTCACCGAACGCAAACGCATTGTCGCTCGGGAGCTGGATGCCGACATCTCGCACCTTGACCATCCTCGGGCGAAACTTGCCACCGCTGAGACACCGGTCCATGACAAAGCAGCTCCAGAACGTGCGTCGCCTGGTCTCCTGCTCGATGATGTCGTCTGAATTCTGATCCTTCTGGTCGAGGTTCGAGTGGAGGGAGCTGCGACGCGAGAAGCGCTCGTTTTCGGTTTCGAGGGAGAGTCCCATTGCCTGGGCTAGTCGGATCGCCATCCCGACGTAGATCCATGCGTTTGTGCCGCGGCACATGCCCCATTCGTGCAGACCTAGCATCAGGAAGGCCTGGACGCGATGGATGTCTGCGGATGCGAGGTCGCCTCCGTCGCCTGCGACCAAGCGGGCGCGTAGGGCGTTGGCGTAGGATTCGGAAGCTACGAGAGGGTTTGATGGGTGGGCGGTAGATGAGGGTGAATGGTGTTGAATCAATTGCGGATGAAAACGGGCAGTCAGAGTCAACACTCCCAGAAGGACCAAAGGCGAGAGCTCCGCTCGAGGTGCTGGACTCTGCGACCGTCGGCTGGCCGTATCAGTTTGCGCGGGATTGGTGGAAAACTGCCGAATCTGAGAGAGGAACGTAGTGGGGTGTAAGAACGGCAGGGTCGCAGAGAAATGAAGCTGGAACAGATCGAACAGGCTCTCCCAGACTTTGACAGTGAGAAGGGTAGGGTCGAGGACGACCTGGTGGCTGTTCGTCCCCCTGTGAGCGTCTCTTGCACCGGCGGCTGCCGAATGTGCCGTCTTTCTCGGGCGCTGCCGCTTTGGGCTCTCCCAGTCGCCGTTCCGCTCCTCTCCGTCAGCCATTGCGGCAAGGTCTCGCTTGGCAGCAGCGGCGCTGGCGGTGCCGATTGCAGGTGTGGGATAGACGCACTCTCTGCCCGAGGACTCGCAGGCGCGGCAGGTGGTGTCGATACCCGCATTGACGCATTTGATCTTGCTCCGCCTGCAGCGGGAGCAAGCAATGCTCGAGCGCATCTTCAATGCGGGCTGATCCTTTTTCTTCTCCACGGTGATAGATTTAACAGACCTTTCCGGGTGAGGATGGGGTTCTAACAATCAAAAAAGGAGAAGAAAAGAAACGGAGGAGAGAAAGGGAAAAGAAGGTCGAATTAAGAGGCCAGGAATAGGATCTATATCAGCGCGTCTTGCCCCTGATCCTCCTCCTCTTCTGCTTCTTCTTCGACTTTCCGCCTCTGCTTCGGATTAAGTATGAAATTCCTCCAGGTTACGCCACGGCAGGCATTTCTTTTTCGCTTTTATTGCGAAGGAATAGGGCTTTTTTTTTTTTCCCCCTCTTTCGGGTCCGGGTGGTACTCTCCGTCGAGATCGCCCTCTCTCTGGTAATAGCTGGTCGTTGAACGGTTTTCGTTCGGTCGACTCCGAGACGACGTTTGCTTGTCGTTCCTCTTTTTTTTTTTTTTTTGTCCTTTTTGTCTTCTCTTGTTCGAGCTCACTTCACGACTCTGCCTGTGTAACAAAGAGAGGAAAAGGGAAAAGAAGGGGAAAAAAAAAAAAAAAAAAGGGCGCGGGGAATAAGATGAGATCTTTCTTCTTTCTCGAGACCGTAGCGTTGTAACGGGAGGTGACAGGGCGAAAGATGTATTATAAAGGGGAGAGAGTAGGTATTCGGCAAGGAAAAAGCGGGAGAACTCGGGGCGGACAGAGAGACAAAACAAAAAAAAGAAAAGAAAAGAAAAGCAAAGACAAAAAAAAAAAAAAGGATGGTTAATTCTGGCGAGATCAGCAGGATGCGCGCGGACGGAGAGTAGAAAAAGTCGCGCAGGCCGTGAGGAATTGCCGAAGCAGCGCTGTTGAGAGCTTCAACAAGGGATCCGGAGATGCTGCAACAAAGGGAGGCCCATTCCACGCCGGGTGTTATTCCTTTTTTCCTTTTTTTTTTTTTCTTTTTTCTTTTCTTTCTTTGCTGTTTGCTTTTTTATGTTTGCTTTTGTTCTTTTCTTGTCTTTCTCTCTCTTGCTCCGCGTATGCAGGATCTCACCAGGACAGGTGAAGTATGTATGGGAGTTGTGAGAAAGATGAGGAGATGGGAGGAGGGTTGGGGGAAAAGAATAAGGGCAGCAGAGGGTGAGAAGATGAAGAAGATGAGCACAACAAAGGCGGGAGAGGCCAGAGAGGGACAGAAAGGCCGGGAAGATGCGAGAGAGAAGTGTGCGCACACAGGGGGAGGTTCCCGTCTGCGCGTGAGTCTTGACTGGATAGATATGGACTGTCCCCTAACCAACTAATGCTCCGGAGTCGCTGGGCCTTGCTGACCAGCCGTGCACATGGCGTGTTCGGGGGCCTCGGGATCAACTGGCGGGCGAAAACTAAAGCAAAGCCGGTTGGGATCGAGCTTGGTTGCGGGCGGGCGCTATTATCGAGATCGAGGATGTTCGCCGGTTTTATGTTTTGCTTTTTTTTTTTTATCTCTTCTTTTTATTCGTGTGATTGATTCTCTCTTTCTTTTATTTTATTTTATTTATTTTTTTTCCCTTTTAGCTGTCTTGTATGTTATGTATTCTTTCTCTTCTCTCCAGGACGATGACCCAATGAACACCCCCCTTGACGACAAGGAGCTGACCGGGTTCGGAGGATTTGCAGGGTCGTATTTGGAACTATCGAATTTATTATTATTTCTCTCTCTCTCTCTCTCTCTCTCTCTCTCTCTTTTTTGTCTCTTGCTTCGTCTAGCATGTATGGATGTATGTATATACAACGGATGTATGGGGGGAGGGAGGGGGGAAGAGAGAGACCGGACAATGCCTGCACACGGTTTGAAATAAAAAAGGATCAGAGGGAACCGGCCGGCCAGCCAGCGAGAGAAGGAGAGTGAGTGGATAGAGAGAAGCTCGCGAACCCCAGCCCAACTCCGGACGGGTAATTATGGCCTGGAGTTCGGTACCCGCGTCAGGCCAGGGTGGGGAGAAAGCAGCCCGCAGCAAGGCTCCTTGGGGCGTTTTTTTTTTTTTTTTTCTTTCCCACCCAGGCCGAGAAGCAGGACGAGAACGGCGCACGGGAAAAGAGGGTTTCGGCGGAAGCGGCTTGTGCAAATTGGCTCGATTGGCTGGGCCTCTCTCTCTCTCTCCCTCTCTCTCTCTTACGATTATTTTTTTAAGATTTTTCTATTTTCTTGGGTTCACTATCTCAACTAAAAAACTACGGAGAACCGAGGGACAAAGGAGCGGTTCTGTCGGCCTTGGGGTACCGACGGGTCTTCCCATCATGATTTGTTTCGCCTGTGCTTGTACGGATGGGCCGTCTACCCGTCTTTAGTCTTGGTGATTGATGACCAAACATTGTGTATATATCATGCTCATACACACAGAGAGAGAGAGGGAGCAGAAAGAGACAGACAAGAGAGGGAGAGCAGAGCTTGCATCTGGTCGGGGACAGGTCGGGGACATGGAGCGGCCGGCTGTGGGGCGAAAAAAAAAAAAAAAGAGACCACCGAACCCGAAGAGAGACAAATGGCGCTGTCTGCTCTCCGGCCAATTCGCATGCCGGGGCGGAGAACCAACCCTCTGTTGAGGATAATCAATGGGCCCTGTCCTGTGGTTCCTCGCCCAGGGGATAATGGGCCGCGCATGTACGGAGTATGGAGTATGGAGTATGTATGGATGTACGTACACATATGAGTCGTTAGCAGTTAGGGGGGTTTTTCTTTTTTTTCTTTTTATTTTTTTTTTTTTCTTTTAGTCTGGCATTGATTAAAACCAGCTACGGAGGATTTGCCGAGAGAAGCAATTCAGTCCGCTAATGTGAAGATCAAACACGATCACAGGGTTCTCTTCACACAGACGGAGTGAGAGACAGTGTGGAAAAAGCAAATAAAAGGAAAAAAAAAAAAGGAAAAAAAAAAGAGAAAAAAAAGGAAAAAAAGTCTATGGATGCTCGGAGGAATCGGTGAAGAGAGTACTCGATCCCGTGTCTCTTGATCTCGATCGGGCTTCCGTGCGGCGCTGCCACCGTTGCTTGAGCTGCGATGGATGCTCCCAAGGTTATTCAGGAAAAGCAAATACAATTTAAACAAAAATAAAAATAAAAAGAAATAACATGTGTAGTTACTATGTAATGTAAAATGAAGAACAGGACCAGCATCACGAAAAAAAAAAAAAAAAAAAAAAAAAAAAAAAAAAAGAAAAGAAAAAGAAAAAAGAAAAAGCCAATGATCGAGTCGAGTGTGCAGGAAGATCAAATCGGAACGCATTGAAATGCAATCCAGCGATGACGAATTTGTCCTGAAAATCACTTCCTTGGCCTTCTCCCCAGCCGTTCCGGGAGGGGCGAGCCTACATAGCACAGAAAGGCAAAAGGGAAAAAAGGGTCGCGCTAACTAACAGGTCCAAGGAAAAAAAAAAAAAAAAAAGAAAAAAAGAAAAAGAAAAAAGAAAAAAAGCCAAAACCCAGCGCACTGCCGAGATAGCGCTTCTGATTTACCGTGAACCAAGCAGCGTCGAACCCGAGCAGACCGACGCGGGGAAAAAGAAACGAGAGCGATCTTCCAATAGTCCAACCGTCGATCTGCCTGCTGCAAAGTCGCACAGTTGCCGATGGCGAAGGCCCTCGCATCCCATGCAGGCCAGGCTTCATGTCGCTTGCTACATATCTTCTCCTTTCACTTCTCTGTCGTCGCACTGAAGAAATTAATTCTCCGGAGCCTTCTTCTTCTTGTAATTTAATTTTATAATTTTTAGAATTAGTATTTTGATAAATCGGCACGAATCTGGTGATGGGTGATCGTACGACTCGTCGAGGAGTCGCCGCGCCGTCTCCTGAATCATGGGCATCGCGCTGAGCGTGCTCTTCCGTGGCGAGTCCGTCGTCCATTCGCTCTCCTCCTCCTCCTCTTCGCCGCGAAATATTCCCGTAGCGCTCCGTCGCCAAGCCGGAACCCCTTGTCAGCACCTTTTGTCAAGTGTCCTTTTTTTTTTTTAAAAAAAAAAAAAAATAAAATAAAAATATATATATAAAAAAAAAAAAGGGCCAACTACGGAGTACTTGTTACCCGACCTGACCGCGCTTCGGACATTAAACCACTCCAAGCCAGCCAGCCTGCCTGGTCCGTCCAACGATATAACTGGCCTTCTTTCTTTTTAAGCTCTCGGTAAAATACTATGCGAGGCGAGGAGAGTGTGTAGCACAATCCCAGTCCTTATCATGTTGTTATGTACTCCGTAACTACATACATACTCTACCCTCTCTCGGGACCGCAATCATCTCGTCGTGGCGCTCTCTCTCTCCCCCCCGCCCTCCCGATCGGCTGGCCAGTTTCGCAACCGGGTTGGACGATCTTGGGAGCTGGCTGATTTGCAGCACATCACCTTTGCCCTCTAACCAAAGAAAGCCCACCCCCCGCCCGCCGCCGCAATACTATCAGGTTTGCTTTCAGTTGTCTTCAGGGATTCTGCCCAGAAGGATTACGAACACCCAGAACGCTCCCCAACTAAACCATTACGTAGTAGAAAACGGGAGAATGATAGTCATTCCAGTCCGGCCTGCTTTTTGTGAGGGTGGAAATTAAACAGTAAAATAAATAAAATAGAATTATATTTAAAAAAAAAAAAAAAAAAAAAAAAGATTGACGACGATGACGGCAACGACCAATATTCCCATTATTTAAATACTGGCATTGTTATATGAATGGTGTTTCACTGTTAGTACATAGACCCAGCTCCGGTTCTCAGACAAGACGGATCTGATCACCACCGTGCTTTGCCGCTTCGAAGGTCTCTGCTTTCTCGGGTCGGGTTTGAACGCGAGTAGCCGAACGAGCAGATTCGTAATGCTCCTCGCATCATCAATTGTTGTTAAATATATCGAGCTGCAAAGCACCTGAATCGTCAAAGAAACGGAACAAGCTCATGCCGGCCATTCTTCCCACTCCGGTATAATGTCGTCTCAGCTCCGACATTGTTTGCTCAGGTCCTATTCTCACTCACTTTCTTCCCCCCCCCCCCCCGCTCTCTCTCCTTTTTATCCCCGGCTTCAAAGAACGCCGTCGGTGGGGACCCTTTTCCTTATCGTCCCCTTCGTTATGGTGCAGGGTTTCCCCCCGTCGGTCCAAACCCTCGCTAACCACGGAGCACCGATAAACGTAACTACTAAAACCTACGTGTTGTGTCTTGAGTTCGTGAGCTGTAAAAAGAGACAAGGTTCACAACCGATCGGAACTGCGTGTGGGAAGCATTTCCGATCGGAGGCCCCCCGGCTAGCGGTTGAATGGGACCGCCGCAGAAAACCTGGTACCAACTAACCGAAAAAAGCCCAAAATAAACCCAAGAGGGGCCCGGAGGGGGGGAGAAAAAGAAAAAAAAAGAGAGAGAGAGAGAGAGAGAGTTTGCACGTTTTCGTTTCCTGCGATTTTGTCCATCGTTTCCTCTGATTTGCTTATCCGACCGTCGGCGTCTAAGGAGTTGCACCGAGGAGGAATTTCCTGGATCTTTTTTCGAGTTAATTTCCCTTTTTTTTCGTTATGATTATTTTTATGCTTTAACGAGCTGTGTTGGGCCGGCCCGATATGGTTCAACGGCTTTTCTTTCTATCGCACGCCAAAGCTTCCCGCTGCAGAGAGAATGAATCTAAGGACAGATTGGGAAATAAGAAGTGCGGGGGGGGGTGTGTTTTGGAGCTCGATCTTCCTGTCTCTCTCTCTTTTTTCCAAGCTTCGCTTCGACTCTGCTGCCAAGGTCACTTGGGGCCGAGTGCATGAGGTTTCTCACTGCTCCTTGGGGTCCAGGATTGAAAAGAAGGCGGCCTGCCAGTCGATAGAACGAATAAGAATTGAATGCGAGAAGCCAAAAAAAAAAAAAAAAAAAAAAAAAAAAGAAGAATTCAAGACCTCAGAAGGCAAATGCTTTCTGGCCTTCTCCCCTTGTTCATGTTGGCTTAGTGTGTGCTAAGAACAGGGTTTTCTGAGGACTTGTTGCTTAAAAATTGCTACCTTGCTTCTTGACATACGAACCAAGAAGGCCTCTTCTTTTTTTTTTTTTTCTTTTTCTTTTTTTTTTTTGCTTTTTCGCCTAAATCGGGGACTTCGGATCTCTTCGCAACGCCCCGTTTGTCTGGTTTGTCTGGGAGACCTTGATAAATTGGTTTTATTGCCTGTCTCGAGGCCATCTCTCCCCCCCCGTTCACGAGAGATATGGGCTTGTCTTGTCGTTTATCGCGTTTTGATCTCAACTGGCATACGGGCTTAATGGCCTGTTCCCGTCTATTCGTCAGGATTGCTCCTTTCGTTTGGCCAGCGACCCATGGTTCGATGGCAACCAGACTGCTCTTTTTTTCCCTTTCATTTTTTTTTTATTTTTATTTTTATTTTTTTTTTTTTCCTGCGTATTCATGCATGGCCATGGCTGGGCAAACTTTTGCTTTCTTGGTATCTTGTCCTGCTAAACTTCCCCCCTCCCATCACCTGCGACTCCTACATGGGTCATGACCTTTGATCCTTGCGAACCACGCGATAGTTGGATGCGAGAGACCTGGGAAAGTTAACTGCTGTTACTGATTCTCGGGTCCGCTTCGCTCTTCGCCTTCGCGGTCTGCTTCTTCCAAGCATCTGTGTATCCTATACATTGGTGAATACGCGCGTTGTCTAGCGAAGACGAAAGAAAGAAAGAAAGAAAGAAAGAAAGAGAGCGAACCGGCGCCCAGACCGCAGAACTCCCCATGTATAAATTATAAATAGCATTTTATTTACTTATCCAACCAGTCTTGACCGCGGGAGATGATGCACCGGGTTTTGGGGCGCCAAAACCAGCTCAAGCAAGCACATACTAAAATATATTTTGCAATACGATGCGACGTTCGATTCTCGGCTTGATAACCAGCTGCGCTGTCGTCTTTTTCAAGTCTAAACGGCCGGCCCGATTTCGCCAGAAGCGAGCCGAGATGAAGAGGTTAACGAACTAACTGACTACGGCGTAGTTCTATGCCCTACGTTTCTCTTCCCTGTTCATAGCAAGGTATAAAATCCCACACATGGCCGCCGTCCTCCCTCTTTTTTGTTATGGCGATACGACGAGAGAGATTGATTGCGTCGGGACGCGAGAGAAAGAGAAACACGATTAAAAAAAAAAAAATATTTCATTCTCGACGGGCGCTACGCGGGAAAAGGACATGTAACCTCGCAGCTGAACCGATGAACCATCACCATCAGTAATGCTATCACCCAAACATAACACGCCATAACCAACAACAACTACTGCGCGGGATCTTGGTCCTCTTCCCTACTTTTTCCAAGCTTGACCATACTTAGCTAAGGATACCGACGTATGGAATATCCCATGTATATTCCTTATGTGTGTTGGTACCCGGTACCTTTATTACTTTAACTAGTTACCTTCTTTATGACAAATCACCCGTTCCAACTCGATGGGCAAAGCCAAACAAGCCTTTCCCCCAGAATGTTTGTCCCTAGTTAGGCGTACACCGCAAGATCAGCGAAACGCTTGTTGCATTTTCCTTGCTTCTTAGCTCCAAATGATCGGGGATGTTCAGTGTCTTATTGGACTAAGCACTACGTATATTAAATTTTTTTTTTTTTTTTTTTTTCAGATCCAACAGCGAGAGGTTGACTTACGAGTTGGTCGGGGTTTCTTTTACGACTTGGATTGTCCCTCGACTCTCCCTTCCGGTTGTTGGGTTTCCACACCCGGGGGGTGGTGTGGAATTGAAGATGACGGGTTTTCTTGCGCTATCATGAACGGGTGCTACGTAGGCACCGGTAGTCGGCCAGGACGACATGATGGGACACGAGAACTCGGAGACAAATTCGGAATTTTTTTTTATTTATTTATTTTTTTTTTTTGGAACAAGCATATCTACACACCCGTCTGCGTAAGAATGTAACGACACACACTCGCATCGTTTTGCTTTTTCTGTTGGTCGTTGGCGTGGCGCCGTGCGGCGAAGTTGATCATTGATCCGTCACGATCGATCTCGTCTCCCAAGCTAGTCAGCCAATTAGCTCCATATGTATGTAACCACGGAACCACTCTATAGCCCAGAGAAGTTGGGAACACACGAGGAAAGTCCACCAAGGGCTAGGTATGAGGATCTTCTCGACTCCATCTCGCTTGGAAATCAACTGCAGTTCTCAAGAGATCAATCACGACGGTGATGCATGCATGATTAGAACCGATTCCCGATGCAAGCGCGGTGAAATTTCGGGATGCACCGAAAGTGAAGGTTACAAGGTAGGCGTATATGTGTACGTAGCCGCGTCAAATTCCACAGCGCTAATGCCAATCCTACGCAGCTCCCGACCCTACGATGCGTACGGAGCTCAGCGTTGTGTGTGAACCGTGTGTATGGGAGAACCGCAAGAGCTCCCGCGAGTATGAAACTTCGCCGCCCATCCTGGTCACTTCGTGCTTTTTTGCCAGTACCCTGCCTCCAGGTTTGGGGTTAAATCCGTGGATTCAGCCAAGCTGAACAGCGGCTGGGAAAAATAGGTACTCTGTTCTCGGGGCCGTTAATTGTCCCGCCCCTGCTCGAACTACCAGCTTCGCATCAGAAACCTGTCTGGATACCCCATACAATCATTGACCAGTCTTCCCGGCTAAGGCATCGGCAAAGACACCACGGTTTGCCGTGGCGCACTGCATTACTCCCCTTTCTTTCAATTTTCTCCTCTTGTCGACGGATACCGGCCAGGCACCGACCGGGTCTAAACGACAATTCCGGTCCGAACAAAGAAGAGAAGTGTCACTCAAGAAGCCAAGCCTTGACAGCCAAGTCGTTTAGTTTGGTCCAAAGGGTAAGGGTGTCATATCCTCCGCGTGTTCCCTGCTTCTGAACCCCGGACCTAGGCCGGGGTTTATTGTCCAATCCCGTTGCAAGGTTAGCTGTTATGAGGGCTGCAAGTGAACAGGGGCATTCTTCTATGCCGGGTAATTACGACCAGGATGGCTGGCGTTCTGGATATTCGTCTTTCGGATTGATCGAAGACCCCATTAACTTCGTTGGAGGGGTGTTTGTGGCTGAAGTGGAAACCGCATAATAAGCCATTGCAAGGGCTGCGCCGGGGTCCACTAGAACGAAGAACTCGGGTATGAAACAGAGGGGCGAGTGCGCATATTGAAGATCTGACCAGGTTATCAAGGCAGTTGCTGTTTCCCGTTAAAGTGCTTCCATCCATGCGGCAGAGCCCGAGAGAAAAGATCTTTGACTAGGTGCATGCGTAATTGCTCAAAGTAACATGAAATATAAAACATTACATGCACCTGCATGCATTTGTCCCTGTAACTACGGGGTATTGGAACGGGCTGGCCTACAGCAAGCCTTGTTCTCGAAAGTCGCCAGACGTTCCGTGCTCATGGTGTGGGAAGACTCACGATCTAGAGTGCAACGCATAACTGATATCTTATTCCTCGTTAACAAGGAGCGCAACAAGGGATTGGGGCGGGAGAAAGGTCGGGAGGACAGGTGGCGCTCGATCGACTTACATTTTCCCTTTCCTAAGTAACTTATTGCGAGACGCGGTTATACGTCTACGGTGTTCCTTTCCTTTGGGCACTGCTCTGGTCTCAATCCAGCGTGTTGGATTGATTTGGGAGAGTGGAACGCAGATGCGACATTGAAACCACATTCATGTAATCCTAAAAGACCTCCACAACCCCAAATTAGGGAATAATAGACGTGGATAGGAGGTAAAGCAGTAATTCTCAATTTGGGAATTTGTCCAAGGCATTGCAATGACTTGATTTGGGCCGAAAGTGAACGTTGGCAGCCGAATTCCAGTGACACCCCAGGGCTTATCCACGAATATCATTTCGCATCATGTGCCAGCCTGATACTGTCTCTTGGAACCCCATTCACATCCTGCAGCTCGACGAAAATTAGACGGTTGCCACCTGTTAGAATCCGGTTGGCTTTTACCTGGTATCAATTCCCAACTACGGAAAGGAAACTGTCGGCGGGGACCCGACGGCTCCGGGGAAGTGAAAGGCACTTGCGATAACCACTGGGGGAAGGGACGGGGGAAGGGAAGTACGCTCGGATCGCCCGAGGCTGCACGTCACTGACTTGGGCAATTCTAAGACCAGGAAGCCCATACAGAGTACTGGGCCTATTTTGAATGCTGCGCTCTTAATAGCGTCTATGAAACAAAAAAGCACAGAGCCAGAGTCTAATGTTCTGGTCATTGCTAGGAGGGTTTCTTCAAGCTTCTGGATTTGTAGATCATGGTGTTGCAGGTGAAATCGAAATGATCAGCAATGCATATTGCCATTGAAGAAAATGATATGCTTTCACCGACGAATATGAGCCAGTACGGAGTACACTGTACTCCTTGCGCTACCATGGCTTGGGTATCATCGTCGATTTCACTCCACTGTTCAGGGGAACATCGAGTCCAGACACTTTGAAATCAAATACTAGAACAACCTTAACTGTTTGAAGGAGCAAAAGAATTAAAGTTCAATCGCGATTCACGCCAATTGGCCTGTAGTCAACTACTCAACGGGCGTTGTCCGTGTGTTCGCGGAAGGCAGATGCTGAAGGATTCCGAAAAAGACCATCGATGACTTGACACACCTCAACCAGCGGGTCATCGGCACACTTGCCATGAAGAAAAATTCTCGAGACCCCTCACAGTGACATCGACCGGAGAGATATCGTCTCCGCGCCGGTGATGTTGACTGGGCAGACTTACAAGTTGAAAGACGTCAGGCACCCGAAATGCTGACGTAAGAAATATCAAACCTATCACGTGATTTAACCTTGGCGAGCAAAATTTCCTCTGCAGCACATCCAGCAAGACACAGCTTCAAGCATCTCGAATCTTTCCATCCGCTCTCCAACCCGGCCATAGCTCTGCTCATTGCGACGCATCCTTCAAGGATTATCTCAACATGGCGAATGAACAATCAGCAGGTATGGCCCTTTTCCTTTTTCCCAAGCCGTTCCTCGCCCGAACTCTATCAGGGACTTCTTGATAGCTCTCGATAGCAATTTTGACTAACGTCTGCGATGCGATTCCGCATATTTGCAAGTACACAGCTTGGCCTATCGCCGATGAAGCTCTGTCCACTGAACTCCTCGATCTTGTCCAGCAAGCATCTCACTATCGTCAGTTGAAGAAGGGAGCTAACGAAGGTATGCCTTTCAGACTCTTTAATTATTTCCCCCCAGCCGGTTGCAACCGACTCAGAAATACATTAATTTTTGGAAGCAAGCTAACGGATATAAAAATAGCCACCAAGACTCTCAACCGCGGAACATCGGAGTTGATCATTCTGGCTGCTGATACCTCCCCGCTCGCTATCCTCCTCCATCTTCCCCTACTTTGCGAAGATAAGAATACCCCCTATGTCTATGTCCCTAGCAAAGGTACGATATGCTCTGCTCCCTTGGACGAGCCCGGTTTCTCTGACTTTACTTGTGATTTTAGTCGCTTTGGGCCGAGCATGCGGTGTAAGCCGTGCCGTTATCGCCGCCAGCATCACCAGCAACGAAGCTAGCGATCTGTCGGCGCAGATTCGGAATATCAAGCAGAAGGTTGAGAGATTGATGATTTAAAATGTTGTGTGCAATAGTAAAATGATGGCGTGTAGCGAGAGAACTTTGGATTTGTGGATGTTGTCATTCCCGCACGTCATGCTATCCGTTTGTTCTGGCAGCTAAGATAACTTGGGGGAATGGAGTTTTCTTGATACGCTCAGGGGAATTTGCCGGCGTTATACTAGGATATATGGACGGGATTATGGTTTTCGAAGAGAAATTTTACGGCACTGCCTTAAGTAAAATGAAATTTCGTGGAATAACACTTAAATAGTCCACATTCATGCAACCATCCAGGCCCACCTAATGCCATGTATGATATGCCACGCTATGATCGATATGTCCTCGCCAACGCACTAAAACTATACCAACCCTGCTAAGCAGGAATATGGAGAAACGGGGACCCAAACTAAACACCCAGGCTAGAAACAAGCGTGGGAGAATGCGCTGCAGAGCGAAACGTCCCGAAAATTAACGTTTAAAATATTCACAGTGATGGGCGAATCGTATGTAGAAACCGAGGATATGAGAAAAAAGAAAGCCAAAAGGCCGCCAGATCCGTCACATAGATTTCAAAGTAAAAGCTTTCCAGTGACGATTCAGCTAGATTGCGGAAATGCCGAATAATCACCGACGAGGCAATAACGTTGCACGCGGGCGAGAATGCTACTGACAGGAGAAGGCATGCTCACTTATCAACATTGATAATTAAAAAATTTAAAGTAAAATTGGTCGACTTGAAATGGATCGCAAGAGGGCTCCCAGTAGGGCATATGTGAAGAATTAAGTAAAGGCGTGGTGAACATGATCTGGGAAAGGGGAAAGAAAACCGACCAAGTTATAACCGGGTATCAAATGGTAAAACCTCAAAAAAATAAAGGGAAAAATGTCCAGGGTCTGCTAGGTGTGAAAGAGGGAACGTAGGTGTTGCGGAAGGAAAGCTGGAGTAGCGACGAGGAAGATCAGATTGCTGGAGTGGGGACGAGAGGTCGATATCAACACGTTTCTTCAATATCCATCAACCATCTACGGATGCCCTCTCTCAAAGTGTTATCAGCAATGGTGCCGATCCCCTTTCTAGCCGTTCGAGAAGAGCCTTTAATATCCGCGTTATCAAGCTTTGTGCTCGACTCTTCTCGGCGATACTCGAGAGCCACACTCCGTACGACTTCTTCTAGGGCGCCAAGAACCATTCTACGACATTCATTCCGGGGAACCTCGAAAGTGGGAACCTCGCTTGTATTGCTCGCGTCGTGAGTCTGTCTGTCACCCAGCTGACGTGGCCCGGGCCTTCCTCTGCGGCCACGATTAGGAGACGCAGTTCTAGAATGATTGGCAGAAGGGGGACCGGATTGTGCCAACACACGCTCGACAGCGTCGACAAGGGTGCCGTCAAGGTCCATCACAGGCTCTTCAATGAACTCTTCTTCGATAAAACGCGTTTCAATAGGGCTTGACATGCCCGGATCTGATGCAGAAGAGGGTGCAGAAAACGAGGTCTTGCGTCCAGACGACGTGATCGTAGGACTAAGGGGGCCCGAGCCAGACTTTGTGCTAGATATCTTTCGACGTAATCTAAGCCGCTTCACAGTTGATGAAGTGGTGTCTGCAATTAACGTTGAACAGATATCTACCCACTTTTCGGAACAGCCCGAAGCATTAAGGACTGTAGTCATTGTAGCAAGAAGGTGAGTTGGTGTTGGTTCTGCAGACATGGAACGTCTGACATCGGCTTCTAATGTCGGATACGGTCGTACTGCTTGAAGAACAAAGTCCTCGTGATAACGACTAAGCCAACCCGCAACGTTGAGATTAAGCCTTTCATAATCCCTTTGAGTAGTTGGGCAAGGATAATTGTCGGTCTGAAACGAGGCCCCGCCATCAATACTGGTGATTGAGGTGCGAGTTTTACGCGGGGAGGCCATAGTCGAATCATTTGAGGAAGAAAGAGATAGAAAACCAGGTAAAGGCACCTCAACATCCACAACGCCATCACTTGCCTCTACGCACAGCTTCACTGGAGATGCAGGCGTCTCATCGTAAATATCTTGCTGTTCCGGAGACAGTTCCGTGGTGACTTCTGTTGAATCCGTGTGGGGAATAGACGTTCCAGGCAAATCTGAATTATCGCCTGATCCGATATTTCCAGAAGAGTCATTGTCAGTTTCTCCCGCCATCTTTACCAGAGTCGAAACGGGGGAATTGGCGGTTTGAGGAGGTGAGATCGAGGAATCTGTCTCGTCTCGCCGAAGAGATGGAGGAGCATCAGTTTTAGCCGTTGATGACGTTTCCCGAGAACTCCAAAGATTGGAGAGCAAACTTCCCCATCTACTAGGGGTGGGATAATCACTGCCGGTAGAACCAGCATTTGAGCTTTCGCTCCGTCGGAGAGTTTGCATTAAATTGGCGGATGCTGCGCTGACGTTCTCAGACTGCCCGGCAGTGGTACCCCTTTGTCGGGGCCCACGTTGAGAGGCAAAGTGCGGTACGGGTGTAGCCGTACCAGGTACAGCAGGAGCAGCAATGGCCGTACTGCTTTTCCGCATACTCATGCTATTAGCAGGAATCGGAAGGCTAGCGGTTTTAACAGACCGAACATCAGAGTCTCGGCGAATTTGACGAGCTGAGATACTCATAAACTCGAGGTCGTCGGCGAGGGCATTGGTTGTTTCATTCGACGAAACACTTGCGGATCTCTTAAAATTCTCCTGTTCGTCGACAAAATTACGAGTTCTAGCTCGCCTATTAAGTGTTCGACGAAGCGATTCTCGTCGGAAAAACTGGGGATTTGGGGGGCTCTGAGAAGTTTGGCGCAAGGAAGCAGAAGTGCTTGGGCGTAGAGGTGACGATAAAGTATCTGGCCGTTGTTGAGCTGGCAAAAATGCAGAAAGAACGAATATCAATCGCCTTGCCGTCATTTTACAGGGCGATATGATAACGGTTCTATTTGGAATGCTGAGTTCGCTATCTTGCTGCGCTCTTTGTTGCAAGATATGGCGTCGTTTGTGCCATTCAGGTCCAAGTGAACCAAGCCAATCGGTATGGTTCCCGAGGAATGCTGTAATTAAGACTAGGAAGAAAAAATTATGCTCTTTCTCACTTAGAAATTTAGCGATCCATCGGGCTTCATCCCTCCAAACACCCCATCGACTTTGCCCTGTCACAACACGTGGGATTTTGAGAGCTAAAGAGACTCGGTGAATCGCGCGTAAGGTCTCCTGCTGGAGAGCTACGTTACCCGCAAGGCTATTGGGAGGCAAGTGGATCATAGTTTGATTCGTCCGCTGCATATTTGGTGGCTGTTTAATGGGCTTGGGCCGCTGAATTGTGAGTAGGTCGGCCTCTTTGAGAAGCGAAAGGATCTCTTTACTCGCCACCTTCTCAAGATGTGAAAGCATGCGAGTGATGATGTCCCAATAGTCAACAAGCGTATCAATTCTTTCATCTAGATTTGAAGCCGCAGATAAGTATGTTGAACCATCTTCAGAAGCAAAATGCCATCGTTTGTCAGAATCTAGAGACGTTGATATCAACCCTGGAGGCTTCAGGGTATCTTGCCCACAGGGGCTGTACTGCCGTCCATGGTTTCGAATAGCCACTGGAAGTTGCACGGCGATGGCAACGGCATACATTGGGGTTTTCTTCTCTTTTATCTTTCGTTTCTTGTAATGAGCCGAATCATTATAATAGAATAGCTTAGCAAACGACGAAAGTTGAGGCTCGGGAGGTTCGGCAGTCAGGCCCTGCGCCTCGGGAAGATTGACGCTAAACATCCGGGTGACCAGTACAGTTATCTTTGTTGCGGATGAAGAACCCTGGTCTGCGACGCTAAGCTCACGAGATAGGCCTTTGGGCTTCGATGGGGAACTAAAGGTCTCCGCTCGTTGGTGATGTGATGGGCGCTGAACTGAACGGTTTCCGATTTCGTATGGAGATTCTCCACCAGCAGGGACTATGTGCATTTTGGTAGATGACGCACGATAACTAAAGGCGCTGCTTCCAAATATACAGTTCAAGAGGCCCGAGTCACCGCTATCACCAGAAAGGCGGTTCTGGTGGTAATCCTCGCCGGTTGTGGTGGAGAAAGTAGATCTTCGGTTCCGGGCACGAAAAAACACGCTCATATTACCAACATCACCACGGGTTCTCGAGTCAGTGAAGGGCGAATTTGGGATTAGATCTGGAATGGACGACTGTGAACCATGTACCGCATGTCTTCGTCCGTTTTGCGATGAGCTCGAAGTCCGAGAATGTCTCCCACGAGGCGTTTCTGCCAGCGGCGATCCCTGAGAAGATCGGGACGGTGTTTCTGCTCCTAAAAGGTTCAAAGTATCAAGCAGAACACAGGGTTCGTCACGATCTCCCATTGCATTTTGAGCAATAATGATCCGAAAATCCTTCGTCTCATCTAGGTCTAAACCACCTTTATCATCAAAACTGCTGGCAGCAGCGGCATTTGGAGAGAGGGCGCTGATCTGGAGTGGGTATGTATGAGTTCGCGAGCGTTGGAGGACACTGACATCGGGGAACAGGAGACCGGAAGTGTGCTCTTCTTCTGTAACAGATTCAAGCTGGGTAGGATTACGCGGAGAATGAGGATTAGTGTTGAAAGCCGAAGCTGCCGTGTTTAAGAGCCTGCCCAGCATTTTACTAGCTCTGCAGGAACAGCAGTAACAGTGCTAGTAGAGCTGAATGATATAAAGACAGGGGTTCCTAATAATGGCTAAACAGAGCAAACCCATTGTCTATGGACATGGAAGGATGCATCATTCAGCTTCACTCAAGGAGCGCGTCTGTGTGCAAGAATGTTAATATGGCGTCACAGCAATCGCATCAGTATCACCATGTTAATCACAATAATAGGAGATGGGGGTTAGAAAGAGGTGAGAAAGCTTAAAGATGAGGATAGAAGATAATCGCAACCTCCAGCGACAAATATCCAGAGGACACTTGAATTGGAGAGATGCAGTGCAGTGGTGGAGGGGAGGGATGGTTGAGGATGATCGTGCCGGCATGTTTCTCGGCCAAGAGGCGGTGAGCAGCAGGCGCAAGCCTCATCATTATGTAATGCACCTTAACCTCGGCTCATAATCACGTGAGTTTAATCCTGAGTGGACGGGTCTTGGCCTAAATAGAGTTTTGCCTGGATCACATGCTATTCTCAGCCCTATTCTTAATAACTTCATCCCTTGTTTATGGCATCCTCTCCTCTGTACTTCTCAGCAGAAAGTGACAACCCTTTCCAGAGGCCTGTCTCACCTAGCCATCGTTTCCATTGATGCTTTACTCCCAGGATTATCAGAGGCACCCTCGCTGCTCTAATACAGCCGCTGAATTTCGGGCGCAGCTGTTGTCTTTCCTGCACAACCTGTTAACCATTGATTGTAGTCTGCAAGTCAGCGCTTCGCAAAGTGTGCTGGTTTTTCCTCTACAAATTGAAGGCATATATTGCTTTCAAGACAATTTTAAAGCTTGGAGCTCCTTTTCTTTCTTCAAGCCCTCACTTCCTTTCCACCTTGCAAACATCGATTTTGTTTCTTTTTCCATTTCACTTTGCACCTTGATCACAGTTGATATCTGCTGATTCTATACCTGTAATCAAGGTTGCCTTTTGCTGATTCCTTAAATATCCTATAGAGATCTTCTGCTCAGCTGGTTGCTTGCTTGACAGCGATCAAATTGATAGCATCCTTCTTCCCTGGTCGTGTTATCTTTGCTCAACTTTTGCTTTGTCACTGTCGCCTAGCGTCAGATTTTCTCTATTTATAAACAGCTTCTCTTTCAATTTTGATATCCAGGCGCATTCCAATTTCCTCTTCACCCATTCACCTCATCAATTTCAAGTTCCCTTTTTGTATTGTAGAAGTCCGATCCATTTGCGTTTATGGGCAAAAATTCGACCTCCATGATGGAACAGCAACCGGATCCCTCACATATAGAATTGGAACCTGAAACCGAGGCATCTACTTTGGAAGAAGCTCTTATGCTCCCAGAAGTTAGGAATACGGAGCAAGGCGTCGCTTTGCAGTTGAACAATGATGCTGAAGCTAACACTGCTATTTACGATAACCATGGAATACAGGAGACTATTGCACAAACTCATTCACAGCCTCAGGGGAGGATGAGTGCTATGGGCAAGGCTTCATCTACGGTTGAGGCGACTGGGGACGCTGCGGCTGGGACGGAGCAGCTGATTTCCACGACTGAGCATGACTCCCTCAATTTTACTTTTGACGATGAATACTACGATGATCTCTCAGAGAGAAATGAAGCGTACGTGATGCCTTCATGTGTGGCAATTATCCTCCGACACGTCAACAGATTTGAGAAAATAAAATCAGAGTTTGAAGCTAAAAAAGACCCTAGCCTACTGGAGAAGGTGCAATTTCAGAAGGCCCAGAATGAGGAGCTTAAACGGCTGAAGAGGCTCAAGAGCCAGAAAGAAAAGCGTGAAGAAGAACCGAGTTATGCGCCCTCAGATGCTGGCCCTCGGTTGGGTTCCGTTTCCGCTAGCGAACTAAGCTTCGGCAACACCAAGTATCAGCTCTTTTGCTCAGATGATGATAAAGGAACCGCAACTAAGTCCACTGCGGGACGCGCAAAAAGCGAGGCAAAGCAACGGGGCAAAGGAAAGCAGACAACGGCCCGAAACAAGATCGACGCCAAGGTTAAGAGACAAACTGCGGCTTCCGGGTTTGAAGCCTTTCGACAGAGTCTTGTTAAAAGGGTGTGTCTTTCTTCATATTGCTGATAATCCGCTGCGGATAGCAGTATTATTGACCGTTTTTAGAAAACTAGTGGCAAAGGTGTCCATAAAGGGAAATCGTCCCGTCAAAATAAGCACGGCAAACAGCAACCTAAGAAATCGAGACAAAACCGAAAGAGGGAGGCCGTCGACATGAATTTGCATGGTTTGTTTTCATCAGGTATTGTCAAAGCTGCAAAGGCAAATGCGGCTAAACCAGGGATTCCCTCATTTTCTGCGAAGGCAAAGGATAAAGCAATGAAGGAGCTTATTGCCAATATCCCACAAGCGGATCCAAAAGTCGTTAGCACTGATAGAAATGCTATTATGTCTGCTATTATCAAATTTACAAGGAAACCCAAGGCAGACGGAAATGGCAGCTGGCTTCATCCAGATATGAAGACAAGTTTATTTCATTACCAGGTGAGTGAATTTGTGTGTGGTTTCATGTGTTCAGAATGCTAATCCGTTTTAAGCTTTTGGGAGTAGCCTTCATGGTAATTCTCTCATTTCCCTATCAAATCTTGAGGGCTGAATAAAGCTAATATGCATGCAGCGAGATCGTGAGAATTCCCCAGTGGCTCCTTTTGGTGGTTTCCTGTGTGATGAGATGGGGTTTGGGAAAACAATACAAGCAATTGGTACGAACTCACTTTTGCTGTGTGAGACTAACCACTAACCTGCACAAGCCAATATGGTGGATGGCAGACCAGGCCCAGACGATAATGCAAAAACCACATTGATTGTTGTTCCGCCACATTTAGTTAACCACTGGTAACCTTCTCAATCTACATAGTCAGCTTAAATAACCTGCAAATTAACTCTGGCAGGATGAGTCAACTACACGAGCATTGCAAGCCTAATGTTTTGGGCGGTGTTGTTCAACATCATGCGATAATAAAGCTTCCTGATGATGTCTTCACTTATTGCCTTGATAAGATTGGTGTTATGCAAGTATCTATTCCTTTTGATATCTCGCCAAGCTGACAACTATAGTGTCACCACGTACTCTGAAGTCCGCAAGTCGTATCCCGAGCTTGAGTTTCCCCGGAATAAAACCAAAGAAAGTGGAAATCAAGCTACATGGCGTAAATTATTTTATGAAACTTGCGGTGTGCTCCACCGAACTAACTTCCATCGAATAATTTTGGACGGTGAGAATTCGGTTTCCAAGTCTGCCTTTTAGTTATACTCACTTAAGGTGCAACATAGAGGCACACGAAATTAAGAATCATGCATCGAAAACAAGTTTGGCTGTGCGCATGCTCTCAGGGCGATTCCGATGGATTGTTACCGGGACCCCTGTCCACAAGTAATTACTCCTGGAGGCTATTTTTCTTATCTACTCTAAATACAGATGCGTCGTGGCTTTTAAGCGCTAATAAATGCACAGCAATGTTCTAGAATTTTTTCCCTACTTCGAGTTTCTCAAAATTCCCCAGACTGGGAATTTTGAAAGGTTTTGCAAAAATTATTGCCCGGTAACGCCAATATCTCCCCGCGCTTTTATCTAGCTAACCATGAAGTTCCAAGAATGGCCAAGTTAACCACGCCCGGCTTTCCAATCTCTTGCGAGGTTATATGTTGCGTCGAACCCACGAACAGACTCTTTTCGGCCTTCCCGTTCTGAAACTTCCCGATATAGATGAAAGTACGATCACCGTACAATTCAGCCGCGTGGAGAAATTTCTATACCGGGAAATCATCAAGTTTATGATGAGCTCCTACATCCGTAAGTATATGTAACCACAACAGCTATATGCAATTTCGGACCCTAATTACCTTAGTCGGTGATGATGATCAGTTTTGTTTGTCTCAAACCCACAATGGAAAATGGCCGCTGCTTCTCAAGCTTCGCATGTTCACAAGCCATTTGCTCCTGTCTCAGAAAGTGCTGCAAGATATATTAACAGACAACCTGATGAAAGAGCTACGCTCGTATGTTGGAGGCGATGTCCAGGCCGATGATCTCAAGATTATCCATCTCTTTGATAATCTTCTCTCGGAAAAGCCTCTACCAACTCTTGCTGACGTTTTGGGAGCTAAAAATGCGGTAGCAAACCCGAGGACTTTATCGCAGGAGGATATCCTCAACAGATATAGAACTCTGCTGAATAGTGCAGATTGTAGCGCTGACGTGAAGAAATGTGCACGATGCAAGTCATCACCGTACATTGCCTACATCGCATCTTGCATGCATATTTATTGCCATGCTTGTATTACCATCGTCTGGAGAGATAGAAACAGAGTCAAGTGCTCATGCAGTTTAGAAGTTCATGAGTTCACATTCTGTGATGCCATTCCGGCCCTCTATCACAGCATTATGGAAGGCGAAGATCCATGCGACGATCAGTCTTCTACTAACAAGGCTGGAAGCAAAGAGAAACCCGAGGAAATGGGCAGCAAGAACTGGACTAGCCTTGCTGGACATCTGATGCCAAGCGCCAAATTGACATCTGTTCGATCTTGTGTCGCTGCCTGGCTCGCAAATGATCCTGAGACAAAGGTCACTATTTTTACCCAGTTCCTTGGAATGGTGGAAATTCTCAGCTCCATGTGTGTCGTTGAAGGCTGGGGGCATACAACGGTATAAATCTCATATACCCACTTCCAAAATTTTATGAGTGCTGGGCTGACAACCACCCGCAAGCTTACTGGAAATGTGCCGCCTTCAGAGAGACACAGGGACATTGAGGAATTCCGCACCGATCCCTCAATCCGTGTACTGATTTCTTCTCTCAAAGCGGGAGGAACAGGCTTGAGCCTGACAATGGCAGAGAAATGCATACTGATTGATTTGTGGTGGAACGAAGCGATGGAGCAGCAGGTACGAAGTCACTAAGACAGCCCTATATTAGCTTGTAATCCCGCCTACTAATTACATTCTTCCTACAAGGCTTTTTGCCGCCTATTTAGATATGGACAGAAGAAGGAAGTGGAAATAGTTCGGATCACAGTCAAAAACAGTATTGATGACCGAATCCAGCTCATCCAAAATGCAAAATCGAGCAATATTGAGAAGACGATGGGCCTGGACGCGCTCGCATTTAGGTGGGACCTAGTCGTGCACAAAATCCCTGTGCCTAGAGCTGCTTTGCTGACAGGTAGTCTTCTAGGGACTCACTTGAAGATATTTTGAAAATCTTTGGAGTGGTCGAGGATGATGATGCGGAGGATGGATTCGCTTTTATATCGGACGACGAAGCCTGATGGTAGAGGCTATTTGGTCTGCATGTGTATGGGCACAAAGCACCCTTAACTCCCCTTTGACGTTATGCCGCTTTCATACCCTTCATGCCTCTTTGATATACCCCGTCATAATTCCCTATGATTGGGCTGGTTGCTATAGATTCTTAGAGCGTTTGTTTTGTTGCCTGGCGTTTGAATTGGCTTGGATGGAGTTTAATGGAGCTTAGCAAGAAAATAGTGCAATGGAAGTGTGAGAGTCATTAAAAGCTCCTGGCCAAAATTATATCACATTTCCTCCACGGCGCAGTTGGGATGCAAAACATAGACAACTCGATCTTGGGTGTTGTCCTGCATGCTATTGCTTGCATCCACAAGGCCTTCTCCCCGAATTTGCATGAGGATATTATCCTAAATACAGAGATGCAAGTTAGACATATTCACCAATGCAAATCGTTAAGAACATTTGGGGTTTCGCATACCTTCACCATCCGTTTGAGCACCTTCGTCGCCAATGATCTCTCTCTCTCAACATCGTCTTCACTATTCAATTCCGATTCAATTTGCTCCAAATACCAAAGTTTCAGATCCTCTTCCTCCACACCTTCGCCTGTATTTGCTTCATCTTCGTTTATCCGTCGGACCAAGAGGTTGAGAATCTTCATGTATTTATCGTACGTGATTTTAGTTTTCTGGGATTGTTGCTGTTGCGCAGCGGAATCGGCATTCATTACATCTTCTGTAGTGCCCATTGCGGTATCTCCTTCATGATCACGCTGTTCATTATCGCCATCAAACATCTCATGGTCTTGATTTCCAGTTGTCACTTCATCGTCGACTTCAATATCATCTTTCTCAACAGTAACTATGCTCTGTCGAAGAAGATTGTAAGCCTCTAGGACGAAATGAGGCACTACTTCTTCGACACAGTTTGCTTTGGCCACCGCTTCCGACAATCGGATCAAACTTTCCAGTTGACGCACAGTAATACGGTAGCTGCTTCTTCCAATGCCTCCTTGCGCATCGTCATTGCGAAGCTCCATATACTTCTCCACCACTAACTCTTTAGCTTCGGGTGTGAACACCGGTCTGAACGTACGGGCGAACCTAATGTATCGTTGTAACATTTCAGTTGGGATCTCAGGTTCCACTGCTTCGTCACGGTTCATATGAACGTTAACGATGTGTTCAGCCAAGTTTCTATCCACGGCTTCATTAGGGTCATCACGAATAACGAAAAAGAGATCGAATCGACTCATAATAGGAGCGCTGAAGTTGAGGTTGGCACGGAGGGTGGCTTTGGGGTTATATCTGCCACCGACTGGATTCGCGGCAGCAAGAATACTTGCTCGGGCATTGAGAGTGGTATGAATACCCGCTTTTGCAATGGAAATTGTCTGTTGTTCCATGGCTTCGTGGATTGCGACTTGGTCGCTAATATCCATCTTATCGAACTCATCAATGGCACAGATGCCTCCACCATTCTAGATATAGTTATTAGTACGTCACCAGAAGTTTTAGGATTAAAGGATTGAACACATACCGCAAGCATCAAGGCACCTGCTTCGATAGTGAATTCACCGGTTTCCGGGTCTTTTACCACGGAAGCAGTTAAACCAGCAGCAGAAGACGCCTTTCCGCTGGTGTAGACCGCTCGAGGATGCAGAGAACATATATATCTAAGCCAAACATTTAGCAAACGGGACTTAGAAACCCAATTCAGTGGCCTTGTACTCACTTTAAGAACTGACTCTTACTTGTCGACGGGTCGCCCACGATACAAATATTTATATCACCACGAAGCTGCATACCTTCTTCAACTGTTTTCTTCGTAACACCGCCAACCAATTGTAAGAGTAAACCTTTCTTAATTGATCGGTGACCATAAATCATAGGTGCAATGGAATCCACTAGTTTCGAATATATGTATTTCGTATGAACGAGCTCTTTCAGCTCCTCGACCTCCTTAGGGGTAAATGTTTGGAGCAGTCGTTCTTGGGCCATATCTTCAACTTCTTCGGGCAGGTCCACCTGATTTAACGAAGCAAGGATATTTTGAGAGTGCCCAGTAAGACTTTGACTTGTGGGCTGACCTGGAGTAGTCAAGTCAGGAGTCACCATGCACGCTAGAAATGCCAGCCGGTATGTAAGGTCTCGAACTCCAAGTGATTTAAGACCCGTAACTCCACTTCCGCCAACATCACCACCACGCGTATTGCCATAGTCCCTTGATGCTTCTGGGCGAATTCCAGGCAGTCCCAGTTGACTGATATCAGGAATAACAATGAGTGTACCAGTGAAAATGCATCTTTCTCCTGCCTTTGCTCGATCCACCATTTCTCCGCGTAAAATCACATCCATAGTACGCGGCATACTCCCAGTAGGAATCTCGTGGGAAGACTCTTGCAATTTGACCTTTTGCCAATCAATAAATGTGCTTCGGCGAATATCTAGGCGCCAGCCAACGCGATTACCACATGTGGGGTTCGGGCAAAGTGCTGGTTCCGTATATTTGAAGCTTTGTTCAATATCTGGACATGGTGTATTGCAACTTTCACAAGTAAATGTCCCCATCGCAAGCTCTGGCCGAACTTCCGACGTTCTTGTGACTGTGCCGGATATTGAAAGCAACTTTCCAATCTGTGCAGTCCGCAGTTGACGTAACCTTGAGACAAGAGGAAGGTTATAAAAGGCCAAAGAAAAGACCTTGTCTGTTTGCTGATATCTAGTTTTCTCTGAGAGGCGGTCAGGTTCGCTGCTGTCTACAGCCATGGCGGATGTGCTTGCTTGTGATGAGTGGCTCCCAAGCTGTCGATGTTCTCTAAAATATTGAGGTTCATATTTCGCGATTAAGTTGTGCAAAGCTTTCGTCAAATAAGGATGGAATCGGTAATATTGATTAGCGATGGCGTCAGCCAGGACTTGGTTCGGTAAAGACGTCAAATGGGTGAAATCGACATAGAGAGTGGACAGCTGAAGCTTCGCCATTCCATGTATCTGAGAAACGTAGTATTTATCACTTAGCATTTCAGACGAGGGAGGAGCACCAGAAGACATAGGATCCTCCATATGTGTCTCCAACAACTCCTCGAAAGCCTGTTGAACCTTTTCTCCGGCAACATCGCGGAATGTGGGCGGGCCCCTACCATACATGGGATGTCGGGTTCGACGGGGAATGGAACCCCCCGGGCCAACAACTTGATCGTCTGCAAACTCAGGAGCTTCGCTCATCTGTGCATTGCTTTCTGATGGGAGATTGGGGCGTGAACTCGGAGGAGCATCTGATTGCGGTACGATTCCCCTTCTTGCGCCTTGGGGAGGGCCAGATTCTGACTGCAGAATGGTATCAAGGAGACTCGACATGGCGACGGTGGGAGCACAGATGGATAATGACAAGGATCAAGGCACGATTCAGAAAGGAACGACAAACACACTTAGCAAGGAAAGATTCAATCCCATCCCGACGCCGTTGTGTGTTGCCCAGAGAGAAGCTGATAACCCGAAAACTTCACGTGAGGATAAGAGACGCGACGCGTACCCTCGGAACATCAATATGCCGAGCCCGACGCGTAAAGTGGTTTTATCACGTGGTTAATTCTACTTTTTGCTTTTTAACTTTCGCGACGAAGAAACAACCTTCTTTAACCCTCGGATCGCTTGATGCAAGGTCGCAACACAGTTGACCCGGGTTGCATCAAATTCATTACTCACCCTCTATGTCTAACCGCACTGGCCGCTTTGCTTGTATGTATGTACAAGTACTACGGGCTACAGCGCCCGCCATACCAAGCTCGATCAGACGCACTCCCAATCTGGCCAGCTGAACATTAAGAAAAGATTGCCATTCAAAGTATTGTGCATTTGTACACAGGATAGGAAAGGCTGCGCGAGCCCTTTGCCCGCATCCTTAATCATATTAGTTATCTCGAAGGAACGGCTTGAAAAGCGCAGCGCGAAACAGGACTGGAATTCAAAGAACCATATTACAGCAGGGGATCCGTAGAAGGATTCCTCAAAACCATACATGAACTTGTTAGCAAGTCATGCATTCGCTCAGCTCAATTTAAGTGCTGAAAGCTTGAAAATTTCAAAACCGACTGTCTGCTATTGCTGTTTGTTGACCTGCTAAAGGTTTGACCTTCATGGATTCACAAATGCCAAAATTCAGTGATACGAAGTACGGAGTACGGAGTAGCGGCGATAAAATACGTAAATTTTAGGTTTGCGACGCGGGCGCCAGAAGTTACGTAGACTGTCAAACATTCAGCCTCGAAGCCACACGGTGTTTGCCGATTCGGACGTCTAAAACGGTCTAACTAATATCATTTCAGCTTCTTGAGCTCGAGCTGCAAGAGAAGCTATGGATTCAGCGTCTCTTTGAAAACTGTGATCCGGTCCGCTGATCTCTCACCTCTTCCTCTCTCCTGCCCCTCTTTTCCCCTTAATTCAAGCGCAGACCAAGAATAGCGTCAACATACCAACAATATATCCCACGTGTAAGTATCTCTTTCCAACAGCCATTCAGATTAATTGCAATACCATTGCAAACTGAAACTCACGGCGTCCAGTATCCTATTTCGAGCATAGACGCATCACACAAATTCCCCCGGCACCGCTACGCCCTCCCGCCGGCACCTCTTCGTAAACGGCTTCTAACACACTCGAATGTCAATAAGACAAGTTAGGTGGGATACAAGAGCAGAAATTTGACGCGATGCCGCACGAACCACCCGTAGAAACGGCCGTCTCGGCGCCTGGAAAGGTGCTTCTGACAGGGGGATACTTGGTGCTGGATCGCAACTATACCGGCACTGTATTAGCTCTGAATGCAAGGATTCATGTTATTGTACAACAGTTGCCGATGGGGAAAGGAGGAAGAAGAACATCTGCCAGCGCAGGTCAATCGCCAAAGGGAGGGTTAAATGTCCACGCCGATGGCGATACACCCATAGATGGCATGGAAGGGGACGTAGCCAGAGGGAAAGAACATGAGGAGCAGTCGGAAGAAATGATTATTGTGAAGTCGCCGCAGTTCATTGATGCAGTATGGGAATATCGGATCCAGAGAGTCGAGAGCGGCGGAGGAGTCAAAGTTCAGCAGGTCAATGACGGGTAAGCATTTGCGTTATTACCGAGACGGCTCACCGGTTTAGCGCAATTATTGATGTGTGTAGTCCCCAAAACCCCTTCATCGAGACCTCTTTGAATTACGCTTTGACATATGTGAGCTATGTCGCTGCGTCGAAGCATTTCGGTTCCCTATCCGTTACCATCCTTGCGGATAACGATTACTATTCGGAAACTGCAACATCTTCCATACCAAACAGGGGAGGTCGCTTCGTGAATTTTGGAGTGAAACTGCAGGAAGCACACAAAACGGGTCTAGGCTCCTCGGCTGCTCTTGTCACGGCTCTGGTGTCTGCTATTGTCATCCACCGTACCGTGCAACCCGAAGAACTCCCCTCAGTCCGGGATAAACTACATAACCTGGCTCAAGCTGCTCACTGTGCCGCCCAAGGTAAAGTAGGCTCTGGATTTGACATTGCGGCAGCCGTGTACGGATCTTGTCTTTACCGTCGTTTCTCACCATCTGTTCTCAGCGACCTGGGCGAGGTTGGCTCCCCGCAGTTTGAACAGCGCCTATTTACAGTTGTTGAAGACCTCAATACCGAAAAACCTTGGGACACAGAGTGTGTAGACTTTGGATTTAAACTCCCAAGGGGGCTCCAAATGGTCCTTTGCGACGTCGACTGCGGTTCGCAGACCCCCGGCATGGTTAAAAAGGTGCTGGAGTGGCGGGAACAGAACCGCGGGGACGCAGAGCTGCTCTGGACGGGGCTACAGCGGAACAATGAAAAGCTTCGCCTCGAGCTCAAGCGATTGGCACAAAACCGCAATGTAGTCCAGAATTATGATGAACTCAGCAACTTGATCACTCGCACTAGGATGTGGATTAAGTCCATGACGAAGGAATGCGGGGTTCCCATTGAACCTGAGGTGCAGACAGAATTATTGAATGCCTTTTCGAAAATTGACGGGGTCATTGGTGGCGTTGTTCCCGGCGCGGGCGGATATGATGCACTCGTGCTTCTGGTAAAGGATGATCCTGCCGTCATGGATGCAATCCACGATCTGGCAGATGGCTGGAAAAGCTCAGTGCAAGATGATTTTGGTGGGAAAATTGGCAAAGTACGATTGCTCGGTGTTGGCTACGGATCTGAGGGTTTGAAAAATGAGCTGGCGGTGCGTTATAGTGGTTGGATATGATGTGAGGAGTGTGCAAGGTTATTGCATCCACTGTTGGGGAGAAAAACGTAACACTAAATGCTGCCTGTAGAGTAGTGAATTCACATAGTCCAGCGAGATACCCCAAGCTTCTACTTTTGCGAGAGATTTATTCGTCCTGTTGTCCCATTGCGGAGCATCCAGAAAGATAAACAAATCAGATGTTTAAAGCTAGGATATCTATCAATGTTAAAGGCACGGACATGTGTCTAGTATAAGATGATTACTTTGACATCAATGCTTCGACTGTCAAGCTATAGGCCCCTGTATTACCACAATCTGCTCATTTCGGCTTGTGTCTCCCATTAGACCAGCGGTTTGCCCTTGATTTGGGTGTCCTCAAAGAACTGAGCATTTAGCAATTATTTTAAGCTGCATGATATGTTGTCAAAGCACAGCCCTAGGACCAGTAGATCACAGCCGGACATACAGAGTAGAGTGTATTTAGGTGATTGATGCTATAGATTTAGCTGAAAGCTTCACCAACGGGGCCTTGAGCCAGCTAGTGGCATCGACATTGGGAGCATACTGTACGATGCAGACTCGGAGAAGGGTTGAGGTTAAGCTCGTGCACAGTCCACGCCAAGCACTCCACTGGGTACATAAGCTGGCTCCACCAGTTGCCGAGCGGATGAGACTGCTTCTGACCCCTTGGTTGCTCAATATTTACTGTTGAACTCCAGTCAAGACTGTGATCAGTCTCTTGTTCTAAGGACAACCACCTTACACATGCTTCATTGTCAACCACAAGCATGGTTTGGGGGGTGAGTAACATATGAGAAATGGTGTTTGCAATAAAGCAGACCCGCCATCGTCACCTCTCGCGGTCCGCTTGGGTACCTTGCCCAGTTGATATTGTTATGGCTTTCAACTGGAATTGGGTAGAATTCCTGTGAGTCTGTCAGGATCATTTCTATTGAGCTCTGCATGTAATAATGCCATGGCCTGGGCTGTTCTCTCCCAGACTGGCCAAAGTCGACAAGTGCAAATCGGATATTGAATGAAAAATAACCTTCACCCGAATAGGACACAGGCGGTCCGAACAAAAGGATTTAGATAGATTTAGAGCAAACAGAATAGCAGAGGTAAAGTCAGGCTCAGATTAAATGACCTGGATCTTGTTTAGATATGGTCTGAACTAAAGCCTAAAGTGGCCATCCAGATATAATGGCTCATGCTAAAGAGCATGAGAAGAAAACTGTTAAAACTGACAATCTGATCAGTTTAAGCCATGCTAAAGTCAGGATGTAGCCACATGGTGTGTTAGTTACCAGAAGGGTTTCTTTGTCTGACCAAAATGCATTGCTCAGTAGGGATCTGCAATGCTGCATTCAACAGGAGTGTGTAGGGTAATCAAATTGTTTAAGGAAGGATGCAGTTAAGGGTGGCTGCTAAGTTGACAAGGTAGTTCTGTCAGCAGGCGAGATTGAGGATGGACATATCCACGCCTGCCTGATAATATGATATTCCCTATGGATAATTATCAAATGGAGCAGAACAAGCTCCAGAAAACTGTCATGGAGATTGTCACTCTCTTTGCAAATGGAGAATGCTGCTCAGAAATTAAATGCGAAGCCTGAAAGAATGACGACAGCTACTTCACACGGATAGGAGAGGGAAACATCCGTTTGAAGCATGATGACAAGAAGGTAGCATCATGGGTTGGACAAAATGCAGGCCCGTACCATGAAGATGAGAGGTGATGCAATGATGAGATGCAGCCAGATCCCTTTAGAAACTCCCTGTAGCTCCTCACTGGGACTCGGATTCGGATGAGTTGGCCTTCAAACCTTTTGCGGATCGATGGCCGGCTTTTGGCGCCCAGCAGCTCCTGCATTCATGGGTGCTTGGCGTTCTTGGTGTAACTGTCTGTGTCGCCCAGGAGAGGCCTTCGGATCAGACCAGGGGTTAATGAATGAGGGGCAGATGGGTATCGTACATACATTCCTGTCTTCGATGGCTTAAAGGCTCTGGGGACTGTAGTCAACCGGTGGAGTTGGGCTGCCAGAGAACGTGAAGCGGCGACGATGGCAGCAGGCAGGCGAGTCGTGGTGCGCTCGACAGAGGTGGAGGCTTGGGCGTGGCTGAGAGCCCAGCGATGGCCGCTCGGCGCGCGCCCCTACCCCAGACAGCCAACTCCAAGGGGAAACCGGCTCGCTGCAGGGTGAACCGCTCCTCCGCCATCGTCACGACCACTCGGAAGTTCCACTGTACAGGAGTAGCAGCCAGCTATCTCACGTCCAACACCTCTTTGCCTGTTCTTTTTGTGGCTGCTGTTCTTTATCTGTTAGTAAACATTTAACTCTGTTGCGGTCTCACAGGCCAAACGGGCACCTATTATATTTTATGAAACCGGCTAGGAACTTGGAACAATGGCACCAAACACCACTGAGGAGCCAGACCTTGGTTCCAGCCATGAATCAAATTGCCCAACCACACAGCCAGAATCTGGAAATACAGCTTCTTCACAACCACTGGTGTCTTCTTCGCCTATAGATGAAGCCCAGACTGTCCCCTCAACAAATCAACTGGATGTACGAAGCGTGACGGAGCCATTAACACCACCATCCTCGACTCCTCCGCCAGCAGAGCACTTCGGCATCCCGCCTCCCTTGTCCGCCTCCAACCCGGAGAGCCTAGCCATCGTCACCATGTCTCCGACCTCGACCTCGCCCTCGGAGCAGCCCCAACAGACTTCAGATACTCCTCAACAACCGCAGACCTTCTCGCCAGAGGCCCAGCTGAACTCCGAGTCTTCAGAACCAAAGCCGCTGAGCCCTGCGATAGGCCCTTCGTCAGATCTCCCCAGCCCATCCCCTAAAGAATCCGAAGATGCTGGCATTCCATTGGTGATCACTCTACTCCTGACGACTGGCGCCAGACATCCGTTTAAAATTGATGGGAGATATTTGCGCAAACGTGAAGTCAACGTCCCCGATAATGACCCGTTCGCCATGAGTGTTTATACCCTGAAGGAATTGATATGGAGGGAGTGGAGATCAGGTAAGGACTCACTTTATGGCTTCACCACGAGATTACATTGATTAACATCGCTTGTTCTGCAGAATGGGAGCCTCGACCATCTTCTCCAAGTTTAATTCGCCTAATATCCTTTGGCAAACTCCTTGACGATAAGGCGCCCTTATCGGGTGAGTGACTCCTCTCATGCTCTCATGGCAGCGTTCTCCCCATTTCGCATTTTTCGCTAATACTTGAATTGCGTGATAGATTCTAAATTCAATCGAGATGCTCCCAATGTTGTCCATATGACCGTGAAGCCCCAGGATATCGTCGACGAGGAAGATGCCAAAGCTCCCAAGGGCCATTATCACCGTGACCGCGAGGATGGCGACCGAAGCCCTTCGTGTCGCTGCATCATTTTGTGAAGCTCATTTTGTGAAGCCGAGCCTACTGAAAAGGCCTATGGAAGTGCGCGGAGATGGTGCCTTCATGGCGGCTCCGCGTCTGGCTTGCCCTTTTACCAATTCACCCTGGATTGCATATGTTTCCGTACTCCATAAATGGTCTGCACGGATGCAAGACTACGCCAGGTGCCATTCACTTTTTTATCCTTACACACACAAGCCATTTTCACTCATATCATCGTAATCTCCTATACCTGCCTTCGATTGTCCGCGTTTCCCTAATGCATAGCGAGTCTTTCTCACTCGCCTCCCCGACCAACAATATCTGTACAGAACGGAAGTCTGGCCATTTCTACTGGCAACGGGTCTGCTGGTGCTCATTGGTTCAAATCTCATGGTTTTTTCCCCGCTTTTCTGCGTTTCGAGGCTCTGGTTGGTATGGTTCCCAACGGAGTACAGGCCTTACATCCACGATACCTTATCAATCCTTCTGGTTCAGCATTGTTAAGCTGCCCTTTGATGGCACATTATTTTGTTTGCCACAGCACTACTCCTTTTTCTTTTTTTTTTATTTTTACTTTTATTTTTACTTTTACTTTTGTTTTTATTTTTATTTTTATTTTTTTCCAGTTTCTTATTTTATATCATCTCCACCCGTCAGCCCGTTGCCCTTGCACATCAGCATGTTAGGATCCATTGCATTTTCTCCTTTTTCGCCAATGTTCCCTCTTGCATGACCCCATTCTTGTTAACTATAGAGGCGAATTTATGACATGAAGATACCATACAACTGTGGCTCCCGCAATCAGACTAAATATGTAAGCCGGAACGGCTGTAGTTAGTTGCACTCTTCCAAAATTGGGCAAGCTGAACTTAACATACTGTTACGGCATGAAGAGACAGTTGCATGGCATCCTGCGCGTGAGAAAAAGAGTGTTCTTTAAGGTTGATAAAAAACAGCATTATATGCTCCCCTAGAAACCGTACTGTAGTGGATTATGGAGGCGGCTGATTGTTTAGAATGGATTCATAGCATAGGGAAATAGGTATGGAATAAATAAGGAATGTGGCAATGCAATTTGTGTTTAGAGCACTGGATAATTCTGTAAATATTATCAGTTAAAAGCAGAATTCGCATGACCAGGGTTCAGCGTCTGAATGCACCGCCGAACGGTTGGACACAATTAGAGGGCTGGACAATAGATACTAGTGAATCTGGGTACAGCAAAGCATTCCTCACTGTATGTTAAATCCTCGAGAATTAAGGAGACGGGTTCAAGAATCTTAACGTATTTAGTTATGTATTTCTAATTGTACATAACGCTACATGAATCCTTCATCTAAAACGCATCGAAGACGCTGCATAGCAAGAAACCCAGGTCCGAGGAGAGTAAAACAAGAGACAACTTGCAGTCATTATCACCATTTCATCTTTAGTCGTTGTTCCATCTCATCATGAAAGTTGGGGGGTTCGCGGAGATCATCGGCTGCCCAAAAAAAAAAAGAGAAGGAATCAGCAAAGGTTTCGCAAGAGAGTTCCTTTCGATAGCATATAAACTAGAGATACGCAGGACCACTGGCCTGACAGTAGAGCCACTCAACATACCATGGAATACATCTTCCCACGTAACCTCTGTCTCCCTTCCTCCGAGAGCCAGGATATCCTCATGTATACTACTTTCATTGCTTCTGCCCAAGGCTGCAGGTTTCCACTGTCCCTCTTGCACAATCTTCATCTCCATACCCCGTCGCACCGGCTCGGCAATGCCGTATATCCGTCGAAGAGACTCCATCTTTAGCGCATTTTGCGTCTGGCGCCACTGGAGTAACCGCGCCTCGAGTGGATGTGTTGAGGAAGGGGCTTGGAGGCCAGATGTAGGAACTGGGGCGGTGAGGGACGCGCGAAGTGTGTCTGGGACACCGGGAGCTGATGGAGCACCGTTGTGCAGGTGAGGAGTGGCGCCGTGCTTTGTGGTGTTGGATGTTTGAGTGGCGTGTTTAGCGGGAGGCACGATTCGGAGAGACTGTGAATGGGTTAGTCTTCTTATAGGAATCAAAAAGGCGAGCTGGTGACAGAAGGATCCCCAGGTGAGACATACCATCGTTGCAGGGTCGTGGTTAAGGGTGATAAGTGGATTGGGTGGAAAAGAAGTGAGCGAACTATTCGAGTGCAGAGGGGAAATTTTGTGCCCAGCAAACAATCAATTACGTTGGTATCTCACCATAGAACCGTAAGAATGAACGCCCTGCACTCGCCGTCGTCGTGGTTGAGCTTCAAGGCAATCAGCCACACGTCAAGCTCCTTCGGCCGACCAAACCAACCAACTACGCAATTTGGTTTTCGGAAATCACGTGGTATCGAATTTCCGGCGATTTGAAGCATTTGCATATCGTCGCCGATGAGCTGCGCGCGATAACTTCACAATCAGCAGCTCTCCTCCTCTCCTCTTCCGCCAACAACCGTCATCATGCCCGCTACTCCTTCCACATTTACGATCCGCCTCCTGCGGCACCTCGTCCACCGCCAATTCCCCTCCATTGCCTCAAAACCCGTCCACCCTGCTCTCCAACTCCGCGCCTGCAAGAGTAGCTCTCCACTGGCCACGCTGCTCCACCAAAAGCCCCAGATCGCACACTTCTCCAGCACATCCCTCCCACAGGCAACATACAATCAAGTCCGACGCGGATGTCGCAAGGAGCAACAAGCGCGCAAGCCGCGCTCCCCGGCTCTTGTCAACCGCCCGGAAATGAAAGGCGTGTGTCTCAAAACGGGTATCACGAAACCCAAGAAGCCCAATTCCGGAGAACGAAAGATTGCAAGAATTAGACTGAGCAGTGGTAGAGTGGTGACTGCATATATTCCCGGCGAAGGTACCTTTTCCCTGAATCCTTTATATGTTCCCTTTCATAGGTGAGAGAGAATGCCGGCGCTAACACTGCAATTTCCTTCGACGTTTAGGACATAATATCCAACAGCATAGCGTGGTTTTAGTTCGGGGAGGGAGAGCACAAGATTGCCCTGGTGTGAGATATCATGTTGTCCGTGGAGCTTTAGATCTTGTATGTGAAATTTCCCTCGCCTCTGCTGACCTCCAAGTGTCCAATTACTGACCATTTGAAATAGAGCGGTGTTGGTGGCCGCATAACCAGCAGATCAAAATATGGAACGAAGAAGCCGAAGTCTGGCTAGTTGGCGGGTTTCGAATTTTAGGATTTATATACATCAGTCATTCCAATTTTGCGCAACATACACCAATCCCTAGGGGCTAGAGTGTTCCATTTATTTCTTTTATAACATGTATTATCATCAGATACGTATTCACCTAACTCCTAGAACCCAACAAGGATCCTCCAGATTCAAGTATGCATCATACATGCCGAGAAAATTCCCTCGTCCCAAGTTCGTTATCTGTACAGGATATTTATAGGAAATGGCACAAGCTAAAAAGAAGAGAAAAACAAAGACACACCAGGACGAAAACAAGAACGAATCCAAACGCGCTGTAAATGGGTCAAGAAAACAGGATGGGCTATCCAATTGGTACAAACCAGTATTCAGAACCTAAAGACTCCTAGCCTGTGCAAGACAGATAAAGGGCCAGTTCGGAGTAGTGGAAATCGGGAGATGATACCCAACACGAAAGCGATGAAGATGAGAACACCGACGACAATTTTAGGCCAGATTGGGGTTGCTAGTCAGGTCTCATTCTCATAACCTTCGGGTTTTTGCAACTTGAGGAGGTCGAAAAACCGAGTTGTGCCTGTAACCATACAATTAGCATTTAGACCGTGTGAGAGATTGAAATTTTAGAGTTCGGCATACATGAGTGACCTTTCCAGTCAAAATTATCCCCAGGGTTGCAAGCACACTTCCACTCCGTTCTTCTCTGCTCGCCAGTCGGACAGTGTGTGAATGGGACGTGATAATAGCCGATCTGATCGAAGAAATGAACTTCTTCCTTTTTGAGCAGAATAGATGCTGCAATGGAATGTACTGGTGCATCGCCCCATCTTTCGTAGAAAAAACCCCCATCCTTGTCAAGGACATCGAAATAATCCAGATATGCCTTCGAGCGTAGCCAGTTCAAATCACCGATCTCGAAATTCGACCACTGGAAGTTGTCAGCCAATTCATACACTCGATCTTTAGGACGAAGAATTAGCACATACGAAATGGCACATGTTGTATGTTTTACCTCCATCTTCGGACACGAATTCCAGGTTATTACCCTGAACGATATGTTCAGGGTGTTTCTCCATAAACTTTTTAACACTGTCCCAAAGAGTTGCAACCGTTTCTCTGTATTCGTGGAGACTCAGAACGAAACTGTACTTCTTTTTGTTATCCTTCATGAATTTGAATGCGTCGAAATCAATGTCGCAGAAGTATTTGACACTGGGCTCAACACGCCAGTAGTAATCGTAATTGAGCATGAGTTCATGTCTGAAAAAGAAGCCCGATTCGTAACGGCACATGTGTCTGTAGCTGATGGAGCCACCGTAAATAACGTTCTTCTCCTCCATCTCTTTACGAGCTTCAGCAGCTTTGTTTTGATCAATCCACTCTGGGAAAGACCAATGCTCCTCTGGAATTTTGCCATAGTAAGCTTTCCCAGATACCAAAGCGGAGGTGACGGTCTTGAAGTTCTCGCTAAAGTCCCCATCATTCAAGAAAACCCAGTCGTAGTGGTAGTTCCTGTTAAAGCGATCTTCGACTTGTCGAATAGATTTCACCATTTCCCAAAGATCCGAGTCTCTCACCAAAGACACGAAAGTTGCGCTGACACGGTCTGATTTTCCAGATTCTCCGTCAGACTTGGGGCCAGAAGTAGTGTTTCCAGTGGGAGGGAGTGCTGCTTTCGTCGGTTGGGACAACGAAGCCGTTTGCATTTTTGTAACGCCACCAGCAGTGGTGGCTTGCGGGCCGACGTTTCCAGGCTGTGTTGGGGGGCTCTCGTTTTGTTTCGGATTCGTTTTAGTGAGAGCAGCAGGAATACTAGGCCTAGGTAGGGAAGATGAGGCAATGAAGTGGAGGATTGCAATGCCCTGTAAAGCAATTAGCAATGTCTTGTCGGGAATACGTTGGTTTTGATAGAATAATTGCTCACCAGCACTGCAAAGAGTATGTAGCGTATGTACTTCCCGGACATCATGATTACTTCGTCAGCACAAATGAAAGATAAGAAAACTGAAATCAGGATCGCAAGCACAAAATACGCAAAGGCAGCCAGTGGAATAAACAAAAAATCTCTCCGCTTAAGGAAGTCTTTATTAATGCGTCAGTGTTGGAGGCGGTTGGTAAACGGGTGAATGAACGACAAAGCAATGTGGCATATGGGGGTAATGTCAACGAGATCACATAAATGCGATGTATTTCAGATCACCTTGAGGCCCCCGGACCCGAGAGCAAAAACGAAAGCACGCCGGAAGAGGTTGCTGGCTGGCTAAAACATCCGAAGAACACTAGCGATGAAACTTCGATGCCAAATGGTCGAATTGCATGTAAGTAAGCAACATCGCCCACCGGCTTGACAAAGGGGCCAAGGACTAACGCACTGAGTTACCTCCTTTGTACGCGGTACTGCGTAATTTTCATCGCCAGATGGACAGGAAAGGTGTATCGAGTCGTACGGTGGCTGTAACAGCACTTTTGGTCTTTATTTTCCGCCGTATCCCACTCGCATAATCGTCAGATTATATAAGCAGCTGGGGAGTGGGCTTGGCGGGCAGTCTTCTTTAGGAAAGAGTTTGTTATGCAGCCGGTTATTATCATTATACATTCGAACTCGCAGCATCGCATTCACCTTCACTTCCCCCCTCCGCACTCCTTTCTCACCCTCGGTTCGCACACCGCAGCTGTCATGTCGTTCTTTGGCTTTGATACCACGCTTCCTAACGATCGTCCTCCCGCACGGGAGTCGAGGGGTATTTTTGAGGCCCCCGATCCTTTCTCCGAAGTTGCTCGTGCCACAGCGCATGGATTCAACGATGGCGATGACGCGTGCGGTTTCTGTTTCTCTTTTTAAGTGTTTAAACGCTATACATTTGAATGCTGACCTTATTTTAGAATTGACTTTGAGGACACCTACGACGGGTTGGGAGACCGGCTCGACGATGCCCAAGATGCCTTTAACGAAGACACTTTCGGAGAGGCGGCGGGAAATGAGGATAAACCTGTGGGGAAAGACTTTGACTTCTTCGGCCAAACGGCTCAGATGACCAACATTTTGGGTGAAGAGCAAGTGCTTTACAACCTGAAGCACCAAAACGAACAACCCCAAGCCTCCGTTTCGCCCGATGCAGCCCCGAAACCGAAAAGGACAGGCTATGAGCCATACCAAGACCCCGGGTATATCCCTGAGATTCAAGCGAAATCCAGTGTCTGGGGAACAGGAATTACACAAAAAGTAAAGACAGAACAGCCAAAACCGGCTGCTCCATCCAAAAAGATGATGAGCTTGGAAGAAGTTGAAGCACAGATGCGCGCGCAATCACAACGACCGCAGCATGCAACCGAAGCTACTGCTCCTCCGCCGTCTCAGCAGTTCCCCGCGACCATCCCGCAAGGAGCACTGTCTAATCTAAGATTCCCCGAACAGCCCTTCCCCCAGCCCGACACATTCCCTCAACTTCAACAAAAAGATTTTCCTCCATTAAATCAACATCAGCAGTACCCACCGCCGCAAGGTTTTCAGCGCCAGCCTCCACGGCCTTTCCCTGAACAGAAACCAAGGCAGAATATGTCAATCCAAGCCCTACAGCATCAGAATCGTATGCCAAGCATTCCTCAGAGACACTCTGGGCTACAAATTCAAGGTCATTATCCACACGCCCCGCCATCGGCAACTACAGGGCCGCAGCTACCTTCAATCGCCGCAATGCACCCACAGTTTGCGCAGCTTTCCGAAGAACATCGCAGGGCACTTTTGGCAGAGGATGCGAAACGCGCCAAGCGAAATCATAAAATTCACCTTCTCTCGAAAGGAAATGGCTTGATGACCCCGCAAGATAAAAACTTTATTACCCGGATACAGCTACAGCAGCTAGTGTCGGCAACAGGAAATACGGGAGAGACAGATACCGATTCCCTACTGTCAGAAGACTTTTATTATCAAGTGTATAGCCAAATTCGCGGTGCGCCCCGACAGCACCCAAGACAGCCTCTCGGTCATTTTGCCCAGACCTATCTTTTCCAAACCGGTAGCCGCTCCGGGGGCCATATGGGCCGAAGGCAGTATCAGAACGCTGACAATCACATGCAACGCATGCAGCAGCAAGTTCAGCGTGCTGTTGAAGCTGCGAAACTGCGCCCCAAAAACAAGCAACTGATAATTGAAGGTAGTTTAGGGAAAATTTCATTCAGCAATGCCAAAACCCCAAGGACACTCCTCAATATCAAACGCCCCGATAGTGCGGATGGTCATAAGCCAGCCAATGTCAAGAAAGGAGCTCAAACCGGGCTTAGTCCGAGTGACCGCAAGTCTATCTTAAATAACATCGAAAACGCATACGATACATTGATGAGAATGGAGGATCACGAACGAAAAATGCCTCCACCACCCGACGCTGAAGATGCAGAAGCTGTGCAGAAGCATCTTGAATGGAGACAGAAGATGGATGCTCTCAATCGAAAGTTATGGACTGATATGAAAGTCCACGAACCTATATTCCCCGGTTCTACAACGACCCATCCTTTTATTGCGTTCCTGTCTTATCCTAAGGGCAAAAAGGCGATCCCTCGAATATTCCGCCATATAGACCAGGAGCAACGAGTCACGATTCTCACTATGATAATCGTTCATTTAGATTCGCTAGACGTCGTCCAGCGAGCACAGTTACAGCCCGGGGAAACCCAGCCCCCTGGACCTGTCCGCGAGGAGATTGATTTGTTTTCGCAAGCTGTTATGCCGAGTCTATTGGGTTACGTCACCGAAGCTCCTCTCAAATTCATCATTGGGCTTGTCGGTCTCGTCATCTTCCGGACGAACGTCCAGGCGGTATCTAAAACACGGATAGGCCTCGGCATCTTGACTATGCTGTTAAGTCGTGCGGAGTTGGTAAAGGAAGCTGGCGCAGTGGACGATGAGGAATGGAAACAATGGACAGGTCTTTATAATCAGCTGTTTGACCGGCTAGAACCGATTCTCGGTAGCATTTTCCCAGGAACTATTAATAGCGGAGATGATATGTATGTGTGGCAGTTCCTCGCCGCTGTTGGCATTGGAGCAAGCCCTGAGCAACAGCAACGGTTGGTTATTGCGGTCAAGTAAGTTTTCTTTCTCCATTATACCCACAAATATGTTGTGGAGAAGGAACGCGGATCTAACATCCTCCTCTTGTCAGGGACCGAGTTATGGAGACAGTCGCTCAGAGCAAAACACTACCAGCGGACATGGCCAGTCAACGACTTGGTAATGTTAACTTGTTCATGCGCGCTCTTGGACTTGATGTGGAACTTCTAGGATGAGACTTTTCCATCACTTTATCTCCACTATGTATACTGTGAAGTGTTGAAATGTTGCAATCTATTGTTTCCTCATTGCATTGGTGATCTGATATATAAAATGCAGCCAACATGACGATGATCAAAATACATGTTTATGGAATTGAAACTAGGGAATTGATTTGCTTTGTGTTTCTTAATATCTTATTTTTTTTTTCCCTGCCCTGCATAGCGTGTTCAAGCGTACCCTGCTTTATTGTGTTTTCATTTTCTCACAAAATGTTGCTATCATATTTTCAGGGGGCAAGGGGAGCAAGTTGGTATCATACGAGTCGGATTTGCAGATTTTTATCTAACCTGGGAAGAAGATAACTACATACCTTCCAGTGCAATAAGTGTAAATTGCATTGCCTTGGATAATCTCATGTGCACCCTCAACCTGCTCCTTATTCTCCCTTTATTATTATCCCCCTTTTTAAGTCTTCGCCAACTTCCCAGTTTTCTCGGTTGTGCCCGACGGTTCGGTTCGGAAGCGGAAAAGCAACGTCCCAGTGGCAACTTCAAGTGGAACTTCCAAAGCCAAACTCAAAACACAGCCGGAGCAGCACTTCACATTCTCGCGATCGATTGCACGGCTTCGGCTGTTGGGTTTTAGTTCAATAGGGCATTGAGTCTTTGCGTCTTGCAACTTCGCAACACTTACTAGCAGCTGACTTCCTTTCTCCTTCTCTCCCGCTATGGTATTTTCATTTCTGTGCTGATCGCAATCACCCAGCAATTGCGTTACTCTTTCTACCACTTCCAGTATATACTTTATCACAGTTTAACATCCCTGGTGGCCGGATACGGAATCCGGATTCCTCGATGCAAAGAGCAATTGGCGAATGAACAGTTCATGCGCCTGTTGCTTTCCTCTTAATTCGACGTATTCAAGCGAATGCTGGATTCTATTATTGTCTAATACTTTTTCTGTTCTTTACTACCTGCTTTCGCATATGAAGTTGCTCATATTTGGAGCCACTGGGAAAGTGGGAGCGTGGACAGCTCGAAAGGCCATTGAGCACGGCCACGATGTGACGCTACATGTTAGAGATCAACACCGTGTCCCCGAAGATATTAGAAACTCTCACAAAGTGAAGGTATCCCACACTATAAACCGCACTCCTTGGGTTACTATATATAGCGCTCTCGCGTGCTAATAGCAATGATGAAGATCATTGAAGGCAGTCTGTCCAATGAAGAGACCCTTTCCGAAGCAATCGAAGACCAAGATGCGATTTTGTCATCGCTTGGTCCGAATGGGCCATTTTGTCCTAAGAATGAACTAGCAAACGGCTACCGCCTAATTCTCAAATTGATGAGGAGGCACAATGTGCGCCGTATTCTTGCCATGGGCACAATCAGCTGCTACGATGAGCGCGATTCCTTTGCATTGTCTCGGCTCCTTGCGTATAGCGTGATTTTCGTGGTGGCACGAAGAGCACAGCTGGAAATCTTTGGGATCGAAAAAGTCTTCAAGGAGGAAGGTCAGGGGTTGGACTGGACATTGTACAGAGTGCCAGTGCTGGGGAGTTCTTCGGAAGATGGCGGGATGGCAGAGGCGGGCTGGGTGGGAGATGGAAAATGGAATGTCTTTCTCCAGAGAAGAGATTGGGCGAACTGGATGGTACAGGAAGCCGAAAGAGATCAGCCCATGTGGGTGGGCGAGATGCCGGCCCTGTACACACCCCGAAGGTGACTTCTATGTATTAGTTTATCACAAACGCCCCAGATTTAGCTAGAGGAATGCACGTCCACCCGAGTGAAGTTCTCGAGAAAGCCAGCCCGGTGCAATTTCTCCTGGAAGTGCGGAGCTTTTGCGGGGGGAGGCTAGCCAACCTAGTTAAAGGTTAGTAAGCTAAATCAGCCCTATTATGCAAAAAAGGCCGCCTGGGATATCGGAAGAGATGCATCCGAGCGATGCTTGATGTGCCTGTATGTAACCTTGGGCCGCTCTGGTGAAAGCATCGGATTGTTGGTTCCCATAACTGTACTGTACGGAGGGACGGGAAGTTAATAGTTAAATTTTGCAGCGATGAAGTCAAACTAGCTGGCTCCCACCAAGTACCATGTCGATCTTTATCCGCACGATGACGCGTTGTCATAACTGGTGAGCCGAGACCAAATCCCCCCAACCCCGACTCTCTCTTCTTCCACCGTATCCTTAAAATCTTCACGCGCATTCGTTACCCTCCTTGTTTAGTATTTTCGCAGATCTCCAGATCGCAGCGCTGGTTTAGCGGACGGTCTTACACTTTTACCCCAAACTCCATTTCTCCAGTGTCTGCCCCACCTTATTGGCACGAACCTGAACCAGCAAAGCCCCAGCGTACAGCGTATCCGAGGCCGTTCTCAGCTGCAGGACCAGTCAAGGTCGCAATCATGGCGAAGGGCAATGTTCTTGTTACCGGGTACGTCCAAGCTGGCTCTCGCGCTGCTCCCACTGTCGTCCGTTGCGCCAGCCCGTGCAATTGCGGGGTAGTAAGCCGCTAACGTCACTTTGCTTTCCTGTTCGCATTATTAGTGGGATGGGATATATAGGGTCCTTCACGTCTCTCGCGCTTCTTGAGGCAGGATATAGTGTCGTCATTGCCGACAGTCTATATAATTCTTCAGACGAGGTGCTCAATCGTATTGAACTGATCTGTGGCAAACGCCCCGGTTTCTTCAAGTTAGACGTCACCGACGAAGCTGCTTTTGACAGGCTATTTGATGAGAATCCTAGCATTGACAGCGTGATTCATTTTGCTGCTCTAAAGGTGATTATAGATGTATTCTATGACGTTGATCTTCCCCGGTCCTAACTTGTGTACAGGCAGTGGGAGAATCCGTCGAGAGGCCTTTAGATTACTACAATACTAATGTCTACGGAACACTGTGCCTATTACGCTCAATGGTCCGTCATAATGTGACGAATATCGTCTTCTCGAGTTCTGCAACCGTCTACGGTGACGCGACACGTTTCGAGAATATGATTCCCATACCTGAAGAGTGCCCCTTGGGTCCAACTAATCCTTATGGAAATACAAAGGTTATCGCTGAGACTGCGATTACAGATGTTATCAGCTCGCAGCGCACCAATGCGATTAAGGCTGGAAATGCAGAAGATGCTGAAAAGTGGAATGCGGCTCTGCTGCGCTATTTTAACCCTGCAGGTGCTCACCCGAGCGCAATCATGGGCGAGGATCCACAGGGCGTGCCGTACAACCTGCTTCCACTGCTTGCACAGGTAGCTACGGGGAAACGAGAAAAGCTCTTTGTGTTTGGAGATGGTAAGTCGCCAGAAGCAATTGTAAAGTGGGAGTATACAGCCAGCAATTCTGACGAGGAAAATACCAGATTACGCTTCTCATGACGGCACCGCTATCCGTGACTACATTCATATCCTTGATCTTGCAAATGGCCATCTGGAAGCCCTCAACTATCTCCGTGACAACCGTCCCGGTGTCCGCGCTTGGAACCTGGGCACCGGCAAAGGCAGCACCGTCTTCGACATTATCAAGGCTTTTAGCAAAGCTGTTGGCCGCGACTTGCCATATGAGGTCGTTGCCCGTCGCGATGGTGATGTTCTCGATCTAACCGGGAACCCGTCTCGTGCGAATCGTGAATTGGGATGGAAGGCCACACGAACTCTCGAGCAAGCCTGCGAAGACCTTTGGCGGTGGACAAAGAACAATCCCCAGGGATATCGACAGTCACCACCAGAGGAATTTCTCGCCAAGCTAAAACAAAATTAAGGGGCCGGCATTTGAATTTATTGTGATATACAGTTTCAAGGGAAGGGTAAATATAACGGCGAATAATAAGCAAAAGCAATCGATTTGGGTTGGTACTGTGGGGAAATAATGCTCTTTTGTTCACTCCGGAAGTATAGTTCGTCCGGTGATGTTCTGGTTCTATATTGCTTGATAGATTGCCGTGTATGTAGGGAGATAGTGCAATCGATATGTATGTTTGTACCGACAAAATAGAATAGGTCTTCTATTCTGTCTTGTGGATTAAGATGCAATTATTTTCTTTCCTCCTTACCGTCTAGGTTATCTTGTTGACTCAACAAAGTCCCCGATTCCGACGCCATCAAGGCTAGTGAATGGATATCGGCAGCACGAAACATGTAAATAATAAAATCACCCCATTGCCAGGTTTTCATCCCTCCTTTTTACCTCTATCAGGCTTCTGTTTCTTCTTCGCCTCCTCTTGCTTTTCCCCCTTCTCGATCGCTCTCCGAAGGGCACTCGCTTTCTCAGTTTTTTCAATCTGCTCTTGACTAAACTTCCATAACTTCTCGGCAATTTTATCATCCATCACCTCTTTTCTCAGAACTTCCCGCTGCTTACATTCCTTTATCAACCTGCCTCCTTGAATACCCACTATTCGCCTTTGTCTGTCTTCGTCCGTCTCTCCCACCGCGCTCAGCCCAGCTTCCATCGCTGCTAGAAGAAAGCTTTGTGCTCCCTGTTGGGGTGATTTGAGAATAAGCCACCATATTGGCCATGTAAGAAGGTAGAATAATAGCCCTAGGAGAGATCCGCCGGTGAGCCAGCGCCTCGTTCCCGGCGTTCTCGAAAATCCCGGGTCCACCACGAGCACGCGCGAATTGGTAGGACGGGCCGCTTGCTTTTTGGTCCGATTGGAGTTGTCGTAGTTGGCCAGATGAGCTTGGTATGACCGCGCGAATATCAAGAGGGCGAGTTTAGATGTAGCATACATGCTGCTGCTGGATTTACACCCGCTCCTTATTGTTCCTTTGACGCTTGACTTTGCTTTGGATGTGCTTGAACCCTGCGTTGCTTCCGATGTTCTGGCTTCCAGCGTTTCAAAGTCCAACTCCGCCCTGATGTAACTCGAACAGGTCGCAAATATGACTCTTACATCCCGATCTGGCGGCTGAGCGCGCAGTGCAGGGCTTAATATACTTAGTAAATGAAAATTGGCTAGGTAGTTCACCTGCCACTCTCTGTTTAGTCGATCGGACGTATTTTGCAACTCCGGAGAGGACGGTGGAGTTAAGGTATTTCCGCATAGAATAACCATATCTAGCCGTCGTGGGGGTGTATTATCTATCCACTTCGTAGCGAAGCGCCGGACGGAATGAAGGGAGGAAAGATCAACTTGTTCGGCGTATACGAGCGAGTTGTTGGTGCTGTTGCGGACGTCCTCGACATAGTCCACAACGAAAGGGTCACTGGGCGAATGTTGCGTAAGGATAATTATTTGGGCACCGCGAGAAGCAAGTTCATGAACAATCGATGCTCCCACGCCTGAAGTGCCGCCCTGGGAAGAAGTGTCAACGAGTGGGCCGACTGCAGAAGAGCGGAGCGCGAAATAGGCACGTACCGTAATCATAATTACTTTAGAATGCATAGTACGCTCGGACTGGTTTATAGCACCGCCAAAGTATCGTTTGAGCAGCGCAATGGCGGCAATCCCTGATGCCGTTTTGGCAATGGGATATGCGTAAGGGATGGACGAGAGGCCATTGCTGAAGGTGTGTGAGATGATCGGGAGAGGCATGGTACGTATTTCCCCAAATCCGGAGCACCAATCTGCCAAGCTCTTTCAAGAAGCTCCTATAGTTATCCTCGTATCTTTCGTCGTTCGCCTGGGAGTGGATGGGGTCGACCTGCAGTGCTTTGTGGTTCAGGAACTTCAAGGAGCCCCAGCATGACGTCGCGGGAAATGAGCTGGCGTCCGCTCGCCACTCCGAAAAAGAGCTCCATGCTCACGTTCCATTTATCACTATAGTGTTCAAGGAGACAACATTGCACAATGCCCTATGACGATGAAGATTATTTCCTCCCCTTGGAGGATCAGCGCGTCTTCGGTGCTGGAATCAAAAGAAAGCGAGTGCCATTCGTCCCATCTAGCGAAACGCGCCTCATCACCACAGATGGCCATCCACTCTCCGCACCCGCAACTACATCTTCCACGCCAGGCCCCGAAGCCACTGTCTCAGAGCCAACACCACCTTCAATAGGTGACAAGTACCTCTCCATAGTCCTATCTAAGTCCGCAAACCCCTCCCCGTCCCCCGCCTCAACCTCCGCGACCACCATCGGCGCCGCCAAGCAAGCAGATTCTTCGTCTGAAGAGAGACTCCAAGAAGACACTGCACTTGTAACATGCGACATTTGCAACCTGCCTCTATCACAACCGCCTCCCAGCTCCTCAGATGCGCAATACCCGCCTCATCCACATGAATCCTCCCTCGTCCATCAGGCCAGCCTTCCACACTCCCATCCACCCTCCGCTGTTGACCGTACGCGCCGTGGATACAAATACCTCGCTTCCTACGGCTGGAACCCGGACTCTCGAACTGGTCTGGGCCCAACAGGTGGCGGTATCCGGGTACCAATTCTCCCACAGGTGAAGCATGATACGGCGGGCCTGGGTTTGGACGTCAAAAGAATGAGCGATGCGGAGAAGAAGGAGAGGGAGAGGCAGAGAGCGGCTGCGAAATTGAATGCGAAGCAGGTCCGGAAGACAGAAGAGGAAGGGAAGAAGAAAGCAGAGAGACTAAGAGAGATGTTCTATGGATCAGAGGACCTGGAGAAGTACTTAGGTAGAGGTTGACGAGCCTTTGTCATCCTGCTTCTTTGTCGTTTATGATACCCCATTTGGTTTATTTGGAGATGCATAGGTTAACTTGACCAGTCTACTTTGAGCAAAAAGGTGACATGCTGTTGAGCATAGCAACCCCAAGAATTGATAATCAATTCCAGATGGGTACTGGAATTCGCTGTCTCTATCATATAAATGCAATGCAACTTAGGAAATTTGGTCTAACCCCTGATAATAGGCTGGCAAGAGAAAACCCATCCCAGTGCGCCATACTACTCTGTTGCCAAAAAAAAAAAAAAAAAAAAAAAAAAAATGAAAATGAAAAGAAAATGACTGCTTTCAAAATGCATCAGAAGTAAAAGAGCCATAAAGTGACAAAATAAACGCCATACAGACTTTCAAGGCTGCTAAAAGGGGGTAGTGTAACATATGCCTAACATCATAGGTCATAATAATCAAAGCTCTATTTGAAGAAACGTTTCTTCTTCTCTTTATCCTTCTTGTCCTTGTCCTTTTTGCTAAGCTTCTGTTCGCTTTTTGACAACATGGGTTGTGGTCGGGGCGGAGCAGATTCACCCAGGGATTTTACTCTTCGCGGGTCGTCCTGGGAACTCATTGTCATAGCAGCAAGGCCAGAAGTGGGAGGTGCTAGAGACTTCGACGCTGTCAGTGGCTGCGGCTGCGGCTGCGGCTGCACCTGTGGTTTGGGCGACGGCTCTCTCTCAAATAGATGTCGAGGGGCCTGAGGTTTCGGTTGGTCGGCGGGGAGGTTAAGCCGTCGCTTGTCAACACTTAGATCGCCAACTTGGCGTAGGAAGAGGCCAGGAGTAAGCATGTGTGATGTGACGAGGTATATATCTTTGTTGTGATTCTGGGATAGTTCGTAGCAGGAGCGAGCTTCGGAGTACGTGGCTCCACCAGCCATGAAAACAATGATTTTTTGACGAGGTTCCGCCGCTGAAGGACGGATTCGAGCCCAGGTAGGTTTTGCGCTCCTAAGAGAAGCTTGAGAAACGTTATCTTGACTCATGACATCGTCCCCATCCGCGTGAGGGCGGGTTGATGGAAACACTGAAGTATCCAAAGTGCCCCGTATTTGTTCTTGTAACATCAACTTCAAGTTAGGTTCGAATCTTGATAAGCTCGTGTCATCTTCGTTAATCTGAGCAGGCGGCTTTCGGGCAAATAGTGGCTGATTGGGTGGCTTAGTATCGCTGAGTGGTTTTTCAACCCGTGCCCCTAATAAATCAAAATTGTAGATGACTTCCCCATCCTGGGGTGGCAGCTGTGAGTGAGCGAGTAGCTTTTTGATATCACCGCCGAGAAGGCCGCCTCGATATAAGAGGTAAAGGACTATTAGTCGTAACCGATCGGGAGGCCGAACACGCTCGTCATCCAGAAGGCGAACAAGTTGGTCGGCAAGATTTTTAGGCTTTCGGTAATCTTCGTCTAACCCAGTACCAAGTGACTGTAGCATGTTAGGTGGAGTCGCGAAGTAAATTGGCGCCGGCGATCGTAACATACCTGTTCAACAGACGCAAGCTCCGGTAGGTTGCGGTCCTGAAATAGTTGCATGCACTCTTCGGCCATGTTAAGGTGCAGCGTATACGAATTCTTCCCTTCTTGAAACTTTGACAGTCCGGCCAACATGTCTCTGATGGTGTTCACATTTGCAGACGAATCACTATTGAACTGTAATTAGCAACGACCAGTACAGAAATGGAGCAAAGAGCATGACATACTTGTCAGCAAACTGAGGGTTTTTCGCTCTGAATTGGTTGAAATCATCCACTAGCTTCCCGAGGAGGTCTTTCATGTGCAAATGCCGACTCTCTACCCAGATACTATCATTTTCTGAGATCTCCAATTCCTTGGTTTCCTGATTTGGCTCTCCGGCATTAATGGTTGTTTCATAAGTAACCTTTTCTCCTTCTTTGATTGGAAGGAGATCATGAGCCATGGCCTGATACGTGAATTCGTGGACTAGCGGAGCGACAAGATCTAAGGTTCGGTCAACTATATAAAGCAGACCCCGTTGTCTCGACGCCGTTGGAAAGTCTTCGCGCGATTTGGCGTAAGCATCCAGCTCATCCTGGACAAAACGTGCCAGGTGGGAGCATAGAACACTAGCTTCGTGTGTCGGCGCCTTGGGCCGGTAGTATCGAATTACGGGATATTCGCCAAGCGATACGCATACGGAAACGATCTATCTTTATTAGTGAAAATCTAAGGAATGTGTCCATTTGTAAACGCACCCTTTGGGCGAGATCCTCAAGGTGACCTCGGACGAGATTGTTGCATGCCGGATGGAAGAGGGTGGGAAAGCTCCAAGGATCGCGGAAAATTACAAGATGCGATTCTCTAGGAAAGTAGTTAATGTTGACGATACGGAAATCAGCGATCAGGTCGCGCGCCATGCTCAAGCCGTTGATTCTGCTTCGTAATTGGGGATCAAGCCCTGTCGAGTATGTCAGGAGAATGTTTCAGGGGTTTGACCACGGAGGACTCACTAGCAGTCCAGACTAGAAAGGCTCTCCTATATCGCCGACGTTGCAAGTCCGCTATAAGAGAGTCTACGATGTGCGGCAATGGTGAGAGAAAATAAACCGCATCCGTCTCTTGGTTCATAGGGCGCCGGTGCTCGATCTGCTCAATATCTTGAGATGGCGTCAGCTCCGATCTCCACCGAACAACAACACTCGTCAACCAATGTGACTTACTTGTAACATTGGCGTTGAGGATGTCATCCTCTTTAACGGCATTATCTATTAACTTTTTGCTCAATGCATCAACGACGAGCACTTTCCACTTGAAACCAATCAGCAGCTGTTCAAATGTAGGGCGGGGAGGCACGAGAGCTAACTTCTCGCTCAGCGGTATATCGAACAGTGTCCAGGATAACTAGGCGTCGAATTAGCTATATCCAGTGCATTCTTAGAAAATGGGTACACGATACTTTTCCGCTGGACCTCAATCAAGGAGGAGTCCATCTTGGCAGGGAATCGGTCATGAGAATGAGAACCGCAGTTACGAGGCGCTGGAGGTTCGACAGGATCGGTAATGGATGGAGCGGGCTGCTTTTCGTTGAAGGCAGGTAGAGCGATATATAGAACAGCAATTTGCACCCGTGACAGAAGTGATGCCGGCGACGGTGCCCTGAATCGCTTCACCTCGCGCCGTCGGCACAGCCCGCGAGATTACGGTCTCGCTCTGTGACATAACGCAACCTCCGCCCGCCAGCCAGCCGGCCCGCGCTAGGCTCGGAGGGGACTAGCCCCGGCGGCTGGTGCGATTATATCAGCAGGTAGCGGGAACAACTTTTCTTCCGCCACCGGACAGGGTTATCGTTGATCCGCAAGACTATATTCGACCTGAGTACCCTTTGAGAATTCCAACTCGAAGCTTCGTCCAACATCTTCTATGTGAAGACTGGAAATTTCTCTCTTGGCTTCTTTTACTGTATATTTTGCTTGCGAGGCGTTCGTGGTATACACGTTCTCATTGAAAACATTCCAATTCCTTCTGCGCTCAAACTGAGAGCACTCAATGCGACGAGACCGTCCGCCTTCCGTCTCAATCTTGAATCAGCGCCGAATCCACCCACACCATGCTCATGCAACCGTGGAGAGGGTCACAGACACCGTGCCTGATTTGTCTCTTTCGACAGTCTGTCGTTCCGCGACAGTTCACCCGCTCCCTTAGTACCAGCAGGCCCTTGGAAAGGGGAAAACCCAAGTCTAGCAAGTCTAAACTTGCTTGGAAACAGACGGTAGGAATAATTTATAAACTTTGGCGCTTATACATTTTGTGATTCTAACTATTTGCTCCAGAGTCTTCGGCTTCCCCAAGAGCAGAAGAAGAGAAATGCCAGAAATAATGCTGTTCGAAGAGATCAGTTCACGGTCGTGTTAGAGAGGATATTACAGGATTTAGAACGAAAAGTGAAGTCTAACGAGGGCAAAAGTACTTGGAGGGAGTTTCAAGACGTGGTGACGGCCGCCTGCACGCAGTCAGGGAACCAATCGCCCAATCTTGCTTTGAGTCAAAGATTACACGAGGCCTTTATAAGGGCTGGAGAAGCCAAGCTGGCCTCGGTTTTGGAAGAAGAGTATCGGAATTATAAATATGATATCAAGTTCTCTTCACGCATTAAAGAACAGAAGGCTCTGGCCGACTACAGGTTCCCGGCGGAATGGTACCCAGCGGCCCGGGCTCTCCAGCGCACGATACATCTTCATGTTGGGCCTACAAACTCGGGAAAGACATATCACGCCTTGAAAAGACTAGAAGAAGCAAAAAGCGGGTTTTATGCTGGACCATTGCGACTTCTCGCCCATGAAGTCTATTCTCGGTTTAATGCAAAGGGCATCTCTTGCGGTCTTATAACGGGCGACGAAGTAAAAGTTCCCGAAGGCACTCCTCCAACCCTCTATAGTAACACAGTTGAAATGGCCCCGTTGGGACTAGAGGTCGATGTCGCTGTTATTGACGAAATTCAAATGATTGGTGATCGTCAACGAGGTTGGGCGTGGACGAGAGCGCTGTTAGGCGCTCCGGCGAAGGAAGTCCATCTCTGTGGGGAAGAACGAGTAGTGCCTTTGATCCGAGAACTTGCTGCTTTGACGGGAGATAAGCTGGAAATCCATAATTATAAGCGCTTGAACCCATTGATCCCGATGACGAAGAGCCTAAAAGGGAATCTTCAAAAACTTCAGAAAGGAGACTGTGTTGTGGCATTTTCTCGCTTGGGTATCCATGCTCTCAAGCAAGAAATTGAAAAGGCAACTGGGCGAAGAGCCGCCATAGTCTATGGGGGTTTACCTGCGGAAATTCGGTCGCAGCAGGCGGACTTGTTCAATAACCCTGATAATGACTATGATTTCCTGGTCGCTAGTGATGCGATCGGTATGGGCCTTAATCTGTAAGTTGCTCTTTTAACCTTCCATCTTTTGGCTTTCATTGCTAAGCTGGTATCGATAGAAGCTGTAAGCGAATCATTTTTGAATCGGTCATCAAGAGAAGTCCAGTTGGTCTGGAACGATTATCAGTATCTCAGGTCAAACAGATTGGTGGCAGGGCCGGTCGTTATCGAAGTGTAGCCGATGCCATGGACAAAAGCAAACCGTCAAAGCGCTCTGAGGAAGATCAAAATGTCGGATTTGTGACATGCCTTGAGGATGTCGATCTTCCGCATATCCAGAAGTGCCTGCGCGCGGAGGCAGAGCCAATCAACGCAGCGGGTATTCTTCCTCAAGATTCTATGATAACTGCCTTTACGGATCATTTCCCTTCAGATACGCCGTTTAGATACCTCTTGCAGCGATTGTGGAATGTTTCTCAGACGCATCCACGCTTCTTTATGTGTGATTTACACAGTTCTGACGTACAAGAAATCCTGGATGACGTTCCCGGACTCAGTGTTACGGATAAACTCGTCTTTCTATCCGCTCCCACTTCGACGGCAGATCCGACAAGTGCCTTAACCCTCAAGGCATTCGCAACCTGTGTTGCTCAACACAAGAGCGGAGCGCTCCTCGACATTCCGGAACTGCACCTTGAGATCCTGGATGTCCCTGTATCTGGCAATAAGAATTACTTACGATCCTTGGAATCACTTCACCGTTCGCTTGTCCTCTACCTTTGGTTAAGCTTCAGAATAGGTGGCATATTCACTGATAGGACTCTTGCTACCCATGTCAAGGAGCTTGTGGAAATGAAGATGGACAGGGCTTTGACCGAATTCTCCGCCAATTCCAAGTTAACCAAGTCCGCTATACTTAGGAAACAGGCCGCATTATTAAAGAAGGGCCTGCTCGAAGAAGCGGAAGAGATACAGGAAGTTGATTTTGATCCTTCCCGCGATGTTGAAATTCAACCCCAAAAAGTAGGAGTGGCTGCTTGAACGCCATCTCCGGGCTGTTCTGTAAGCTATGGTGGCTTACGCGGTTTGAACCTTTGGCCCAAATGGATCAGACCTCTGGATTCTAGTAACGCAAATTAATTGAAACCGGCCGGTCACATTCCCCCGGCTAGTATCGCTAGACGACGCCAGTGAAGGACGCAGCAAGCTTTATTATTTCTGGTGGGTTAGAAATTTTATATACCTGATCTTGAGCGTCCCCTTAATGGGAAACTGGCTGGTCCGATCGGACCGGCTTCTCGCGCATGTGGACCCTCTAGGCTCGCTTAGAGCTCAAAAATATCGAAGTTGATCACGAAACATACATGGGCACCACCCAGCAATACCATGACCCGAAAGCGATCCCCAGAGAGGGTAGTGGGCTGGTATATACACTTTCTTCGTCGCAGATAATCGCGTCCTGTGCGGAGGAAGCATATAGATTTTCATTTATATATGTATTTATAGAGACAAATGCACCTCCTTTCCAAACTCAAGTTTTGTATAATTTTGTGACTCTGTCCTCCGCATTCCTTGCTCTGTCGTTATCACAATCGCCCTTGTATTTTCCGTCGCCACTCCAGTCTCCCACATACGTTAAACTCCTGAGCGGCCAGCCCAGTGCTGAAACTAACTTACGTAACTAAGCTTAGGTAAGCATTCCGGAATCCGCCACAACAATGTTCCGTTCGCCTTGAGAAAGCCGCGAGGCGAGAGGGCCGACAAGACCGGCGACGGCCTCCTACAGCTCGCCTGGTTAACTCGTGGAGCGACAATGGACGACCTTCAGTCGCTGGAGCTTCTGTCTCTGGTTTCCAGAGTGACAACCGAGCTCCAGAACCATTTAGGAATCAACGACAAGACCCTCGCCGAGTTCGTAATCGACCAGCATCTAAAATGTGGCGGATCATTCAAGGAGTTCAAGGGCTCACTCGAGGGCATGGGGGCGGAATTCCCGCAGAGCTTGATGGAGAGTATCGATCGCTTGGTGCTGGCCATGCACCCGAAGTACAAGCTGAAGCAGAATGCGACGGACAAACACTCCTCCGAGCGGGAAAACGGCAACGGTGCGAAGATAAATGATATTGAGATGAAGGCAAAGGTGTTTAAAGCGTTGGCGATGCCGGATAAGGCACCCCAATGGGAAGATGGTGATTATACGAAGCCAGGAGAAATTTCGAGAAACGATGCCGGTGCAGACGTCCTAGACGATACCTTTGCGATGCTTGAAGGTCTGGCCGCGAAAGCCAGGGGCAAAGGGGATGGAGCTAAGAGTAGGAAGCGGAGCAGGAGCCCAAGTAGTGATGACTATGATCGAGGAACGCGGCGCCGAGAAAAGTACCGTTCCAGATCTAGGTCACGCAGCGGTGAACGGCGCTACAGGCGAGACGAAGATGTGGCCCACGAACGGTCAGGGACAAAGTATGGAGGAAGGAATGACAGATACAGAGACGACTATAAGGATCGAAGAGGGCGGAGAGGCCGTGATGATGATGACTATTTCCGCAGACCTCCTACACCCGAACTTGACGAACGGCCGATCCTTTACAAGGTGTACGATGGACGAGTTACCGGTATAAAGGATTTTGGGGCCTTTGTCAATCTACAGGGTGTTAGAGGGAAGGTCGATGGACTTGTTCATGTTTCTGCAATGCAAGATGGTGCTAGGGTCAATCATCCGTCTGATCTGGTGTCGCGAGCACAGCCCGTCAAAGTCAAAGTCGTGTCTATACAAGGGTCCCGTATCGGCTTGTCTATGAAAGAAGTCGATCAAGTGACAGGGAGAGATCTTGTTCCTCAGAGACGTATCGCCTCCGGTGCAAATATGGAAAGACTCGATGGAACTGGAGCTGATGATCGCTATGGTAATTTAAGCTCCAACGTACATGTAATAGAGGATGATGACGACGGGAAGCCGCTAAGGAATAAAAGGCGCTTAAACTCGCCTGAAAGATGGGAGATTAAGCAACTCATTGCTTCTGGTGCCGTTTCGGCTGCAGATTATCCCGATATTGACGAAGAATATCACGCCACACTTAGGGGAGAAGGCGATTTTGAAGAAGAGGAGGATGTGGACATTGAAGTTAAGGATGAAGAACCGCCATTTTTAGCTGGACAAACCAAGCAATCGCTGGAGTTATCACCTATCCGTGTTGTCAGGGCACCTGATGGCTCGCTGAACCGAGCTGCAATGGCTGGGACAAACCTTGCAAAAGAAAGAAGGGAACTTCGCCAACAGGAGGCACAGGATAAGGCTGCAGAACAAGCCTCCCAAGTTGATTTAAATGCACAATGGCAAGACCCCATGATTGCGCCGGACCAAAGAAAATTTGCCTCCGAGTTGCGGACCGCACAGAAAACGGATGCAATTCCCGAATGGAAACGAGTTACCCAAAGTAAAGACGTTTCTTACGGAAAGAGAACGAACTTGACAATCAAACAGCAAAGAGAGAGTCTTCCAGTTTTCAAGTTCCGCAAACAACTGCTAGAGGCCGTCCACAAGAATCAGCTCTTGATTGTGGTCGGTGATACTGGCTCAGGAAAAACTACTCAAGTCACCCAATATCTTGCCGAAGCTGGGTTTGCAAATGATGGTATGATCGGATGTACGCAGCCTCGTCGAGTCGCTGCCGTTTCTGTTGCGAAACGTGTTGCGGAAGAGGTTGGTTGCCGACTGGGCCAGGAAGTTGGATACACTATTCGCTTTGAGGATTGCTCGAGCCCAGATACAAAGATCAAATATATGACAGACGGCATCCTTCAGAGAGAGATTCTTTTGGATCCGGACTTGAAAAAGTACTCCGTTATCATGCTTGACGAAGCACACGAGAGAACAATTGCTACAGATGTTCTTTTTGGGCTTCTGAAAAAGACTATTAAACGAAGACCGGATTTAAAGCTAATTGTTACATCCGCAACCCTCGATGCTGAGAAGTTCTCTGAATATTTCAACGGGTGCCCCATTTTTACAATACCAGGCCGGACGTTTCCTGTTGAGATCATGTATTCTCGCGAACCGGAAACAGATTATCTGGATGCTGCACTTGTCACAGTGATGCAAATTCACCTCACGGAGCCAGAAGGCGACATTTTACTCTTTCTAACTGGTCAGGAAGAAATTGACACGAGCTGCGAAATTTTGTACGAGAGAATGAAATCTCTTGGCCCAAATGTCCCGGAATTAATTATTCTTCCCGTCTATTCTGCTCTTCCCAGCGAGATGCAGAGTAGGATCTTCGATCCAGCACCTCCAGGAAGCAGGAAAGTGGTTATTGCGACGAATATCGCCGAAACATCCATTACTATAGACCACATTTATTATGTTATTGACCCTGGTTTTGTGAAGCAGAACGCTTATGATCCAAAATTAGGCATGGACTCACTTGTCGTGACTCCAATCTCTCAGGCACAGGCCAAGCAACGAGCAGGTCGTGCTGGAAGAACTGGCCCTGGTAAATGTTTTCGTCTATACACGGAGGCTGCATTCCAGTCCGAAATGTTACCAACTTCCATCCCCGAAATTCAACGCCAAAACCTATCTCATACTATCCTGATGCTAAAAGCTATGGGAATTAATGATTTACTTCACTTCGACTTCATGGACCCGCCGCCAACAAATACTATGCTTACAGCTCTTGAAGAACTATACGCCCTTTCGGCCCTTGACGACGAAGGCCTTTTGACCCGACTTGGCAGGAAAATGGCAGACTTCCCCATGGAACCAGCTCTCGCAAAAGTTCTCATCGCATCAGTCGATATGGGTTGCTCCGACGAGGTTCTAAGTATCGTAGCTATGCTTTCCGTCCAGAATGTTTTCTATCGTCCCAAAGAAAAACAGCAACAGGCCGACCAAAAAAAGTCCAAATTCCACGATCCGCATGGCGATCACCTTACTCTTCTCAATGTCTATAACGCCTGGAAAAATTCCCGGTACAGTAACCCTTGGTGCTTTGAAAACTTCATTCAAGCTCGGCAAATGCGGCGTGCACAGGACGTTCGCCAGCAACTAGTTAGTATCATGGAGAGATACCATCATAAGATTGTATCGTGCGGAAGGAACACGATCAAAGTTCGCAAAGCGTTATGTTCGGGATTCTTCAGGAATTCCGCGCGCAAGGATCCACAAGAGGGCTACAAGACTCTGATCGAAGGAACGCCGGTATACATGCATCCCAGCTCGTCGTTGTTTGGGAAGGCAGCGGAACACGTTATTTTCCATACACTGGTGCTGACAACGAAAGAATACATGCATTGTACAACTGCGATTGAGCCGAAGGTAGGCACAGATTTCCTATTTCACTCTAAAAGCGGATGTTACTAACATTTTTATTCGCAGTGGCTCGTCGAAGCAGCACCGACGTTCTTCAAAGTCGCTCCAACTGACCGCCTGTCTAAACGGAAGAAGGCAGAACGTATCCAGCCACTCCATAACCGTTTTGCTGGCGAGGATGACTGGCGATTATCTGCTCAAAGACGACAGGGAAGAGGTGGTGGTGGCGGCACTTGGGGTTAACCATGCTTCACGTTACATGACCTGGCTGGCAACCCTGGTTGCCCTTGATGCATAGAGCGGAGTTTTTGGAAGTATTCTACACACGGTTTCAATTTGAGCTTATTTTGTATGATATATGGAGTCGCACTACCTACTTCACATATATCAGTTTTCTATCAACCGTGTAATCCATAGTTTACCATCACTCTCAGTCCCAACTGGCAAGAATATGCTTTAATCGATCCCCGAATCATCAACAATGGTTCAACTGCATTTCTCAGTGAATATACCCCTAAGTGTCTAGTCTGCAATAACCTATGTACATTACATAGCTCATGTACGTAAGGCGAGATATCATCATGTACCAAAACATTGACAAAACAACAAACAGTACAGAAAGCAGAGAAAGAGAAGAAAGAATATAAAAAATGCATCTTATCCCACCCGTTGCAGAATACAAGACACGGAACAAACCTGAAACCATCATCCCAAGGGGCATCAATGGCCAAGTATGCGAGGCGAGCAAGAAAGCAAGGAGGGAGTAGCAGGTGTAAAGCAAAGGACATGCTATACAACAACATAGCTGAGAAGCTAAAAGGATATTCAAGTCGTAACAGAAACAGAAATATCAGATCACGGGCCAATTCCAATAACCTTCCAGACGCCCCGTCCCAAAAAAGTAAAAAATAACAAAAAAGATGAACTCCGGTTGGTACAAACATAGGCTTATTGCAGATAGACAAATAGGGTATATTGAGTCAACCAAGCTGGCAGTTTCCGAATGCGATGAGATACGTTGGTCAAAGAGCAAGATTAGGCACACCATCTTGGTCTATGACTACGTATCTGGTGTTATGTTTCCTAGCGGTAAGGACCTGCTGGACCCATCATTCCTGCGCCACTACGGGCGCCAACATTTCCGTCTCCTGGGTTGCCACCATGCTGCGTAAACATCTCAAGCAACTGGCGCGACGATGGCTGATGAGGACCTTGCTGTGGACCTGCTCCATAATGGCCAGGGTGTCCATGGGACAAGTTCATCATCGCCTCTACGGAATGTGGCATGAGTGGAAAGCCTGATGGTGGAGGAGCGTTCATGTTCAAATAACCTGGAGGAGGCATTATCCCAGGCGGCGGGGCGAAACCAGTCGGGCCGTTTCCACTAGCTCCCCGCTGAAATTGTGGGCGTTCCGCCGATGGCGTCATCCCTGCTGGTAAAGGCATTGGATGTGCAGGAGAGAAGTTTGCATTTATATTCCGCGTTTGTGGAGCGGGAAGGCCCGGAGGCAGCATCATTTGGTTTGATTGCTGTGGAATCTGCTGGTTTGGCCAGTTATTGGGATTAACGTGCTCAAGGCCAGGAGGTCGCTGGATATTCATGGGTTGCTGCGGTGGGCCTTGAGGGCGGAGCCCAGGCGGGTTGCTGGGAGTGTGATTTCCGCTTGTAGCCCCAGGATAGGGCATTTCGTCAAAATATCCAGTTGGTCCGCCAGTAGGTCGCCGACGAAGCTGATTCCGTGGATCATTTGCGTTAGACTGGCGGAAATTTGCAATTGCTGGATCGTCTATGTAGACCGGATTTTTCTGGACTTGCACACCCTGGTTTCCAGCCAGCAAGTCGATTAAACCCCGTCCTGCAGGGCCTTGCGAAGAAGGGGGATTTTGGCCGGTTGGTGTTTGTGTGGATAGCTTTGACTGTTGCATAAGACGCAGCAAGAATTCGGTATCGCGGCCATGAGCGTTATTCTCCTTAGGAGCTTTCTGCGCAAGTAGATTCTCCAATCCTGGCGGTGCCTTGTCTCGTGGGGCCTGATCTTGGAAATTCATATATTCCTGGCGATTGAACGTCTCTCGTAGAGGAGATGTGGCCGGTGGCGGTGCCTTTGCAAAGTCAGATTGAGGAATTTGCATGAGCGGAGGACGGGGTTGGTTTGGTTCCTCAACTTGAGGGGTGGCATTTCTCGATTTATTACCCCCAAGCATTTGAAGAATACGTTGAAACCCTTCCTGGTCTGCATCCGTAGAAGCTGGTCGTGGTGTACCTGACTGCGGGGGTTCAGCCTCTTTGGCTTCATTCTGAGTGTTAAAAAATCCAGCGAATCTTGAAGATTTTACCGGCTTAGGAGTTTCTTTCTTGCTTTCGGGTGCTAAATTCTCAAGTGGAGAATCCTGCGTGGCTTTGTGCCCTCCAAAAAGACCGAAAAAGTTGTCCAGGCCAGCGTCAGTTTGAAAGGATGGGTCAAGGCTGCTAAACATCTCGCCATCGACTCGCTTGGTTTCGACTGTCTTTGGCTCTTGCTTAGGAGGTTCGGGCTCAACCTCTTTCTTCGTATCACCGGAAACCTGAGCAGCGCCGGCCTTCATCCTCTCTTTCCATCGCTGGAAATCCTCCTGAGTGTGTGCCTCTTTGGTGTCAGAACGAGCGGTGGAATCCATCCATTCAGGGTCTTGTTCTTGCTTAACGGGCCGATTCCAATCGCGGTCTGGGCCATGTAAACCTCGGCGCCATTCGCGGTTCCGAATCGGTGTCTTATCTTCCTCCAGCTCGCCTGTATCCTGCGACTCACCATCACGGTGCCAGAATTGATCATGTCTCTGTCTAGCAGGCGTATCACGACGACCAGGGAACCTTCCCTGGTCCCTATCCCGATTCACACGTTCGCCTCCGTCTTGCTGGTCGCGATGCTCTTTTGAGTCTCTACCATCCCAGCGATCTCCATCGCCACTTCGTCTAGATCTTCTGTCACGATCTTCTTCCAGTCCAAAATTTCGTCGTGGTCTACTATTCCAATCTTCTCGATCATCTCGGTTCATCCGACGGCCATTAGTAAGGTTGGTTCGGTTATCTCTTCTATCCGGATCTTTATCCCTGTCTCCATATTCTCTGTCCTTGAAGAATTTGTCACGGAAACCTCCAAAACGGTCTTGTTTCGTATCATCGTGGTCGTTGTTCTTGAAAGATCTGTCGGTAGCATCAATTGATTTTCCAAAGCCCCTGGTGGCAGAGGCAAATGACGTTTTGGGGGGACCAAGGACAAGATCTTCTGAAGAAAATTAGTCAGTACACAACAAGCCTGGTTGTCTCAGAAAACTATATGGAGTATCACCTGAATTAGAGGTGCGTGAGATATGGCGCGACTCAAAAAAACTCGGGCGCCGCTGATTATTGGCCGACTCCAATTGATTTGTTGGATCTCGGGGGTTTTTCTTCTGAGCGGTGGGGTCTGGGATAGGGCTATTGGAGCAACAATATCTCCAGTTAGCAATTAGACCTACAATAGAAAAGACCCAAAAATCGTGAACCTACCCCATCCATTCTTCTATAGGTGGTAAATTATCCGGCTTGATCACTAGAGGGGATTCGCGAAGGCGTAAAAGCTCCTCGGGCTGGTATCGAATGATAGCCATGGGCTCGTGTGGTACGTGTGTACTGTCTAATTGGGCCTCATGGCACAATCAAGCTGAAAGGGAATGTAATCAAGCGACAGTAGGCTTCGGATATTGAACTAGGATTCGATGAGAGTAGAGGATTTGCTTTGGTGGAAGCGGAGTGCAAGAATGAGGTTGGGAAGACGGGCGGTTGGGAGGAGTTGCGGGAGCAAGGATGGCCAGCGGCGGCGGCAGCACTATTCCTGGGCAGCAAGAGCGGGTATATTCGAGCTTCAATAGTTAGAGTTGGAGCACGGAGTTCAAAGAGGAGAAATTGAGGTATCTTTTGCTTTCTAACTGTTTGTTAACCGGGGAGGCGATAAGGTGTCGTTGGGCAAGGGAGCATTGGGGGATGTGAAGGGACACTGATGGAGGCGATTTTAGAATTTTTCTGGACCACCAAAACCCGCCATCCACCACCAGGAGATCGCCGCAACAACCGCATTTTGGCTACGCACACTACCAGAGAAACAGCCACGGTGACAGAGCCAGGCAGAGGGAAGACAATGGAGGAAGCCTGCAACAACGTGCCAGACATAGTTATTGAGTTGTGAGTAAGATATGTCATCCTGTGGATGCTCATGATACTGCTTTGGATACACTACATTTTTACATTTTTCTCCAGAAAAGATGTGTCGGCTCTAACTAGTATAAAACATCAAGCTTCTATCCCGATATCTGAGCTATTGTCTTTGGCAAAGCTAAGCCACTCCAGCGATTAATCCACTCATGATCACAGCCATCGTAGAGCTCTCTTGCAAGCGCCTGCAAGATCTGTCTTTGGGAGACACTTCCCGGAGTTTGACTTAGGATCCAGCTGATCGCCGCAGCGCGAGTTAACAGAGTGGTATTACCGCCAACCTCGCAGGCGCGGAAGACCAAATGTAGTATCTTCTTCCGTAAGCTTTCCGAGAGGTTCGGTGAACTGTATAGGGAAAGCAGACGTTCGAAAACACTAGCACGGCGGTAGATATCCAAGTCCTATGGCCACTATCAACATCCTCGATTCCTTACAGGTTTCTATTACTACTCACCTTCTTTGATCTAAGACCGTTAACAAACAGGTCCAACAGCCAACTAACTTCCTCGTAGTGACTGTCGTCGTATTCCGATTCGTGCAAAAGGATCTTATCAATCCAGTAAGACGGGATTTTTGCAATTTCCCAGAGAGGTCCCTTGTTTAAGAACGTATTTGCCTTGCCATAAAGCTTGTGCAACGGGTCCATTAGTGCTTCCAGTAATCGGGCACCAAGCTCGCCAGCAATATAGGGCAACGTGTTTTCGACTCCGTTCTCTTTAGCAGTCTCCAGCAACTCTCCCATTAGAACGTACATCGTCTGACGTTCCGAATAAGTAGATTCCTAGAACGAATATTAATATCATTATAGCAGGCTCTCGTTTTATACTCACTTGAAGTCTGGCCATAAACCGCGAAATAGCAATAATGGCCTGTCGTCGAATCTCCTCATGCTCAGAACAGAGGCATAATATCAACTCCCCAACATAGCCTTGATCCAGTGCCAATTCCAGATCATCTTTCTCCCAGCGATGAAGTCCGGGGTGTGATTCGTCTTCGACAGGACATTTGCCAAATATATCCGGAAGTGATACTTGGATCTTTTCACTGGTTGAAACTTGCGGCGTAATACTCCTAGTCGTTCTTTTCTCATGCTTATCTGAAGACATTTTCTCTCGACTTTTGAGAGCCTTTTTCAGCAGAGATCGGCTTTTCTTTGTCTCAGTTGCTTCCATCATGGCATCCCGGAGTCTGGCCAATGCATTCTCCTCTTCGCCTGCGTTCTTCAGTGACCCAAGAAGCTGGGCAATCCAGCCTGCAACTGCCACTTCACCATCCCTATTCCCAGCTTTGACCACGAACGACCACTGTTCATTAACCGTAGTAGCAAGTAAACTAAGTTTCTGCGAACCGCTTCCCAATAGAGACTGTCCCTGGTCCAGATAAAGCACTGGCCTTTTGACAAGTCTCGTAACACAATTATCAATGAAATCAAGTTGGGCCTTGAAATCCTCTGGAGCCGAGACCGTTAGCCCTTGAGTTAAGGCGCTAAAAGACTCTCTATCTGCTAAAACCGAATTGTGAACCAATATATCCTGAAGAAGAGGCTTAATTTCTTCAAGGGGAGAGTTGTCCGGTGCACTTGCAACTACTTTCAAAACGGATGTAAATGCGGAAAATTCCAAAGACCCTAGGACGAAGTTAGTATGAAGTTACCTTGGAAAAAGTGTATGTTGTGGAGACATACCGGGTTTCTGCCACCAACGCATCGTCGGGGATTCTTGGGCAATGATTAAAAGGCTCTGTAATTGACTAAACAGCAGTTGCTTATCACAACCAGAGAGCTCAGAGTTGTCCAACTGCTTCAGGACATCGACCAATGTTAGAGATACGTCGAACTTTTCCTTCAAGGCGATCGCCGGGATGACTTGATAAAACATTGACAGCAGCTCTAGCACTGCATCCTGTTGCTGTATATTGTCTTTTGGGGTCTGTCGAAACGCAGCAATCGCGTCTTTCATTGCAGGACATCTTCTACAAAACTCCGCCACTAGTTTGGCAGCTGCATCACTCCATAGATCCTGGCCAACATCCCTTGAGCATTCAAACAACTTCAACACCGCCTGAAGCTTTCGCAATGCAAGCGTTGTGATTCTAATGGCAAATAAGGTAACCACGTCGGCGTTCTGATTTATACACCGCGTCAATATTTTTTGCGTAAGTGGTCGAGGTATTATACTTTCGATGACAATAGAGATGGGAGGTGGTATCACCGGCGGTGACACCCCTTTCCACCCGCATTGCGCTGGTACCGGTAGCTGGACGGACGAAAACAGGAATGCGGACTCTCCAAGCCAGCTGGGGGTGGGTTTGGGGTCCGATGTGAACATGGTTCGTTTGGAGAAAAACTCATAGACGAGTTCGGGTGCTGCTCTGAATATCTTCAAAAGCAGTTCCATCTGTAAAGTGTCGGATTCTGGTCGAAGAAATTGGACCAAAGAAGAGAGATTTCCGTTCCGAACGGGTACTGACTCTTTATATTTGTCGAAATAAACTGGCGAATCAAGGCCAAGAGAAATACATCCAGTATCTTCCGGCGGGAGCACATTTGGAGTACTCCCGAACGGATACCATCCGGTTTCTGGCAGCAAGACTCCCTTTTCCTGGGACGTACAAATCGACAACATAAACTTGTGAATTTCATCGGAGACACATTCGTTCTTGATCGTGGGTTCAGTGGAGTCTTTTTCGTATCCATATAGTGTGACCAACCTTTCCAAATTGCTGCGATTGAGGAAACGGCTCTTGGAATTGCGTGGAAGTTCAGCATCGCTTACAATATGCTTGTCGATAGTCTTAATAATATCAATAACAATGTCGCGTGCATCTTTGCGAATCTCTTCCAGGAAGGCTTTGATAAGTTTTCCCTGGCTCACGAGCTCCTCCTTGGCGCTTGCGCCTTGAAACTTGAAGTTTGCCAGGAGGTAACGTTGCGCTATGCGTCGAAGAGAGGGTTTCCGATGGTCTTCTGGCTCCTCCTCAATATTCGATTTACGGCCACTGAGAAATATATCGAGGCGTTTAAACGTGATATATCGGCTTGCATAAACGACCCTGGCGATAGCGCCTCCATCAAAGCTCACGACCTCCGTAAGTAGTCGTAAACACGGCGAGATCAAATGCTCCTTGGATTTACTCGCGGTAAGCCCTCGATTGAACAATTTTAGCTGGTCTTTTTGCAATAAAAACTTGCACAACGCCCGCCCAAAATCCCTAAAACTGAGCTGTCCAGAGACGGTTTTCAAGAAAAGGGCAAGCACGGAGGGTATCAAAGACAGGAGAGACTCCTCGTTATTACTCTCTGCAAAGGCCCATGTCTGTAAAAGGTCAAGAAAGCAGGCCGTTGGCTTGCCCTCGGCATCCTTTACAACTTGCGAGTCGCAATAACTTTTGAGGATCTGCAGCTTTTTTGCTTTGGCTTTTTCATCTTCTTCACTGACAATTGAAGTAAGAAAGTCCTTAAAAGTCCGGATACCTATACCCGTATTAGCTTTTGATTAATGGGGTGCGAAATTTCTGTCGAGCGGTAGCTACGCACCTTGCTTCACTTCTTGCGAGACGCTCTGTTGGAATACAAGAAGACTTCGAAGTTGATGGGACGAAGCTATCGCGACGGGCTGCGTGATTCCACTGGAAGATTCATTGAAAATTTTTCTCCTTTTCGCTTGAGGCTCGATCTCATGTGAATCGGCCATTTTCCCCGCGAACGATTGATTTTGCAATTTCGGCGGAATTTTTGATGCTTTGAGCATGGGAGTTCGAGGCAAAAATTGGATGCGCGATCTGATTGGTTGAGCGCTTTGCCTTCGACGCATCACGGTCCATTTGAAGTCAAATCCAACGGGGACACGAGACACAGATTCTTTATGATTTTGATTCTTATTCAAATTTGGCTGGGTTGGAACCTTTGTTCTATCCGATCACAAAATTGGATATGTATTACCTGTTCATCTGGTTTCGCAAAAATACTAAATGCATCATGGATTTATTTTGCGTGCATGACTTTCTGAGCTACAGAAGGTAGCACAGGTAGTACTGGGAGTTTTATAACTACAGAGCTCCAAGTTAACAGTAACTGATAGTCAACAGATATTCCATTCGGAGTATTAGCACAGTAGGTATCATAAATTATTATCACTGAAATTCAGACCATTTTAGCTTTTGCTTTGACTTGTTCAACAAGTTTGCTCAGATCTTCTGTTTCAGGCATCCTGTCCGGGCCCGCAGTCTTGCCCCTTTTTTTCTTCTTTATTGGCTCTACAGCATCTCCGTCAGGCTCATCATGGGCCAGATGCCGTCGGCGTTTCCGGCCTTCTTCCAACAATGCCTTCATGCCATCAGTCTGTCTGAAACGAGGGTTGGTAGGATCAATAGCGTATTCGTGGCTCTCGTAAATACGCTGGAACCTTGGATCTTTAACGTCAACCTTGAAATCGTCAACTGGCATCGTGGCTTCGTCTTTCTTTCCTTTCCTATGCTTGCCTGCTTTCTTCGCGCGTTTTTGAGCTTTCTCGATTTCATTCATGTCGAAATGCTTTATTGTGGAGGTTTTGTCGTCCATCATCAAAAGTTCTAGCTCCGCACGTTGAGCGGCTGAAGCAGCTTCATCAGCTTCACGCTGCTGCCGTTGTTTCCGTTTCTCTTCCTTCCTCTTTGCAGCCACTTTGGCCGAATCTAACTCAGGGGCAGTGAAGAATGGGTCGTCAAACCCGAGATCTTCTTCCTCCTTGGATTCCGCTGTAGGCTTGTCAGCGTCAATCTCAGGTACGGTCCCCGACTTAGCAGCTTTTAGCTTGGCCTTTCGTCGCTGTTTTCTCTCCCTTTCTTTCCTGATGTATTTCTCTCTCGTAGTCTCTTCCTTTTCAGGCTCGTTTTCAAAGACAGAGTCTCGAGCTGGAGCCGCCGTTAACCCAGCAGCAAACGTGACTTCCATATCGCCAACAGGCCCCTTCTCCTTTGCCTTGCTTGGCGCATCATTACTCAGTCCGAGTAAGGCCCGGATTCTGGCCCGTTCGGCCTCCTTTTTACTTAGTTTCGTGGTGGCACCAGCGGCCTCGGTGCTATCGACTACTTCAACGTGTTCCTCCTCATCAGAGCTGTCGCTACCCAAATAAGCCTTCAAATCATTTTCATCAATTTCCTTTTTGCCTCCTTTAAACGCTCTCGCTTGTGCGTCTTTTCTCGCTTTGTCATCTGTGTCCCACGTAAGCTTTACTTTGCTGTGCTGTAGGGCGTCTGTTACAAATTCGTTGGGCTTGTAACCGTCTGGTATTCTGTTGCATTCATCCCTTGGAACATCTTCGGCAAAATCTGTGGATTCAGGCACAAATCTTAGGTCAAAAAAATTCGCGCTGCTCATATACTCTGTGCCGTCGACTGTGTCGTAAATATGCTTCGCAGCATCCTTCGACGAGCATGTTAAGACGGCGTAAAAGTACCGAAGTCTTTCCAGCTGATACTTCCGCAGTTGTGTAGAATCAAAATCTTGCCCTTCGTCTTCTTTCAAAATGGCCTGTTTGATTTTCTCTTCCTCCTCTTCATCGTCGCCTGCTTCCACATCGCTATCCACCTCGGCATCCCTTTTCGCGAATACCTCCTTCGGTGGGCCTTCCATCTCCTCTCTTTCCATCCTCTCTTTCCCAAATTCACTCGGATAAACGGCCACATTCAGAATCTTCCCGCCAGTGGGGAGGAAACTCGAGAACACTGCCATCAGATCCTCCGCACGAATATTATCCCAATCCAAATTCACCACCGCAATCCTGTCCGTGATCTCTCCCAATGGAATATCCCCTGTTTGGCTATCAAGTTGTCCCGACTCTGCCGCCTTGTCTTGCAACTCCGCCTCACTCTCCTCATCGCTCGAGCTCTCTTCTGAAGACGACGATTCCGAAAACCCTCCATCTCTGGCAGGGTCATAGTCCTCCTTTTCAACTCGAAGCAGCTCCTTCTGAACTTCCTCGTCATCATCCGCACTAATCTGTCCTTCGACGTCGTCCTTATCCAATCTGTAGAATTTTTCCAACTGCTTCTTCGTATCATCCCGGCGTAATTTCCTCCCATAACGATCAACTGCTGCATTTCTTGAAAAGTCTTTATCATGGAACATATGCGCGAAGCGCTTGTCGATTTTTACACGGGTATGTTTCTTGCTCGGAAGTCGATATCGAGGATCCGACTGGATATTGGCGAAACGAGGATCGGCTAAAATCAGCGGACCGTTGTTAGTAAATCCCTATAGAATATTAACCCGCAGGTATGTGGAACAACGTACTGATGACATCTTTATCCGCTTTATCGTTAGAACTCGTTTTGCGCCTCTTGGGCGACTTTTTCATTGCATTGGACTCCGGCATTCTGGGAGTCGCTTAGGGATTTAGTTCAAAATTATCAAACTTTGGAAATAATAATTTGATGTTCATAAAAGTATGTAACTATGTAAAAAACGCCCTTCGAGTGAACTGGATATTCGATCGAATGTTGGCATCTATGCCTGCGGTTTTCTTTCTCGAAGCCGCTCTGTACAAATTCTGCTGGACATACAGATGGTCCGTGCGCTTATCGCCGTGCTTTTCTCCACCCACCATCAGATAAGTCTAGGCGAGGAGGACAAGAAGGATAAGGACGGTAATGCACATTATGCGCGGTATGTATGTAACTACGGCAATGCGAAAAAAGAAATCATTCTCTAAAAGGTGAATATGGCTTCCTCTATTTAGTAAAACACAGTTGACCGTACGGAATGTCGAAACCAGTCTGCCAAATCGTGGGCGTGTCCACCTTGCTCTAAGTCTAGTTCCTCCTACTCGTCTCTCGCCACGCTCAACAAGTAACATAGGGACTCAAGACGACTGTCAGTCACTTTGGCGGAACCAGCCATAAAGCGGCACTATCGTGGTCCTTCTTATGAAATGAGAGCGGAACAGCCAAATACGGAGTCGTCCCAGCAAAAGACTGCCGTCTTAAAACGGTTACACGTTTTGAGCCAGAACAGGGTATTGGAAATCCGTTATCTAACCCAGATTTTGCAACAAAAAGCAAGACTTAACCATTTAATGGGACAGCCGACGTTGGTAATTCGGCCTCGTTTCAGGGTTGTGGCGCTGCGCGGCTCCGGTTATAATGCGATGGATATGTTTGACGACCATATCTAGAGCTATTAACTCCGTTATAGTAGCACAATGCGGGGACTCCTCATACCAATAGCTGTTTTGTTCTCTATTCCTCGGGGGACAATTATGTCTTGGTTGACATCAGTTAAGGCTCTAATCACGGCATCTGGCTCGTCTGGTACCTGAAATCTGCCTCTGGGGCTCCACAAACCGGTTGTACGACGGTTTAACAAACTTGAACCACTGTTTAAGTACGCTTTCAAGTGTCCGGCCCCTTTCTCGAACGTCTCGCGCAACTATTAAATTGCGTATCAATCAGTTACCATGTTCGACCATGTAGGTGACCTGGAAAGCCGGCTGGCTGCTCACTCCTTCTCCCAAGGCAGACATCCATATCCGCTTCCACAAAGATCTGGCGCGCAACCAAAGAAGGTCAGAATCTGCGATTAAAGCGTGGCAAAGGGCGCCACGTGCCTTAATATCCAACATATCCACTATTCTTGGGTCTGTAAAGGCTAGAATTCCTTCCAAAATAAGCACCCGGGGTGGGTAAAGGGAGACTGTTGCTTCCTCTCGCTGGTGCTTTGTGAAAGAGTAAATGGGGATTTCGACTTTGAGACTTTTGTCGCTGTCAGTAACAGCTCGACTTGGCTAGACGAGGAGCCGGTTATATCAATACCCTTGCTTCAAATTTTGAAGAGTCTGTACCAAGACGTCAAAATCGATGGCATCGGGAGAGTCGAAATCGTATTCATCCTGGTGGGCGATAGCGTTCTGCTCGGGGGTAAGGCTTTTGTAGAAGTGGTCCTTTTGCCGTCCTTTCTCGTCAGGGAATCTCATGGAGAAAGGGACGACGGTTTAGGGCAAGAGATCATCTACCATGACCAGTATGACCGCTCCGGGAAGATTCAGGGACTTGATGATTTCCGCAGCGACGGACGACTTTCCAGATCCTGAGCCCCCGGCAATGCCTATGATGCTCATGTCCTCCCATGGTCGAGAGCACCGCGATTTTGTCTCTGCCATCCTTGAATACAGTATCCAAGAAGAACTATCCGCCGGGTACCTACGAGATGTATGTGACTAAGGAGCACCATACATCCGTGAGTTTGGCACGGCCGGAATAGTCCAAGATGATAAGTTCGCTAGGCCAGCTTCATAGTTACCGTGTGCTTGAGGGGAAAGGACGGAATTATATATACGATATGCTCAGACGAGCATCGATACTTCTCAAACATGCGGAGTAGAGTGAACGACCAGAGCTTGCGGGACAGCAAACCAGCCACCCGGTTTAGGCGGGCCTGGGCAGCGGTCATGTGAGTGTGCCCCGGATCACATGATGTGACCAAGCCCCAGGCAAACGGCGCTAGCCGAAAGCGTGAATTTCAACTTCCACCCGACTTCTCTTCCTCCTCTCTTTCTCCTCTTTTTTCTCTTCAACAAATCCTGCTTCTTGTCCTTATGGCATCCCACCCACCGCTGCCAACAGGATATATCTTACAACACGGCCTTTCTTTTCATTCCCCTTAGACTTTTAAGAATGGCTTCTACTAACATTGTACGTGTCCGCGCCTGCGTGCCGGCCAATGACTCTTACAGGTTGCTAATCGGTCATCCCGCAGATGTCTCCAACACCTTCCACCACCACGCCTACCTGGCACCGGTTCGAAAGGAAGGTGGAGGAGGTGAAGTCATCCAAAAGGTGAGTGTGCTTCCCTCCTAATCCATTCTTTTCTTGCCACACATGATGTATGCAATTCAATCAAATGGGAATCTCTCTGAACAAATCATTGAGGAGAACCTTTAATATCTCGTATTTTCTGAACTCTATTCTCAAGTTTATGGCTTTCACTTGGTTTGTTTTGAACGACCTTTACTGATGGTTCGTGGCAGTGATATCAATTTCCTGATTATGGACTATCTCGTTACAAATGGATATCCCTTAGCGGCAAAGAAATTTGCGGTCGAGGCCAATATCCAACCTCAAGCAGACATAGAATCTATGCAGGAGCGAGTAGATATTCGGAATGCTATCTATTCCGGGGACATACAGTCGGCAATCGAGAAGATCAATGAACTTAACCCTCAGGTATGTCACATTCGCTTACATTTGCCCATCCTTTATTGCAATGATTAAATCAGTTTCATGCACCACTCATATACCTTCATGGTGTTGATGAAAAAAACTCATCTTCAGTCCTCAGTATGACTTGCACTACTTTTGATCAACGTGATTTTGAATTCTTCGATTCCCGTATGCCTGTATTAACCCTTCGGTTAGATTTTAGACTGTAATTCTTCGCTTCACTTCGCACTCCTTCAGTTGCAACTGATCGAGCTGATACGGACTTGTACATCGACTCCTAATGGTGACATCTCCCTCGCACTTGACTTCGCAACATCGCAACTAGCCCCGCGGGCCCCGACCAATCCTCAATTTCTTGAGGACCTAGAGAAGACATTGTCCCTACTAATTTTCCCAGCTGAAAGCCTCTCTCCATCATTGGCTGCATTGCTGGATCCAGAGCTACGAAAAACAATTGCAAATCGTGTTAATGAGGCTATCTTGCACAATCAAGGTGCCAAACGTGAAGCTAGGCTTCGAAACTTGGTGAAGCTACGAGCCTGGGCAGAACAAAAGGCCCGCCAAATGAAAAAGGATGTTCCCGATAAACTTGATATCGGACTCGACGGAGATACCCGGAAAGCCAATAATGCTTCAGATGCTTCTCAGCATAATGGAGATGATGTCGTCATGCAAGAACAGGCGGATGTGGATCCTATGATTTCATGATTGAACATATGATACCCCATTCATTCGCATTGTAAAGGGTGCATTGCACTGTTGTTGATCTTTTTAATGATCATTAGGGTACTTGGTTGTCTTATTAGCGAGGTGTTTGGGAGCTTGCCTTTTCCCGGTACCGGATGGGGAGCATTGGCTTAACCTGAGTTGGGATGTCTTCAAATTGCCTTGAGCTCTGGATTTGCTGACTCACACTTATTTATATTACTGAATTATGTAGCTACTTCAATCTGAATTTTGACCTAAAATATATTATTGAAGTCACATTGTGTAGAAACCTCAGGTCTGAGACTGGAAAAGAGCGAAACAGTCAAAAGTAGGCAACAAACAAAAGAATTCAAATCAGGGTATATCTAGAAATTCATCATATCTCTTCCAAACATCGCCCTCTTTGCCCAATCCATTGACAACATCACTCTCGTCCTCAAACTCACGCTTTGAGCAAAATAAATACTGCGCCATAAATACACCGCCAGCAGTCCACCTCCCCAACTCAACCCGTTAATATCAAACACAGCCGCATTGCCGATGTACGCCAGACTCCCAAGATGCTTGTATTCAAAAGCCCGGTACACGGATTCATCCAGGGCCGCATAATCAGTCTCATTGGCCTTGAGGTCTGGTGAAACAGAAGCCATCTTATTGAATTTTCGACCCAGGTACTGACCCTGCTGATTTGCTCGCTGGGCTGTAGCGGGAAGAGAAGTGAGCTTCGTGTCTATTTGTGAGAGGAGTTCGTGAAGTTCGTCGAAGTCGAGGGTGCCACTTCGGTCCTTGTCGTACTGCTCGAATAATCGGTCCAGTCTTCTGAGGTGATTGGAAGCCTGTGGGAACCGCTTCTTCACACGTGAAGCTACATCACGCCATTCTTTGAAGGTAAGGTGGACTTTCTCCGGGTCCCTGCCTTTCTCCCAGGCAACGGTGCGCAAGAAGCTTACTAGGTGATCTGCTACTTTGTTCTGGACGGTTGAGCAGTCTCCGATGGCATACACATCACCTGCAGGAGCACCAAGGAGTCGGAGGTGAGTGTCAGTTTCGAGAGCGTGACGGTTATTCTGGCCTTTGAGCTTCTTGGAAATCTTCTGACAAAATTCGGTTTGGGCTTGAAAGGAAGATCAGCGAAAAAGGCTAGATAAAGCATGAAGAAGAGACTCTTACAAACTCCGGTTGACCATAAACAGAATCCCATGGGGATCTCTTTTGTGACTGGTTTGCCGTTTTCAATTTGGGTAAAAAGGATCCTATCGGGCCGCACCTCTTTCACTCTTGAATTTGTCAGAACCTCCACTTGGTCATGGGCAAATCGTCGCTGACGTTGGTGTTAGTCGAATTTTTTCACAGAAACGGCACCTAGACAAGTCACATTCTCATACCTCTGCATAGAGTGAAACAGTTTCATCATAGGTGTTTAGGATATGGCTCCTGCTCTGGATTAGATGCACGGAGATCTCGTTTCTCAATATTTTGGGAAACGACCGGAACAAATCTTCGTTCAGCATATCAAACAACTCTGCGGCAAATTCAACACCGGTTGGACCGCCGCCGCAAATCACAAAAGACAGAAGTCGTTTCCTTTCCGCATCACTGGTAGTCGGCAAGCAGGCCAATTCCAGATTGTGAAGAATCTTGTTTTTTATTTGCCGCGCATCGTCTATCGATTTCAAAAAGTTGCAATGTTCAAGTCCTTTCACTCCGTGCGGATTTGTAGTGGAACCTTGATGAAAGCATCAGACCACGGAGAAAAAGAGAGAGAGAGAGAGAGAGAGAGAGAGAGAGAAAATCGGGCTCTTACCAACTCCTATAACCAGTTTGTCATAGGGAAGATAGAAATTTTGCCTTACGCCATGGCAGTCCACTTGCGACACTTCCACAAGCTTCTCCCCAAAATCCAAGTCAACTGCTTCTGCCCGCAGAAAATGACCTCGAACACGCTGTACAATTAAACGAATAGGTTCAACCAAAGATCGAAGCCCCAGTGTACCGACAGTAGCCGATGGCAACATCGGAGTGAAAAGAAAGTAGTTAGTCGGAGATACCACCGTGACATGGTAATCTCCAGGATTCAACGACTTCAATAGAGCAACACTGCCCCACCCAGTCCCCAAAATAACAAGCTTGGGTTTATCCTTTTGAGCTTCTTTATCATCTGAATCACTGTCATCAATCAAAACATCCGCAATAGGAAGACTCTTCGGCCCGCCTCGTCTCGGGTTCAATGCCATTTCCGAAACCGGAATATCCTCAACGACTGGTTCGTTGGCGTACGTAGAGGCATCATAGATGAAAAATGCAACAACAAGACCGGCGCTGAATAGCGCGAACATGCCACTAAATGCGAAAACACTGAATATAATTTTCCTAGCTCTACCACGCGGCTTTATATCTCCTTTTGTCGACGAAGGTCCGGTTGACGCATGGTGTGCTGGCGCGAAAGGGGTAAGGCTTGCTGGGGAACATCGCACCCCGCGGGGCCGCGGAACAAGATTAGATGGACGGGGAATATATAACGAAAGATTTGAAGTACCCATCAAAGGATTGGACAGTGGTGACACGCCACTGACTCGAGTAGAATGACAAGCTCTTGTCACGCTTGTTATTTGAGGTCGGCCAAGTCGGCCTCTCAGCGGCGGAGCGAGCATGATACTCGAGCAGGAAACATGGACTGACAAAAGAGGGAGAGCAAGACAAGACGAAAAGATTGACTTCTTCAGCTAACCCATTGACCTGATGAGATGAAGAGAGCTGGAGCTCCCTGCCGAGCGACTCCGTGAGGTCATTCCCAACCTCTCGACCACCTCGTTGCCGTAAATGCCCGACGATGTCATAGTGGAGCAAGATGTCACGTGGATTCAGGGGTTGTGGCTGGCCCCGTTGGTGGCGTCCCAGCACAAGCTCTGCCAAGTCACATCGACGATCGGCTTGGCATCTCTCGGCAGATCCGCGGTCACTTCAGGGGAAGCGTGTCACCGGGTTGTTGGACAGAGCAATACGTTGCCCAAAGGTATAGAAGTATGATACAGATTTATATTGTTGCCACATAAATATGCTTGCTATAAAATATGCCAAAAGGTTGCCCCAAAACACATACGAGAGCATAACAGCCATTTCAAATGTTTCATGTCAAGGATCGAAAGCCCATCCGTCCTCATAAAGCAGACTGCCATATCCTCACGCCATCAGGCCATCCATATTCTCAAGAAATATAATTAATTGTCCCAATCTCCATATTGCCGGTTTATGTTCAACGCCATGTATGCTTCGTTACTAGTCAAAGTCACCATCTTGTTCTGAATCAGTGCTGCCTCTCTTTTTCGTGTTTTTGGGTCGACCCTTTTGTCTCGGCCGCTTCGGCGCATTGCCGCTTGAAACTGAACTTCTGCGCTTGCTTGGTCTGGAACCATTGGTAGCACCCAACATTGCGCTCATGTCGCCAAAGTCTGCTGCAGAGTCATTGCCATCCCGGTCATCATCAGCGGCAACTCTCAATTCGTCGTCAATTGACATCAAAGTCGCAAACTCTCGACAGACCCTTGTCATTCCCTCGGTATTTTCCAGAGAAGCCATCGTCTTCGATATCGCATCCCACAATCGATCACCCCCGATGCCTTGCACTTTCGTTAGGCTCTTATTTAGATCTTTTGCACTTGCTTTACTTTCTTTCGGCATTGAATGGAAGCCAACGCCATAAAGACGGCGAAGGTATGTCCGAGTCTCCCAGAGCATCGATAAGGTTGCTGCTGCGGTGGCTAGCTGCTTCAATGAGTTGGGGTCCACAGGATGTGGTGCTTGATCTGGCGCAGCCCCGTCTACTTGCATTTGTTCGTTTGGGCAATCAATTTTCACGGGAAATATATCTGTTTCGATAGCATGAGCCACAGTGGTGCCAGTTGACGCAACGATGCGTTCCATGCATGCAACAGTGGCAAGGAGCTCTCCTATCTGTGCGTAATCGAAGTAGGCCAGATTTTGGCATACAAACCTTGCTAGCAACATATGTTCCGGTGGACTCCCGGCTACGTCAAGTGCGCGGGGCTGAAAATCAACCTTCGAACAGAGATTCGTCAAAAACTTCTTTTGATATTTGCTGTTACTTATCTTAATGATCTCGAATAGGGCTGCCAGTTTAGCTGTGAATGGGCGGGTCAAAGCTCCGGTCGGGTCGCCGACCACATCTCGCTGGTAGTAGAAAGCATCTTGAACGGCCCGCATATACTCTCGGTCGAACATTGACTCATGTTGCTGGTGAAGCATCTTATGCGTTTCAAAAGCGACGTTGGCAATGCTGGCATTGGTGGAGGTCTCTAAAGCAACAAGAACCCCAGCACACTCCTTCGGATGGATGAGACCCTGTCGATTTATACTAGCGATCAATTCGATTGCAGTTAAGGCATGGGAATCTTCTTTTGATAGAGCCGCATGAAGCATTTGCTGTAAGAAGTGTTGAGCAATCAATGCTGCTGCGCCGTCGTTTTCGCTAGCCTTCAAAGAACCGCCAAGACGCGTAGAACCCTCGCTCTCACCGTTGGTATCTTTAGTTTGGATCAACTTCTCCGATTTTCCCTCGTGAATAGAGAAAAATGCCAAAAACCCTTTCAGGACAATGTTTTGCAAATCTGGGCTGTCTTCTTCGAACACAGAGGTGAATGCAATCTTCGCTGGTTCCCGGCTATACTGGGCCGGCCATGTTTCACAAATGGCTCCCAAACTTTCGAGCGCCATGACCCTTAATTCGCGAGGATATTTAGACGACGCGAACGGCGATATAAAGTCGACCATTAAACCAGACACAGACGTTGCCTTCATGTGAGGAAACGACTGTGAGAAAAAGGCCAGGAATGACTCCAAATCACAATGTTTTCCGACACAGCCGGCAATCCGTATATAGCTCCTGACTCGTCCGAGTACATCGGCGCTGGTAGAGGGATCTACTTTGGCACTTACGGCTTGGTTGATACCCTTTAGAACAGAAATCGTAAGTTTCACCAAGCGCTCAGTGTTTTGTAGAACACCGTTGATCGTCCAAAGACATGCCATTACTTCATTAAGCTCTGTCCTCGCCAACTTCGACACGCTCTTGAAAAGGTCATTCTGGATGTCTTTAAGTAAAGTGTTATGAGACGTCGATAAATATGGTAAGACGCATCGGTAAATGACAACGACAGATCGGAATAACATGAGATCGTCAGCATTTGAGAGATGGCCAATATAGGGGTGAAGAGTTTCGAGCTGATCAGAGGTGAACAGCTTGGCATTCGCCCTCGCGAAGACAGTAATGGATTGTAGCAGTGACTGTAGCGTTCGTTTGTCTGTCTTGTCCGAATCGTGTATGATACGATCGAACATGGCAGCAACCACAGCCTTGCAGACATTAAAATTCAACGAGGCGGATTTTGCTTCAGCGGAAAGTTCATCCTTCACAAAAGCTTCGAACGTTGCTATGACACCCTCGTTCCTTCGCACCGACCCAACAATAAGATTCATCAGGTTTTTCAACGAAACTTTCGATTGTGGAGTGCCTTGGGTTGATTCGGTGAAAGACGAATGCAATGGCGAAAACCAAATCTCCTCTAGAGCTTGACGCGCTTGAACAGCCACGCTGCTTTCGTAATCGGTTACTCTTAGCAGTAACTGCTCGATAATGGTGAGCTTTAATTCTCGATTAGACGTCTGGATATAGACATCTTTCATCAACCCAATAGCACGCTTTCTAACGCCAACAGTTGGGTCAGATGAACAAGCTAAAATTGCACGGCAACAATTCTCCTCAAGGCCTGGTTTCAGGAACATGCATTTCGCAATTAGACTTAGAGCGGAGTCGCGAACCATAGGCGATGAGTCGGTTGCACATCTGAGAATCAAAGATATCACCGATCCGTCCCGGTCAAGCAGGCTAGGATCTCGTTCAAGCATGTGGATGACGCTCTTTAAACTTCTACTTCTCACTTTAGCCTGATCGCTCGTTATTGAATTGAGAAGCACTTTGACAATTGTGTCGAATCCTTTGCAGAAACCACTACTCAGGACTATGATAAGATAGGCAAACCGAGCTTGCTGAGTCGAGATACGGTCAAACGCGCTAACACAGGGCAAGTCAGAAAGTGAAATATGTCTCGCAAGGGCCCTTACATACCTATTAGATTCGAGCCATTTTGGGTTGGAAAGTATATGACTCAAGGCTTTGGCTAGTTTACCAGCCCCTTGCGGATTTTTCTTTGAATCCCCCTGAGCTGAATCCTCATACCCGCTGCAAACCAGTTTTGCCCACTGCGCTAGGAGGTAACCTCGGGCATTAGAAAGTTGCCAGCCACCAAGGTCCCCCTCCTCCAGATATTCAAGAGTCATTCGATAAGGCCCATGTAAAGATACTATGTCCTGGATGTGGAGAGCGCGATTCGAATAATCATGGAACAAATTGCGGAGATGATCTGTTAGGTCAGTGTGTCCATCTTCAAGGGTGTTGCTCAAGTGCTGTGCTGTGGAGGTCAGGTCAGAGATGGCAGAACCCATCCATCCAAGTAATTCAAGGGACATATTTTTTGCATTCGCTGAACTTTTGTCGTGGTCCGCGATAGTAATCATCTGCGATGCGAGAACCCTTAGGATTAACTCCGCGCCAGGCCAGTCAGTGGAGCCTAGCACACTTATCAGGTCTTCGGTGAAAATATCTAAGAGATTTCGATAAGGCTGATCTCCCGACTTCGTGGATGTCATCGCCCGCTGAACGATGAATTTCGTCACGTATTGTGCACTATGGATAGCGTTGTCATACAGTAGCTCAACCTGTTTAGAGAGCTGTTTTATTGGTGATGTCTTCCTCTCACTCCCATTATTAGAGTCCTCTTCATCCTCCTCATCTGATTCATCGAGTGAGTTTGTTGCCTTTTGCAAAGAGTCTTTCGCCACTGTTAACCGCGACGGAGTTTGTTGAAGGGCAGTCGTCTGGACAAGCTGGATCACCAATGCAGAAAGGAGCTGGATACTTTTTCCATCAATGAGTTTGAATTGCCTCGCGCTTTGCCTGTTTGACGGCAGTTTTTCTAGGGACACCAAAATCTCATCGAGAATAAAAGGACGTTGCTCGGGATACTTTGCAAAGATTTTTGCGAGTACATCCATAGCAGCACGCCTTGAAGCCTCGTACTTCTGAACTCCTATGGCGGACTCTTTATCGTTGGGGGCATTTTCCACGAATATGAGCCTTGCGGCAAGAAATTCTATCGCAGTAATCGGCCCTTCTGCGAGGTCGACATTTGAAAGAAACACGGCAAGTCGCGATAATACTCTCTTCGTTTGGTGTATTACGTTCGATATGACTTGCTTCTGTGCAGAAAAGACATGGAAATGCGTGGAATCCTTGCCACTGGATCTGCATTCAACAACAGGAATGATACAATGATCAAAAACCTGGCCCAGCGCTGTCGGAATAGCGTGAATTAAGTCTTCAGGGCACAGATCCTTCGTACTTTGATTCCCTGGCATCGTCTGAAGTAGCGTTATTATTGCTAGCAGTGCGTTCTGCACATCTTCCAACTGTGTAATCCACCTTTCTATATCAGTATCTGATGGTGGACTTTCTAACTTGAAATCTGCAGACTGAACTGCCATAATAGGCGCTTCGCAAAGCCTTTGAATGTGTTTTATGTATTCAGTCGGAATATCGCCGAGACGACGATAATCTGACACCTTTTGAAGCGCTTTTGAGACTACTTCGTGAGTTTCGGATGACAGTATTGGACCAATATCCCCAATGGTATTTGGGAATTTAAAGAACTTGCCGCCCGCCTGGGCGTCTAGAGGTGCATCTGGAAGCAGCTGCTCTTCTGCCTCGAATATTTCATGCAGGAGACTTTGGAGTTTAACCAAGGCGGTATCTGATAGTTCCTTTTGGTCTCTGAGGGGCAAAGGGTCCTGTTTCTCCTCATTATTAGAGTCCAGTTTCCTGCGCTTAGCCGATCCCTCACCCGAGACATATTTAAAGTCCTCTATGTTAGACGATGGAGCTAAACCAGGGATTATAACCATGGGTTTCATCAGTTTCTCCAACTGCTGGCGCATTTGGTCTTCTTTATTGGCAGAATATGGCGGTTTCGACGACGAGAGAGGAGTGGGAAGCGTGTTTGAGGATTGGTGATGTTTTTCGGGGTTTGTAGTAGTCGGAGTTGAATCTATAAAATTCAAAGATGAGAAATATGCCTTCAAAGTGCAAAAAAATTGTGATAACTCACAGTGAAAAGTTGCATCCGTGGAATCTAATATCAACTTTGCAAAGGGACCTAATTGACTGCGGCTCAAAGATTCACCATTCTTCTGAGGAGAAGAGTCGGAACGAAGGGAGGGAGGAACCTTGAAGTTGCTAGACCAATTGTTAACAGAATAATTAACAAAGTGACAAGATGTTCGACGCACAAATCTGTTAGGTTGTCCTGCCTCAAGAGCTGTTGTAGGTACTCGCGAGCAGTTTCAAGACGAGTCGACTCTCCCAATCCAGAGCTGGCTTGTGTCTCGTTGTCGAGACTATCAGTGATCCTTCCAGCGACCTGACTATCGTAAGGGCGGGGCCATCCTGAAAGAGAAGGTTGGCCAACATCCGGGCGCATTATTGAGTCTGAGTAAGTAAGTAAAAGCTTCGCCAGCGCAGGAAAAAGAGCATCCACGAGATTCTCATACCAAGTCCAAACACCGGGGCGCTGGTCATAGGAGAGTATTGTAATGCTTCATCCACAGAGAGCGGGCGGGGAAGCCGCTGGGATGCACGAGAGCTTGTGCCATTGCCCTGGATGACCACTGCCAGCCCCGGCTGGCGATGTTGCTGCATGACGGCAGAATTCACAGGCGCCGTGTACTATCAAGGAGTGAAAAAGGAAAGGCGGACAATATTATCGTAGGCATGACTCTCTGGATATCAAAGAGATGCATGCTGCTTTCATAATTGTGGCTTGATGGTTGCCAGCTTCATGGTTGGGCGGTTATTTCATGTCAAGTATGGATGTCTCGCAGGTAGCTCGGCCAGGCACGCTCACTAGTCTGATGGTTTTACGTGATCTACCGTGACACCTTTTTTTTGCCGCATTTTGGCGCAGTCGATCCACCCCATTGATTCACCGCCTAGTTTTGCATGAACTACAGTTTTTTTGAAGGTTAGATAGGAGTCTTTCTGCTCTGACATTCTCACCACTAACCATTTCTTTTTATCAATATGTCTGCAATTGGGTCATTGATTTTCTGTGTTGATTGTGGCAATCTCCTCAATGAATCCACTGGAGATGAAAATACAATTCTTGTTTGCGACATATGTGGAACGAAAAATCGAGGTATGGCCTCACTTTCCTCTCACTTGTGCCTTTGAATAGCTGGTATGATCCCGACTTTGTTCAATCACCAACTGATCTCTTGGATATTCATTAGACATTGCCCCCAAAACTATCATTTCAGAATCTAAACCAGAGGCATTCCCTTCTGCACTTAGATCCAAAAGATCTGCCGTCCGAACATTGACTGCGGAAGACAAGAAAAAAGATGCTGTCATCGCACATACCTGTGACCAGTGTGGGCGTCCAGAAATGACATTTTACACATTGCAACTTCGTAGTGCTGATGAGGGAACTACTGTCTTTTACTCATGCGAGTGCGGGTATAAGTAAGTTTCATTTGGCATGCTTATCCTATATTCACAAAAGAAATCCTTCAAGGTGCTAACAATTATTTCCATTACAGATTCAGTACAAACAATTGAAATCCCAGCTCTATATATCCAATGTCAGGCGATACTAGGTAATAGGATTGGAACGACAGCCTAGCAGTGCAAACTTTGACTGATCTATGCCGCAACCGGTTGCTCCAAGATGTACTCTTGCTCTCCACTTTTCTCATATTCCGCCATATCGAGCGCAACAATAATACTGTCCCTCACCACTGTCTCCGGATCATTGACGAAGCGCTTTAACGTTTCTTCCACTCCATCCTCAGCACCCAGACTCCCAAGCGCCTCAGCAGCCTCATGGCGGACCATGCCGACTTCATTCTTATCGCTCAACGTAGCGACAAGACTGGGGATACTGGCGGGGTGAGAAAGTTGGCCGAACACAAACGCGATTTCGTGTCTGAAGAGCGCGGAACGATCCTTGAAACCTTCGGCCAGTGCTTCGATCGCCGGAACTGCTGTGGGCAGATCGGGGGGGGAGCACATGTCCCGCAAGGCAAACATAGCCCGATATCTTTTAAAAAGTGGGACACTTGCGTCGAGGAGAATCTGTTTAAGTTCGGGAATGGATTGTTCGGCAGAGGAAAGTGGAAGAGGAGGTGCAGGGTCGATGGATGTAAAATCACTGGAGTGGAGTTAGAAGATGAAATTAAATTCTTCAAGGTCCCATTTACCTTTGCTTTAATTTTTCGGATTTACTGTCTTTGGACGTTTCCCATAGTATTCTATCGACTGCGATATCACACGTTTCTCGGACTACTTCCTCCTCCGATTCATCATCTCTGAGGCGCTGGAGAATATCCAAACTCCCAGCATCCCCTAGCGCGCCCAGAGCTTCTGCTGCTTCATGCCGGCACATTGCATCTTCCTGTGTATCCTCTAGTACCTTGCGGAGATGTGGGACGGTGTCCAGGTTTCTAGTTTGTCCAAGGCAGTATGCAAGCTCATGCTTGAGCAACGCCGATGGCGAGGAAAACGCAGCAGCGATTGCTTCGATAGCTGGAAGAGTCTCCTCAGTGGGAGGTTTCGATGAAGCGAGATGTTTCAGTGAAAATAGGGCGCGGAAGCGTTGTGCTAGTGGGGATGACTCGGAAGTGAGCACTTTTCGCAAATATTGAACAGAATCTTTAGAGTTGCCATTATTATCGGCATTGTCAGCAATAATTGATGCCATATTTGATCCGAGTGAAAGAAAAGTAATGAATGTCTCGGTGTGTTGGAAAAAGATTGCGCCCCGGAGTTCGCAGGATCAAGAGGGGCATTTTTTGGCGATAAAAAAAGAGGAGCGGATCTGATAAGACACGATGACTTTTAGTTATGTCTTGGCATTTGGTGTGGGAGTGGCGGAACGGCGGAGCACGCTGATCCGCTGGGCAAAAGTAACATTGGATAAGTTAGTCGAAGGAAAAGAATATATTCTTTACGAATAGAATGAATATACTGATTGAGGTAGGAACTTGACATAAAATATTTGCCTCAGCATCACGAGGATACCCCGTTTTGAGAATCTGAAGGGACACAAACGAGGAGTGTTAGATTTGTAGATAAAAAAGCGAGATAAGCCAGAGTAATGCCACTGTAGAGGGCGATAACGGCGATTCAGGGGGAAAACGTGTGGAAACGGTAAAATTGTACATAGACATGGCGCGCAATTGCTATCTAACATCTTATTTGGTTCTGATTTGCTTGAGCTTCTTAGGCACATGCAAAAAGTTATTCGCATATGCCTTAGGGTGGAAAGCTCGCTCATTCGGTTCTTGGACATAATATTCATACCCTTGTTTTTCGGCGAAACGAATTGCGTCTTCCTTCGATTTGAAGTTGATGTGGGTTCCCTGCATCGCGTCTGCAGATGATTGCCACCCCATCAATGGATTCTCCCACCGATGACCCTTTGACAGGACATCCCAGTCCATTCTCCAGTGATGATCATGCCAGGTGCCAGATTGCGTAGCGGGTTTGGCGGGCCGATAGATCCTACTTTGTGTTAGAACGTGCGCAGAAGGGAAGGTAAGAGTTTCCATACCTAACAGTTCGAGCCTGAAGGTCCGTAGGAGCACCCGATAGCACAGCAGCGGCAACAATATCACCGGGCTCACTGCCATCCATCACACGTTTGGGAACGGGGGAAAATAAACTAATTTGTCGGCTTAGCTGTCAGAGGTAGAGCTCAGTCTTGGGGGGTTTCTTACGAGGTAGCTTGGTCAACGGTTGCGTTATAATCAGGTTGGTGACGGGCCATAGCTTCTGAAGGAGACTCCCTCCGGATCATGGAGCCACCTCTGGACACGTCCGTCGGGGCGTCCTCAGGACTGGTCTTGGGGGCCTTCTCATCAAGCTGGCGAGGTGCGGAAGAACTGACAAAGCGGGCATTGACCGGATATGCCAGCCTCGCAGCCCGCGCGCAGCCCGCATTGATATTTATTCTCCCTGGCCGTAACAAGGACATTTTTGACAATTGTGTCAATGCGAAGAACAAGAGAAGAGTATTCAAGCAGATGGCACATCCGATTGTGATGTTCCGGAACGACTGGAGATGACGATCCAAATGCAGTTAGCGCGAAAATGCCTCCACGCATCTTTGTTCCGATAAACGCCCAGTTCAACACTGAATGCCAGTCGACCGACCTCTGAAGAAGACATCATTCTGGTTCAATTGTCGCAGCGTTGCCAGGTATGCCACATCCCAGTTTGACACAATCTTTGTCCGATGTTAACAGCTTGAAATTTTGTTAGGTTTTTCACCATGAGTTACATCGTTCGCCGAGGGATTTCCACCCTCATCCCCCCCAAGGTAAAGAGAGCCACTCATTTCAAGCCGAAAACCCAGGATTGCTAATTGTCAAGTAGATTGCATCTCCCTCCGTACGTCCCCGCACTCAGTTCCCTTTGCCGACCGTCGTGTAACTTAATACTGGCGTGGAGGCCGCACCATCTTGCCTTTTCTCACTAACGTTCATCGAAGGCAATCGGTGCTGCAAAAGATGCCGCCCGTATGGAGCGTGTAGGCAATTTCTACGCAAAACTTCCTCGAGGACCGGCTCCTGCAGTGAAACCGTCTGGTTTCTTTGAGCGCTACCAGGCTAAGCATTTTGGCAAGAAGCCCACCGCAAAACGTACGTTAAACGTCTCTGGCCATAACCTGAGTGCTATCTTTCCCGTCCCAGATATGAATATGAGGCTAACTAATCATTCCAATAGCCCTTATACACATCATTGTGGGAATGACACTTTTGGGCTACAGCATTCAATACATTACACATCTTCGTATGTTCTCCCTTCTTCTACCGGTCGCTAGCATTCTTGCTAAGCAGTTTTCTAGGTCACCACAAAAACAATGCCCACTAAGCTTGGCACGCCGAGCATTCTAGATGAATGGTGGAAATGTGTACATATATTATAGAAATGAATCAGTTTTGAGGTGTCATTGCGCAGTAACAAGTTCATACCAGGACCGGAAGTCTAGGCTCTGGTGTAGTCAGACCTGACTTATGATCTCCAAAATGAAACCAAGAGAAAGGAAAAAACTAAAATAAAAGATAAGAAAGTAAAATTCAGTTAGTTGCTCACTGTCAGGGAACATCCGTTAACTCAGAATTCAACTTGATTGTTTGGGCTGAGCAAGCGCCTGTGACTGGCTACAATATCAGGTGAGCCTGGCAACAAGTGGTGATGGATTTGCCGCTAGCCGAATCGAGACATGATAGCTTGGCCACACGTCTGCTCCTTCAACCAACCTTAACTCTCTCATCTTTCTCTTCTCTGCGACTCTCTTTAACACACCGGACAGACTTACCGGGCTGTTGAGAACAGTTTTACCTCAATTATATACTTTGGCAGCTCCTTTATTGCTGACCTTAGTTGTCTGGCCACTCTAACTTCCAGCTCCTGCACTCGCAACGGCCTCAGTTTAAGGCCGATTGGACTCATCTAGGTGCTCCATCGTGGCGGGATTCAGTTGCTAATCAGAAGTACGTCCCAGTCTCACATGTTATCGTGCTCCCGATCGTAATCTTGAGTCTTTCTTCGAATCTACATGTTCGATAGTTTGGGCACAACCTTCTCCGACTAACCAGCCCATCTTTCTAGCCATAGAACATTGTTATGGCAGAGCAGAGTAGCCACGATGTGGTAAACCAAACCCGGTCGGGCGGCGACCTATCGCCTTCCGACGTTCCTGCGAGCAAACCCGACAAATTCACGACCGGAGGGGATGGGGTGGATGTTCAAACTCTTGATAGCAAGCATCAGAGACGGCAAGATATAACTACGGCATCGCAGGACAAGCCGGATGGGAAAAGTATGCAGAGTACTCACCACCCCGACGAGCGCATTCCACCGGCATATGATACTGTGAGTCCTTTCGAACTCTTGTGTGGATAATCGCGATGATGTCACTGACTACGGCCCCAGAACACGCTCTCGATAGGCATAACCACACAAGATGACTTAGCGACAAGTACGAAAAAATTAGAAGCGAATGGCATCGAGTCTCCCATAGGGGATTACGGGACATCTCTCAATCACCTTGGGGATGGAAGCGGAGGTTCCGATACAGACGCCAGTCGAAGTGACATACGATCATCATCGAAAGATAGTACCCAACACTCCCGTACAAGCTCTGTTAAACGACCCGCATCTTTCAAGCCGGTATCCTTTGCAAAATTCTCTATATCGAAATCACCAAATATGGCCGCGGCATCTAAATATACTGCTGAGCAAGGTAAGCCCTTCCTGGCCCTTCTAGCTGCTTCCGAAATTCGAAGCTATCTGGCTAAAACATCCGCAGCTCCCTTTTCCGCCTCAAATACTTCGTCTGCGCCTGCCCAGCAGACATCAAGACCCCGTCTAGTTGCCAAGTCAACAAGTAGCATGCGCGACTCAACGCCGCGGGCTCTAGCTGGCAGTGGGAGGAGTGGATCTGGCGCACCCGATCCCAACCAGGTGTGGAATAAAAACCGACGTAAGATGTCAAACACCTTTGTTATACTGCAATAATGGGATTAATTAGAGACAATCTAGCCGTCCAGCCGCCCCCTACGAAGCACCTTACGGACGAAGAGCTAAAGCAGCAGTATGGCATTCATATGACTTCCCGCATTCAGGCCGATGGCGATGGCAAGGAAGCCAAGTGGGCCGATATTGATGATGACGAGGACGACTGGGCTCCAGAAACGATAGAATGGAATGATGGCACTAAGATTAATTTGACCCAAACCGAAACCAACCCTACCCCAACTCAGACGAAAGGCGAAACCCAAGACACAACCCAACAGACAACACTATCAGACAAGAAACTCATAGGACGTGGGGATGTCAAAGTTCTAGCTTCGAAACCACCTAACTCTCTTGGTCCGAATGCGACGATACTTAAACTTGGAGCGAACGCAGACAAGCAACAAGCCAGATCGGGCAGCGATTCAACCAAGGGAACCAATGACAAAGATAGCGCTATCCCCAAAGGTCTAGTGCCTCCGGCTAAGTCTCCTTGGGCTCCCTTGCCTCCCATTGACAAAGTTCCCGTTACCGTCAACCCCCCCACCCAACCACACCGGCATTCCCGTTTCTTCCATGGCGAACGCAGTGGTGTAGAGCCCACATCACCTCTGCCGGTCGCAGCTAAGGAGATTGCAGCCGATGATTTCAACCGGTCTTGGAGAGATACCCAATCAGCCGCGCCTCGGGAACTCTATAACTCTCAGTCTGGACGATATGAACCTGTATCAGAAATGCGCCGAGGGCAGTACAGGAACGAAGCTCACTTCCGTCCCTCATCTTTGCTTCAGAGGCCAAATCATAATGAGCAGTCTGGACCCGCAGAGCCTTCACCTGCTTTCCAGACAAACCGATCTAGTACCTCGCAAGAGAATACTTCGTGGAGTCGCCGTCGTGCATCATCTAACGTTAGCGGAGGAAGTGGAGTTATGGGCCGACGATTGTCCATGAGCAAGCCAGACCTCAGTCATAAACCCCACGATCTTCCTCAACCACGCCGAGGGTCACAACAAAATGAGCGATCTACATCTCCTCGGAGGCAATATCAGAAGGGTTCGTATATTGCAAGGGGGGCTTCTCCGTCGCGTCCACCAGTCCAGGGTATGCCAAATCATGCTTCCTCATCTCATTATACTCCGCCGGCCTCTCACGGTGGCATTGTCCATCCACTTGCGACAGATTCTCCCCTTTCGCAGATGCCTCCTATGGAAGATCCTATCGCAATGCAACAGCGCATCATGCGTGAGAAGCGAGAGATGGCAAGGCAGCGCAGACTAGAAGAGGAAGCCAAAGAAGAGGCCGCAAAACAAGAGCGGATCAGATTGAAGCTTGAAGCTATGGGCCCACCTCCATCAGAAAAGAAAGACTCTACGTCTGCGTTAGAATCTGCCAAACAAACCACTGTAGCTCCATCGCCACCAAAACCTCCACTTCCCGAGCCGAGCGGGGAGCCCAAACAGTATGGAATGATGAAGGTTCATCCTCCTGAGCCAGTGAAGAAATTGGTTCCATCAGGTGAGAGGCCTGATGTCAAGACAGGCATTACCGGTCCTCAAAGCCACCAGATATCATCTCCCCGAGAATCGAAGTTTGAAGCAGCTAGAACCTCCATGCCCCCTTCCATCAATGGTGTTCATTCGTCGACTGAAATGTCGGCTGTTCAGATGCCAGAGTCCCAGCAAGACGCATCCGGTGACCGAAATTTAACATGGAAAGGGCCGATGCCAACAACTAGTTCTTATTCGTCATGGTCTGGTACGAAAATTGGTGCTCACCCCTCTGTTGGGAGCCTGTGGGGACCGCCAAATAACGATAAAGCGTTGGGCAACGGCACCTTTGATAAAAACCTCGCTGGATTCCCCTCAAGGGACATTTCGTCTCATGGTCCCCTTATGCTGTCCGATCAACCTCCCATCGGCCCGCCGCAGCACAGTGCGGAAAGAATCAATGCTTCCGAACGTACTAATCAACATTTACATGGAGTTCCGAAGAGCATAGCTGATAATGGTTCTTCATTGTCTCCTTTGCCCTCCCCAGAACAGCGCCCCGGCCGTTTAGCTGGTGCTGACAGCCTGAAACCGATTTCTCGCCCTGGGCCTATTGCGCCTCCTAATACATATTCCCAGGGCCAAAGATGGCAACAAAACCAATTTCCTCGACGTTCCGAAGAAACTGCTCCTTGGAATAATTTCCATCTAGCCGCGAGAAAAGCCGAGCTAGAAGAAAACGAGCGATTCCACCGGGAGCTCCAGGCTCGGCGCGAGGAAGAAGCCAGATCCGGAATCAAGCCGGCATTACAGGTCACATTTGATGAAACTTGGCGACAAGTAAAAACCGATGAGGCTGGTCAGCGTAACGTTGTCTCAGTCAATAAGACAACCGAAAAGTCAGCACCTCTTTCCCCTCTACCCGGTCTCGAACCCATTGATGGCCTACCCTTCTCAGATCCGAACGCCAAGGTTGGGACAACCGCCCGGGGTTCCCGTTTCTTTCCCCATGGATCCGACCAAACCAAACGACCTTCGGATCGAGATAATGTTGAGCCTCGTAGCCCCTCCCCACCGCCTCCTGAGGAGGTATCAAGCCATCCCGCATTTACTACTGACTCTCCACGACCACTGGTGCATTTACCGGCTCCGAAACCACGAGTGAGGCTTCCACCGCGCAGTTCACCTCCTCCAGCTGCTCCTCCTGCAACATTCGCCTCCATGGTTGCCTCTGGTCCACCTCCTCCTCGTGGTTCTCAACCGATCGCTAGCACTGCAACTTGGCAAGATCGTTTCAATGGATTATTTGGCAAAAAGACCTCACAGCCTCCGCATGTGAGAAGGACTGTTCTCGCTGTTGCATCGGCAACGAAAGAGCCGCTTGAAGTTCTGCCGGACACCTTATCGGCGTCTGTATCGCTGCCTCAATTTGACGATGTTGAATCAACTCGGGACGCGGGTAAAGTAGCATCAAAGGAAGTAGAAGACGAGGAGGCTATCTTTGAGGATCGCGAGGCCGGATCTCTGCCGGTTGTAAAAGTCCCACATATGGCACCCAAAGCAGCTTGGCAGCCAGCATTGCCTCCTTCCCATCAACGCCTCCGTTCACGGTTCCAAAGACCTGTCCAAGTTCAGAGTATTGAGCCTTACATTTTTAGTTCACCCGACCGGAACAACCCTGGTGGTGTCACTATCATTATTCACTTGCCAGGGACTGAAATCTTAAAGACTCTCACAATGCCCGGCAAGGCTGGTGTCAGCAGCGGAAACAATCAGACACGCCATCGTTCACATAATTTCAAACATCGCAGAGGTGCGAAATCGCGAGAAGGTTCTGGGCCAAGTTCTGGGCCGTACCATACATCTCAACCTCCAAAAAAGATGTCATCTCCCACCTCTGGACCCTCGCGATCGCATTCTGGGCATGGAAATTGGGCATCCCGAGTGGCTGGTACTGCAGTTTGAAGAGCGTATCCCCCAGCTGGAATTATTCGATCCTAAATCTAAGTTTATCACACTGACTTGGTTAATGTCTTCTCCATATCTAATGAAGAGCAGCAAGTCTTTCGGGGGAAATCGTTGGCCACGGTCTCATGGTTTGGCGCTTTAACTAATTCTCGTATACCTTCTTTCTTTTCCCCTCGCGCCCTGTATCCTTATGTCTTACCAATTGTCTCCGAACATGCAATCCTTCCAACAGTCGCTATGTATTCACTCTTGAACTTGGCACAATTGTGTTAAGTTTCTACAAGTTTTACAACTGGTGATTACTCCATGCTTTCCATATCAAACCTCCTATTACCAACTGTAATCATTGCTTTTATCCGTTCCAAGTTATTCTGCATTGTGTGGGCGTTATTGTGCTCACCGCCAGCTGGGCGGCTTCCTGACGACAAAGCTGATGCTGGGGTCTGTGATATTATCAACAACTTCCTGCTATCAGTTGCACAATTGCGTTCTACGTGGGATGTCTTGTAATGCCAGTCACGTTTTGGGACTCCAATGGGATTGATGGATTGATTGATATCAGAAGGCCCTTGGTTTTATTTTGCTGTCATGAAGAAATGAACGCAATTGCTCCAGTGTATTAGCTGCTTGATAGTTGAAATCATTTATAATTACTGCATATTCCTTGCCATTTGATGGGCTTCGACAGTGATTGGAAAATGTCGCAATTTTGGAATAACTGTTATTGGAGGTCCATAATTTGAAAGACTAATATGTTACAGCGCTTGAGAAGAAGAATCCAAAAAGACCGAAAGGTATGATGTTGGGTATTAAAGGAGCTTAGCGCCAGCGCAATGCATATTTCAAAGGACATCCATCGACATCCATCGCTATAAGAAAATGACGCAGAGTAAAAAACAGGATCATAGAGAAGAAAACTCGTAACGAATATCGTAGATTCATCAACGTCGGGGAATTCTACCAATTCCACGTCCGGCTTGAGGCAGTGAAAACTGGTGGTTTCCACTGAAGACGCGAGGAATCGATTTTTCGGGATCCCTTGGCCTGTTCTTTTGCTAAACGCTTGTTACGTTGCTCGATGATTGCATCGGTGAGGACAATTATCCAGTTTCCTTTCTGCGTAGAGTATCAGCATAAGATCTGGGTTGTGAGAGATCGGTTTGCGAATGTATGGTAGCACTTACATTGTATTTGAGGAGGTTTAGTACCACCAAGGTCTCATGAACATCCTTCTCTGTCATGCCACTTAAACTTGCCAATTCACTCTCGCTAATGGCATCCCGACCGGGTTCCAGGAGAAGTTCAACTAGCGTTTCTCTCCAGTATTGCCGGTAGCCGAGTAGGCCCAGGTCACTCAGTGGTTTCTCAGGAGAGCCTAATTTGCCTTCCCGTTTGCTAAGCTCGTAACTAAATGCAATGAGCAGTCGACCGTATCCACGACGTTGATACTGTGGAAGCGTAAGGATACATGCCACATTGTAGCCCTCGGCTGATTCTTTCTCCTTGGAGAAATATCCGACGAGGTGGCAGCCCTGGGCATCGCGTGTAGTCATGCAGTAGAAAAGAAAAGGATCAACATCATAGTAGAGGGTCTTGTGGTCCAGGAATAACTTGCTCAGCAAGCACAAGTTTCGACACCATGTTCGCTGTCGACGGCCATCCACTTCAAAAAAAGATACATAATCATCTCGATAAATCTCGTTGCCTGGTGGATGGACGAGAGTACATTTAGATCGGTGTCTTTCAAAAGCACGTTGATCATCGAAATAACTGAGACAGAATTCATCGATGTAGACCATGTCCGCGTCGCTGAAGGAAGTCGGATATGGTGAAAAGTACCACGGCTCTATTTCATATTTTCCCATCTGGATTCGATTCAGGTTTCGCACACGATGGATTTCCGTGGGGTTCTGTGTCATACTCCCACCCGTCCTCAGCTTCTCGATTTCCTCTTGCCGAACAGCTTCCTCGGCGGCTTTTTCTGCCTCTTCCCTGATTGCTGCCTTGGCTTCAGCTTCGGCAACATCAACCATCTCCACATCTTCAGAGTCCACCTCCAGTTGAGGAGTACCTCCAGCAGAGACGCCTTCGCTGGGCAGCTGGGGAATACTTATCGGAGTACCATCTTCAGCGTTTTCCTTGCCACTACTGGCCTTGGACAGCTTGGATTGTTTACTGATATTGAGATTCTTTCCTGCTAAAAGATCTGGAGTTGAAGATACATCTCGACTTGCTTGTCTTGCCCGCTTCAGTGAATTCTTGGGCTGAGCCTTTGTTGCGGCGGCGCCGCTAACTTTCTTCTTCTCTGGTTTCTCGGGCAGAGGCCATTCTACTTCTTTCGTTAAGTCAATCCGCGATGCAGGGATCCATTCTGCAACTCATAGTCAGTGATAAGGATTGCACAAGCAGCCAGCTTCGAGATATATGCATTCTGTACGAACCGTCAAGACGCTTGTTGAAGTCGACATAATGTACGCTGTCGTCATGGTCAGTATCTCGCAGAAGATCAACAGGGCAGCGGAGTACGTACTAGAAGGCGGGCCCATCTTTCCGCTGTCTCATGGACAGGATCTCTGCTTTCCGATAGTCGCCATCCTGGCAAAACCAACCAGTTAGCGCCAGCGAGCCCAGTAGATGTCACGTGAAGCGGTGCTGGGCTGACGGTCACCCGCAGCGAAAAGATTCTCCTCACCTTTTCGACAAACGCCTTAACACCGATCCTGGGCCAAGAGAATCAGTAAAGGATGATGATAATTCCAGGTAACCAGCAAGTCCCTATTTGAGGAGGGGGGAGAGAAGTTACCTTAGCGTATTCAAGGTGGCAAGGCTCCTTTCAACAGGATCTGGCGTGCTGGGTGCCTCTTGCGAGGGATCTCTGACGCCCATCATATTTGTCAGGCTGATTTCTACGTAAAACCAACAAAATCTGAGATGGAAGATGCTGTTAAAGTGGATTTTGTGATGGATTTTTTTTGGCTCTTCTGTGGATGGAACTTCGTGAGGACTTTTTTGATTTTGCTTTGCTTGCTGCTGGTTGGCGGTTGGGTTTTTGACTTCTCATTTGCCACTCACCAATCGAGACGGCATCATCCGCTGGATTGTACCATTGCTTCACCACTTGCCGCACGGAATCACCAAAAGGACTTGTTAGGCACCAAACAATAGTATTTCTGATTATAGTCACGCCTAGAATACATTTTGCTACCTGCTGAGAGTAAGCACGCCCAATTGCATATGTATAATCATGGTTGCATCCCGAATACTCTGTTGTTATACACGCCTATAGTTAATGCCACCCATTAATACTGCCAGCTTCAAGAGAATCCAACTCCTCCTTGCGCTGCCTGTATACCTCTTGAGCTTCGCGCTCCCGTCTGGAAACAAAAGTGACTTCCTCACGAAGGCTCTCCACCCGCCCCCGAACAGCGGACTCCTCTGCAATCTGCAGCGTCCTGAATGAATCTAGATCAAACTTAGCCTTCTGCAGCGCCTCATTTGCTTCCAAGATCTTATTTCTCAATGTCTTTGCCCTAGCCTGATATCCACCGTAGTGCAGCGCAACTTTTTTCTCTAATTTATTACCCTGTTCAGCAGTTTCTATCAAGGCATTCTGCACCCTGTCAAATGCCGCAGTCATATCCTTTTCCTGTTTCGCAAAGTCGTCCTCATCCGTGTAGATTGAAAGTCCCGGAAGCGCGGATGGGCACTCGTGTAGAGACGCCCACGAACTGTCAAAGTTATTCTGCCACTGCTGCAACACTTCCGATGATACCTCGGCAGCAATATCCTCTCTGGCTTTGGCCAAAAGGTCGTTACTAAAGAGCTGACGCTTAGGTGCTTTGCCCTCAATATGCATACCCTGCAATGGGAACTTGTGTGCATCGTGCGCAATAATGATCGCCATCTCCCGTGCAACCATTTGCTTTACTGGATCTTCAACTTCTTCAACTTGTTTCATCAAGGCTGCGATGTCTAGTGTCCGTGGTCGAGGAAGGCCACGTTGATAAACTTGAGTCTGGCGCTTGAATTTCTCCTTCGCCGCTTCTTCAGCGGCGGCTTTATTCCTCTTGTCCCGCTCGGCGGCATCCTCTTCAGTAAGAGTATCCGTCATGATCGGTTCTGGTTGCTCTGACGGCAATTCTTCAAGTTCCCATTCCGTCTCCTTCGGTTTAGGAAGTGAACCAAGTTGCTGGCGGAGTTGCCTCCGTATAAAGTTTTCCTGGATCTTCATCTCTTTTGGAGTACTCGCCACAGGGAGACCAGTGTCTTTATTAATCATGAAATTATCCCGGGGCGTGCGTAAGGGAGTTGCCCCCGGACGTGCCTGCAGAGGAGTACCTCCGATAGTACCAGCGCCACCCTGACGGAAAGGAGTTGCCATGGGATTTGGCGTGACCATCTGGTGCTTTCGTGGTGCAATGCCTTCAAATCCAGTGGAACCGCCGCCTTCAAGAAGAGGTGCGTTCTCTCCACCGAGGAGAGATGACTGTGTCTCAGTCAGAGCCTTAATGTTTCGGATCTCATTTGCTATTCGATCTTCCTCGGGAGGAGCCCTTGGTGTTCGAATCGGGGTACCACCAATAATACTCGAATAATTGGCGATAAGACCTCGTGTCCCTTCATTATCATCATCTCCGGCCATTCGACTGGCCCTCTCCCCGGCCATACCCATTTTCACAATCTCCTCTAGCTCGCCCTCGCTAACCTGAGGTGAAGGGAGGACTAGCGCCCGGCGCTTGCTGCTTTGTTCTGCTTCCCGGATACGCTGCATCTGACCGGCTTTTGCAGCCGCTGCAAAAGCAGCAGACGATCCAGTTTTGTCGTTCTTCTGCCGTTTTTTGTCTTGTTCTTCGTCTTGGTCTCCTTTTCTCTTATTCGCTAGCTGCTGTTTTCTTGGGTCGAACATCTCCCTTTGTCGTTCATTTCGTGCCTGCTCCTCGGTGGTATTGTAAAAACCAGGTGCGGGCTTTTTCTCGAACGGAATGTCTGCGTTATAATCCATCTGCCCCTTTTTCGTCGTAACAACCTTGATATTGATTCCGGCATTTTTAAGTTCTCGTCGCTTCTGTAGAACGGCCAAACGTCGTGATTCTTCCAACTGTCGCTCTCTAGCTTTGCGTTTCGCTTTCTTGCCTTGAGTGTTGGCAAGGCGGGCACGAGCCTCGCTAAGCATTTCCTTTTCATCTTCATCAAGGTCGATGGTGTCGGGTCGAGCCGGCTTGGATTCCGGATCAGGATCTAGTTCTCCTGGTCTACATATCCAGTCAGCACCATTGGCAGGGCGTAATACGGGAAAATGATTGGATTGCAACGTACCGTAGTCTTCTAACATCGTCGGCGCTGGGAGCTGCAGTTTCGCCGCCAGCAGGGCCACCCAAACCTAGCTCATCAGATTCTCTAGCCTCCGCTTCGTCCAAGAGTTTCTGATATCTCTCCAGACATTGCGTAGCAGTTCTTCCGACAATGGGCGCTATCGTTCTCCATTGGGTGGGCATCAATTTTGCCAGATGAAGTAATTTCTCATCTTCCTCCTTCGACCACTCGACTTTGCGAATAGCGGGGTCCAGCCATTCCGACCAACGGGCTTTGCACTGCTTCGGCGTCTTGCGCGCAAGAAGTGATGATACTCGAGCCCACTGGTTCAATCCATACTTGGAGACCGCGACTTTGACGATCTCATCCTCGATGTTAGTCCTATGGCACCAAGGAATGTCAGTAAACCGTACAGGCCACGCAGCAGTCAACAGCAATGGACGAGCACACATACCAAACGCCTCCCTTGACGACAGGCATCTTGATGGCTTTCGACGTATGTCGGCGAGAGCTGTATGGCTTGATGAGGTCGATTTGGGCGTCGCGTGAAGGGAGATGGCAAGCTGGCGTGTGTGTTATCTTCTGGGTGTCTTGGCAGCAATCGCCACGCACCACTCACAGCCTTCACCCAAGTCAACTGGTGAACAAAAAATTGCGGGTGATGATACCGAATACCGAACTGAAACTGAAAAAAAAAAAAAAAAAAAAGAAAGAAAGGAAAAGAAAAGGAGCTGCAGCACAACTGAGCAGGGCATCAAGACGGTGGATTAAATAACAAACATGGCGACCAATATTGAAGCGCCACACCAATACAATCAACCCTCGAGAAAGGGTAAAAAGGCTTGGAGGAAGAATGTGGACGTGTCGGAGGTCCAGGAAGGCCTTCGACTGCTTCGGGAAGAAGAAATTCAAGGGTAGGTCGCTCTGAGCGTCGCTGGAAGTTGTCTATGGATTGCAGCTGATCCTAAGCCTTTTTTATAGCGGTGTTCTCGCAGAAAAGCCTTCAGGGGACCTATTCACAATCGATAAGCTCGGGTCAAACGAGATATCAAAAAGGCCTCCGAAAGCATCAAGACCGCTAAAAGCCGATGAGATTCTAGGCCTACGCTCTGCTATCAATGCTGTCGATAGCCGGAAACGCCCAAATCCCAAAGTCACGGATGGAATAGTCGAACCTAAAAGCAAGCGAACGAGAAGGGACTGGGTGACCAAGGAAGAATGGCTACGACTCAAAAAGGTCGCCGCAGAGGCAAACCCGCTAAACCAAGATGTCCAACAAGGTGCTTCCTACGACCCGTGGGGAGACAACCCAAGCGCACCTACACTCGAGGACAATCTCGATTTTATCCCAAAAACAAAGCCGAAAGTTGCGCCTGCAACACTAAAGCACCCACCGATCTCACTCGCAGCTAACGGCAAACCAATACCTTCTGTGAAAACACCCGATGCCGGAATAAGCTACAACCCCACCTTCGAAGATTGGGACAAGCTCTTGACAGAAGAAGGGAACAAGGAGGTAGAAGCGGAAAAGCAACGCTTACAAGAAGAAAAAGCGGAGCAAGAGAGACAGACTCGAATTGAAGCAGCCAAACACGAAAACGACGAGGCTAAATCTGACGATGAGAGTGCGTGGGAGGGATTCGAAAGCGAGTATGAGGCCCCTGAGTGGTTGAAGAAAAAGCGACCTGAGAGGAAAACGAAGGCCCAAAGAAATAAGATAAAACGGAGGAAAGAGGCAGAAAGAAAGGCAAAGTGGGAAGCGAAGATGAAGAAGAGAGAAGAGCAAGCGTCTCAAATCAAAGCTATTTTGAACGCTGTGAAAGAGAATGAGGAAGCCCGGAAGTTGAAAGAGAAGGAAGCTGAGTCCTCAGAAGAAGGGGATGACCGGGTTTTGCGGAAGAGGTCATTTGGCGGTAAACATCTGTAAGTTGCTCCAGGCCAGTTTTATGTCCCTCGTATCATGCTAATCGCAGTCGCAGAGTTCCTGAAAAACCCCTTGAAATAGTGCTTCCCGATGAACTACAGGATTCTCTTCGGCTTCTGAAGCCAGAAGGAAATCTGCTAGGTGATCGCTTTCGGAATTTGCTTGTACAAGGAAAACTCGAAACCCGGAAACCGGTCTCCCAGCCCAAAAAGGCAAAGAGAACGTATACCGAAAAATGGTCTCACAAAGACTTCAAAATCTAGTGCTGGGCACTACGGAAGCTTGAGTGCAATGATCTCTAGGTCGCTAAATAATTTAGTCAATGAATTCCCAATTTGTTTATTCTCTGTTGGAGTCTAAGGTAGCCCGTAACCTGCCGATATCGATGTAGAAGTCCATCTAACGTTTAACGCGACTAGCCTAGGTCCGGCCGACCTCCTCAATTTTTCGGACTTACAAAATTCCGTCGAAGACAAGGTTTGCACCGTTTGCATCTGCGGGAAACGCATTTCGCAAACCTCCCTCCGCAGAAGAGGAATATGACACACACGCTGGAAGTGCTGCAGGAGCAGACCGACCATGGAATTGTGACGGATATGCGAAAATGGATCTAAAAGATCTATCTAGCAACTGGAAGAAGCTCCAGGCGACCCTGAAGAAAAGCAGCACCTCAACGGTCTCGAAACGCAGCGCCAGCGAACAAGTCCGGCAGAATGGAGTGAAGCGGAGAAGGCAGTCATCTTCCCGACATACACACACAAATACCAGTATAGAAAAGCGGGAACGGGTGTTTAAGAAGCGAAAGATGTCCAGTGTTACTGCGGAAGTCGCTGATGGCGTGGAGAAGCTTGCAGTCGACGGAGATGCGAAGACCAAGGAACCTACAATACAGTTGACAGGGAACGGCATTGGCCGTGAGCGTATTAATGAAGGGCTGTCAGCTACGTAAGCCCCTCAGTCCCTTTATCACAGCAGCCTGACTTCGACATCCGTGACGCTAACCATCAGCAGTGCTGAAGCAGGAAAATACATAGCCATCGACTGCGAAATGGTGGGGGTCGGGCCAGATCCAGACCGCGAATCGGCGCTTGCACGCGTGAGCATAGTCAATTTCGCTGGAGATCAAGTCTATGATTCCTTCGTCCGAACCAAAGAGGAGGTAACAGATTGGCGCTCGAAAGTTAGCGGAATCACACCGGAGAGCATGGAGCATGCTAGAAGTTTTGAAGAAGTACAGAAAGATGTCGCGAGTTTACTGGATGGTCGTATTTTGATAGGCCACGCCGTGAAAAATGACCTAAACGCCCTGCTTCTGAGCCACCCAAAACATGATATCCGTGATACAAGTTTACATCCTCCGTACCGAAAAATCGCCGGGGGTGCTAAACCGCGACTGAAGATATTGGCGGCTGAATTGTTGGGGGTTCAAATACAAGGGGCAGCTCACTCAAGTGTTGAAGATGCTAGGGCAACAATGCTGCTGTTTCAGAGGGATAAGGAATCGTTTGAGAGGGAGAATGCGAAGAGATGGCCTGTCCGTGTGCGGAAGGATACTGATAAGGATGGGGCTGGTACCCCGAAAACGAAGAAACCAAAGAAGAAGCGAAAGAAACGGTAATCGGCATTTACAAATCTCAAACCCTCCTCTTTGCAAGTGCATCTACGGAGTATCGAGCGAGAAAACGCGATACAGTCCGATTGCACATCGCGCCGTAGGCTAGACCGATTACATAATAAATTCACTTTAGCCAGCGCACGCGTCCAACGCGTCGCGAACCGACGAACATAAATCAGACAGACAATTTCCAGTTAATAGATCTCATTTAAACTAATACCATCCGAGAGTGCTCCGTACATTCATCAAATAGAAGGACACTGATGCTCATGATATATCTTTTGTAAAAACTCGTCTTTTAGCTTCTAAACCTCCCTGCAAAAAACGCACCACGCGAGAAATATCCAAGCGAGTAACCCTAGTTTCTCTAAACAAAACCAGCATCAGGACCGTTAAAGAAGCGGACAATAAGCCCTTGCGAGTATCAGACCAAAAGGATGTTTGTCCTAAGACCATCAGACGAATCCAAAACTCCTCTCCCTACCGCCCAGCCAAATATCCTCCCCTGCAAAATCCATCACGACGGTCCTACGGAGGTCTCTCAAAGGCATTGGAGCCCAATAACGGATGCGGACAATCCAGGTAGGCACTTTCTATTATTCTCTGAGAGGCCTTTGTGTGGCCCTTGTCCTTGTGAATACGTGTCTATGACCATACAAGGCGGGCATATAATACTTTGGAAGACGGGCGCTGTAGGACAAAAGTCTGCGCCCCTGACGATAAAAACAAGCCTGGGCGAATGATGTCGGCTAAATCACTATTCTCCCAGAACTAGCAACTACATATTTTCGTGGTCGGAAACTTCGCGGCCGGCGAATTGCACTTCCAGAAGGGTATCATGGTATGTCGATAGCTCCGGGCTTGCTTTGGAAGCACAGACGGGCATGGCCCCATCAAGTATTAACACTAGAAATCCAGGAGTCGTCGCCTCTCCAACAGAAATGACTCTAAAGCAACCTAAGAAAGATACGTCGCGCGGCTCGTCGAGACCTGACAACCCCGAATGCAACAGAAACACCAATAATGACAGTGATAACGATGGTAACGATGGTAACGATGTTGACGAAGGTGATGATGATGATGATGTTCAACCTTCTCCAACAATTCTTGAAGCCCAGGGAACATTTTCGAATCTTATTGTCTGGGATCATGACAAAGTACCTTCTACGGATGATGTTTTCATGAAGGGAATAGGCGAGTGGATACGGTTTGCTGAAGCGGTACGTCGTTTTCCTCAATCTCAGGTGATCCTTTCCAATGATCTCATGCCTAACGATTAATCACTCCGCTTCCTTTACGATTTGTAGATGCATTCGGATATCAATCCAATAGATTCGGAGAAAACATCCTAAAACACGAGATGAGCGTATAACCCGTGGACTATGAATGATACCCTATTTCAATCTAGAATAATAATCAACTCCAGTGTCTATATAAATACAATGACATTATAATTTAAGTTTAGGATATATATATTAATCCTGACGGAAAGAGAGGGTCAATTCATTGGCCATAGCGTCTTGGTCGCCCTAGACCAAGACATTCAGCCATGCGGAAGAAGATATCAACGGAATTATAGACGCCTGTTTTCATAGGTACCGGTCAGCAAATCTTAGAGGAAAATAAACACAATACTCCAGGGGGCAGAATGGACAACATACCTCCAAATTTCTCCTGGCACGGTCCCATCGCGAAGACTGGCACGTCAGTCAAGGAATGAACGCCCTGACCATCGGCCACAGGCAAAGTTCCATTGGTAACGAAACCAGAAACAGCATCTTTATAGTTCACATAATAATCATCCGAACCCTTCGGGAGCTCAATGGCAGGTACTCTTGGACCATCCTTATGGACCTGGAAGTTTTCCCGACGGTCTGGATTGGCAGTGACGCCTTGATAGAGGGTGTATCGCGGATCCCACTGGGCGGGGAAATGTACGCCCTCGGTGTAGTGGAGAGACGCATCGCTCTGCTCAGTATACTGCGATAATCCAGAGTTGAAGTATGTTCCAACGGCGTTGCGTTTCTCGCGATCGGTTTCCTTCTCATTCAGGTATTTGGTGTCAACAGAACCCATGACATCAAAGCCATGCCCATGGTCAGCAGTGACGATGATAAGAGTGTCATCAAGTTCGCCGAGGGCACGGAGTTTATTGACAGTCGCCTTGATGGTGTCGTCGAGTTCGAGGAGTTCTCCAAGGGCGCGATCGTAGTCCAGAGCATGCATCTGCTTATCAATACTGGCGGCTTCGGACATGAGGAACCAGCCCTTCTTGCCTTTGCGTGAGCGGTTATGCAGGATATCGATTGCCTTAAGAGTCATTTCCTTCAATCCGGGCTGGTCAGTGGCATCCTTGTCAGAGCCATCAGGATGATTATGTTGATTGAGCAAATTGTTCCTGTACACATTCCGATCGAGCCATTTCGCCATGACACCAACCGAGAACACACCTAGAGCCTTAGTGTTGTTAGGAGCTTGGGCAAGGGAAGTAGCGTTCCAGCTGACGCTGTATCCACGCTCTTTAAAGAGCTTGTAGTAATCCTGGCCTTTGTATGAACTCCTTCCAGGCAGGAAATTTTCGGCACCACCACCAAAGAGAACATCAGGCCCATCCCATTCTGTCCAAGAGTAATTGGTTAACCCTTGGTAGTAAGAGTCAATCACATGTTCGTATTGGCCTCGATCGCGAGTATGAGCAGCCAGTGCCGCAGGTGTAGCATCGGCTAAAGAGCCAAGCTTAGCAAAATGCCTTCACTATCCGGGAAAAGATATGACTTACATAAATGTGCAGTGGACACGATACCGACACCAGCGTCAGGATATATTCTATGGAAGATTTCCGCAATAGTCTCGACCTTTGGATCATCAAACGGATCTTTCGACGAATCAACATAGACGCCCAGCGCGTTTACCGTGGTCTTATGGCCGGTATACAGAGCTGTGGCAGAATTTGCGGAGTCCGTGATGAAGGAGTCCATGGAGTGAGTCATCTGGTGGCCCAGCACTGGGAATTTATCCATCTGCATTGTTGTCTGATACTTTCCATTTACGGAGCGGTGGGCAATCAGGCGTGCAGCGGTGATCATGTTCGTGGTCATTCCATCGCCAATGAACAGGACCACATTCTTGGCCCTCCTGAATATGGACAGATCTTTCACCGTCCAAGTAGCAGTGGTCTTCATGCCATTGTAGTAGGTTAAAGTAGCTTCGTATTCTCCGGGTTGGTACAAGGCAACTCTACGATACACTTTCGAGGCAACGCGAACTAGCGAGGGCTTCTTTGCATCTTTGGCGAAAAGATCTACGGGCACAATGTGAGCTGGGGGTTCGTCCACAGAAAAGTCACAGCAAATTGACCTTCAAAATGACTTACCTTCGTACCAGGAGAAGTTCCAGGTCTCTAGCTCTGGTTCCTTGACCTTGAAAAAATCTGTAGCCTTTTTGGGTTTGCTTCCGCGACGTTTGCGGGCGACGGTGAAGGTGAAGTTCGGGTCAGGTTCCCCAGCACGCGCCTCGGAACCGTTGACAGGGGAGTGGACCTCCAGTCGAATATCGAAATACTGCCCGGGGAGGAATTCGGCCCTATCACAAATTCATCAGACATCAGCAGCTCTTTTAGAGGAGACAGGCGGTGGACATTCGTACTGGTCCGGTGGGAAGATGCAACCCAGGCCAGGACAGCCACCCAGGCGTTGGAATGTCTGAGTTAGACCGGATGCGGAGAAAAGGGCAATACCCGCAACCAACGAAAGCTTCATGGTTACGACGACAGCAGCAGAGCCGACCTGCTCGCGAGTCAAGGAGACGGGATGCCTCTTTTGAAATGTGAAGACGAGGACAGACTCAGGTGGCAGGAATTCAGCTCTCTTTAAAACTGTTTCGTATCTAACTATTCGCGGGAGTGCAACCAATGCCGGGTATCCATGGATCCTGACCGAGATCGTGTCCAGGCGGGACCGTTCGCGTAGACGCCATACAGGTGATTGTGTACATACGAAAGGCCGCGAGCCAAAAACGAAGATTCCCTCCACATTGTTTTCCAGAGCCCAAAATGGCCAATGATCGCCCTTGCGAAGGCCATGCTCCAACAGCACGTGGAAGATTGGCAGCTGGTAGCCCCAGCTTGGTGAGCAGATGGCCAGCCGGCGTGAGAAGCGGTTCTGCCGTCGGATCTCCTCAAGAGTTTCCTGCCGGGCTCTGGAAACCGACAGATTGGGGCGTGTTCATGTGCCCGTTGGTTCTCTCCATTGCACAAGGATGCACCAGCGACCAGCTTTGTGTCAATTACCGAGCTGTATTCGAATTGTATTTGTATTTGAATTGGGAGAACTCAAAATACTTTGGCTGGGCACAAATCACATGAAACGAGCTGGTATTATTGGTTGACTACCCCATTACTCAGCTCGCGCTGATCAGATTAGTGCGGTACCTGGACTTTTTTTTCTTAACTGACCAATCACAATTCATAGTTTCACATGGCCGGTGTTGATCCGGATAGCTCGAATAAGCTTATTTTGTACCTGGTACGGAGTACATTCACCCAAAACCGGACGTCACCCCTTGTACTCCGTTAAGGATGTGTGTATATACATAGGCGTGTGGAAAGGAGATCACCCCCTGGATAATTTTCCATGGCGAAATCGTCTGCAAGGAATTGAAATGCGGCGTGGGGTGATTCCTGGTACACAGCCATCCCTGGAAATGGCCGGCGAGAATTGCAATGCCACCATGCCCAGTAGCTGGCACGCAGAGAGACACGTGCTGGTGGCTTTTGGTCGACGAAGAACCTTATTCGAGGGCTCACTTTTTCCTTTCTGTTGGTCAAGGAACTCCTCCGTGGGCGGGCCGAACTCGATCTCCATTTTGGGCTTCCCCACTCTCCTTGGCGGCGCCGTGCTCTTCGATGAATCGGCTTGGGTTATCAGAGCATGTATCCACGCCCGGCCATTAAAAAATCCCCCCCCCCCGGGGAACCGCGGAGGACTTCTGCCTCAGAGGGCATATTTGCCATGGATGAATGGTAGTTCGGAGGTTTCGGTTGAAATTAAACCTGCCGAGAAGCAAATTCATCAATATGAACGCGATCGACCCTAAGCAGAGCAATAAAGTCAAAAGCGTCGAGGGCGCGGAAGCACTACTTTCTCTTCGTCGCCCTTTTTTTTTTTTTTTTTTTTTCTCAGCGACGCGGAGCTCCACCATTGGACATGTAATCATGTTGACTTCATCAAACATATCCAAGCGATTCTTCTGCGTTGAACGTATTTGTAATTGCAAGCAGCCAGGGAAAACGCTTTGTGTAGTTTCACCCTGCAGCAGATGATAGATATCCGCTGGTTGCCCATAGGTAACTAACAAGTTAGTTAGTTAGTCAGCACCCCAGCTTAGGCTTTCCGTCACTTCGAGACGCTGGGTAGCAGGTCAAGAAGACCGTTTAGGGACAGAAGGAAAAATGTCAGGCAAATCTGAGGCTGAAAGCTTGATTCCAAGGTTCAGGATCGAAAGACTCCTCAATCAAGGTTAGCAAAAAGAGGCGCTGCACGTCTGTGCAATGTCTTTTAGAGACACGGGATGGTGCACCAAACTACCAGCAGAAGGCCCCGCGACGTCTCCTCCCGTAGCTACATGATAAAATGGCACGCTGACCATGAATCTGATATCCAACAGACCAAAATGACCGCCGGATTTCAATTTTAGGCTCTATTGATGACCAGCCTGGCGTCCTGATCATCGAGAGAGCAGCCTTCGTTGCAGATATCGGCTCCCTCAAGGCGTTCCATGCGGCATTGGGCAATGTCACAAACCTGGGCGCGAACGACATTTACCGCTGGTATATGGCCTCTTCAGGCCAAAACCACGTCAATCCACCAGACCTTAAGCTTAACCTGATATGGCCTTGTACCGAGCAACACGTTCTAAAATACTCTGCCCAGAACGTTCGGATGGTCACGGAGACCCCGGAAATATATCAAAAATATGTTAGGCCCTATATGCAGGAGAAACGGGGCAACGGTCGCCTGAACTGGGTCTTCAACATCATTGAAGGACGCAAGGAGCAGGAAGATGTGCTTTACCGGGAATCCGATCCTGAAGAGGGATTCCTACTTTTACCCGATCTTAACTGGGACAGGAAGACTATTGGCACATTACGCTTGCTGGCTCTAGTAGAGAGGAGAGATATCTGGAGCATGAGAGACTTGAGAAAATCTCATGTCGTTTGGTTGAAGCAAATGCGCCAGAAGCTTCTCGAGGCAGTTGTTAAAGTGTACCCTGAGCTCGACACCGATCAGCTCAAGCTTTACATTCATTGTAAGTGGCGCGATGCCTATCCTCTTCAGCTTACTGGCCGAAGGCCACTTCTCCTTAAATTCTTAATCTAACCTTGCGAGCCTCGTATAGACCACCCGACTTACTATCACTTACACATTCATGTTGTGAATGTCATGCTTGAAGCCGGAACCACCCAGTCGACAGGGAAGGCCTTTGGGTTAGAAAACCTGATTTCTCAATTAGATGCAATGGCAGGAGATGCAGACGCAAGCATGGCAGACGTGGCCGTCTCCTTTTTCCTTGGAGAATCGAGCGAGTTATGGACGAGCATCTTTGGGCCTTTGAAACGAGGCGAAACGCCGAATTCTGGGCATTGACACCGCATCGCCTCTAATACCACCAGTCTTTAAGTGATTCAAGTGAACTCTTTGTTTTATAGAGATACCATTTCATAGAATGAGAAACAATTGCACTCGACGTTAGTGGGCGAGGTTGCCTGGAGCGGCCTTGGATGCGGGGACGATTTTGCTGAGTTTGCACTATGACGCATGCTCCCCGCCATAAATAAATGCTCATCAAAGTGCTGCCTCCGGGAGCTGTCAGAACATCAACAACAAGCCGAAGAAACCCTAGAGGAAGGTCTAGCGTGGCAGATAATCTATAGAATCTTTGATTGTTATTCCTACAAAAATGGCAGACAATCCAGACTCTACAAAAGCATTCGTACCCCTCGGTAAAGTCCTCCACAACTCGTCCCGCGCCCATATCACATCTGCCCTTCAGGAGGAACAAGACCAAACCCGACGGAAACACCTTGCTAATCCTTAAAAAAATAACACCAGAAAACAACCCGGAGGTGATGTCCCACCTCGTCCACCAACTCGGTCTCTCCCCCGCTCTCGGTTTCGCCGACGTTTTTAGCATCGACGACCCAGAGCTTATCGCTTTCGTCCCCCGTCCCTCCCACGCGCTACTCCTCGTCTTCCCCATCTCTCCCGCCTATGAATCCGCGCGCATAGCCGAAGACTCCTCCAAATCCGAATATACTGGCTCGGGCCCCAACGAACCCGTGACGTGGTTCAAACAAACTATCCGCAACGCATGCGGTCTCATCGGCCTCCTGCATGCAGTCTCCAACGGCGAACCGCGAAAAAACGTCACCCAGGGATCTGATCTTGAAACGCTCCTGCGCGATGCAGAGCCGTTGGATCCGATCAAGAGGGCAGATTTGTTGTATGAGAGCTCTGCGTTGGAGAGTGCGCATGCGGATGCTGCGAGGAGGGGGGATACGGAGGCCCCACAGGCGGATGCGAATGTGGATTTACACTTTGTGTGTTTTGTAAAAGGTGATGACGGTCGATTGTGGGAGTTGGATGGGCGGAGAAAAGGTCCGTTGGATAGGGGAATGTTAGAGGAGGGAGAGGACATGTTGAGTGAGAAGGCCTTGAAAGCTGGGGTGAGAAAGTTTTTGGAGTCGGAGGCGGCTGGTGGTGCGGGTGATTTGAGGTTCAGTCTTGTCAGTCTGGGACCGGCATTTGACTAATTGTGTGCTTTGCAAATACTATGGTTTTGATTAACCACCCTGGTCCTATTTGGCTCTGGGAATGATGCGGATAAGCTATGTATTATCAAAAGGATTAGTTATACCACGTACTATTACGGGGATTTTCTCGATTGAAACGATGTTTCAGGAAACCTATGGGTATCTAGCATCCTATCATTCACACCACCAACGCCGAAAACATTGTTCCATTCTAAACAGGCTCAGTGGCTCCGGCATTTGTCCACCACCCATCCCAATTGAATCGCAGTACCTCATCACCACAGGACCACCAACCCGCCGTAAGATTTCGAGCAAAGACCTCGAGAGCATTGTACTCTTTCATATATCTTTGCTCACCATCCGCATCCCGCGAGGTGAAGAAAAGTTGCTCTACCATTTCCTTGAGATTCGGTTTCCGAGAGTGAACATCTGGCACAGCGGCGATGACTCTCCGTCTCAGTATATGATTCAGTTTCCCATCACTACTGGGCAGGCGTTGCCTCCCTAGAATCAACACCTCGTACGGCAGTCTCCACAGCGCACGAACAGGCGAAACTGGGTAACCACTGGTCGTCGTCTTGATCCAAACCCATTCCTCAAAGGGTTGCAGCTGGGCTGCCTTGAGCGCTTGACGAGCAGCAGAGCGAGATTTATAGTTATTTGTCGTCCAGATCGCGGCAATCCCTCCCGAGGGGTCGAGTTGGGCTTTTAAAATCCGGTTTATCAGCCTTTGAAGAACAGAGAATGTTGGTATTGTCTTGTAGTGAGCCGAACGGCTAACAGAGCGGTTGGGCCAAGGAGGGTCCATGATGACGAAGTCAAATTTTCTGTCCGATGGAAGGAATGAAAGAAGGCTGGGAAAGGAGACTGGTTGAGTTGACATGTGTGTAAGACAAAAAGCTGCCTTTGGTGGGATTGTGAACGTTATCAAACCTGCCGGTTCGACAGTCGGCTTCCCCTGGCCCCACAGGTTGGTGGCGCTGGATGTCTGCTGTGCATTTCGAATGCGTAAAAGCGCAGGAGCAGAAGATGTATTCTTCACGGTCATGCTCCGAATAGAGTTCAAGGTGGGAATTATATTCAAGCCAGGCGATAATATTAACGGGGGTACATCCTCAGAGAATGAGGCATCTTCCCGGGTGCTCCGATGTCCATCACTCAAACTAAACCCCTTTAACGCATACAATTTGCCCAAGTTTGGCTCTCCGACTTGACGATCTTGGTCCTGTTTCCTCCCAGAAATGTCCTGCAGGTAGCCAGGCCGCATCGCTCGCGGGAGGCACCATCCTTGAGTGTCATGATTAGCACGTAGTTCCCGTAACGCGTCATTAACGAGGTCTGCCAATTTGTTACGATATTCCAGTTCAACAGCCGGAATGCGCTCCATCACTCTGAGCATTGCTTTCGTGCCCTTTGGTTCGGTTGAAGGGCTCGAATAACGATGTTCCAATGGTGGACAAGAGAAAATTGACGGCATGCCTATCTCCTTTGAATCATCTCCAGTGTACCTGGATTCTTGCTGGGCCAGACTAATAGAAGCCGGAATGTCTATTAGATATACAGTGTGATCCTCGTTACAATAGAGGATGGCTGAAGGGCTCCCGCTCTTTGCAGGTAAAGAGCATGCCATTTTCACCAGATGGCAATGTAGGAAGATTGGAATTGATCAAACTCAAGCTTTCATTCATATCGATATTGCTATATCCACTAATTGTAGAGCCGATAATGATGATTTTGTTCTCACACCATATTCTTACGTCCGACATCATGGAGCTAGACGTGTGATGCAAACAATACAAATAACTAGTTGGTGCAAATAGGTGCAAACAGTAACCAAATCGAGACTACCCAGTTGCACATAACCCATAATTATCTCCCCCCCCTATTGAATCAGATGAACTTGGTCTTGATACTCCCAGCCTTTCATTCAGTTTCAAAAAGATACAAAGTAACTGCGCACTATCAACCCTTGAATATAAAACAAACCATAATCAGCATATGCCATGAAACAACAGAGTCCCTACCATACCCTAAGTAGTACGGCGCCATAAGCGAAAAGTATGCAATCAAATAGACAATAATATAATTTATCCGGTTTTTTCTTTAAATGCAAACTGCCCCTTGACGGGCTGATTTGAGGGAGGGAAAAAAAAAAGAAAATAGCATAGGTAAGAGGGATCACAAAGCAAACACATACACATGCATACATACATACATTTGACAAGAACAAAAGATGAATAAAACAGAAGCAGAAATGAAAGGAAAGTGGAGGGAAGCAGATATGAGATTCACACAAATTTGAAATCTTCAAATAGTTTAGAGAGTCCTGCTTGCTTTTTGACCAAAAGTAGAAACACACCAGGTCAAACAAGTGAAGAGAATGAGATTCAAAAAAGCAACGTAGTGTTAAGGATGGTCCCGTGCCCGCCGGTGGCAGAAGTAAAACTGAATCAAAGAAAAGTCCAGGTATGTGCTGCATGACATGTGTGTTCTAATGGTCCTGGCTTTGTTTACTTGCTGGATGACCTGCAAGTTATGCACGACCATGTGCTAGCACATATGGCTTGTATGCAATATCCCACGCTTTCAAAACTCCAGGTGGTGTCAAGAATCCCCTGTAGGATAAAGGAAGCATCAGGAGGAAGTAAACAAGTTCATAAAACAAGGTGAAGAAGAAAAAGAATATGGCTGGTTTAGATACTTTTTGTTCTGTTTAGAGCCCTTCGCTTTCATTCCCTTCCTCCCTTTCAGTGATAAAAAAAAGGGGCAAAGGAATTGTGACCACCTTAAAGAGGGGGGGAGGGAGGAAATAGGAAACAGATCTCAGACAAATAGAAACCGGTCGAATATTCCAAACAGAGGACTATGCTTTATCTCTATATGTCAATTAGTCGATGATCTTAGCCGATTACAAGACAAAAGATAAACTTACACGTCCTCGGCGGCCACCGGGAGCAGACCCCTGCGAAGGCTGGGGCTGCTGATAGAAAGGTTGTGGGTAGCCATACAGCTGACCAGCGCCCATAACCGGAGTTGTGATAGGGCTGAATTGCGAAGGTGCAGCAAATGCAGGCTGCTGCATCATCGGATTGGTGCTAAGCTGCGCCGGTGGTCCGGGAATCGGAGAACTGTGGGTTTGCATGGTACGGAATGCATCTATCGAAGTAGCGTTTGTTGGATAACCACCAAAACCGTTCGTTGGCATTCCCGAGTAGAATGCTCCCTGTGGAGACATTCCACGGGATTGAGCAGCCAGGAAATTTTGGTATTGCACTTGTGGGTTAAGAGAGTTGACAGGGTCGGCACCAAAACCGGGGGCATTCATGGCATTGAAGTTACCAAGTGGAACCTGAGTGTTTATTCCACCGAGCGAGTAGGGATCGAAGGGAAGAAGGTTGTGGTCGGATGAAACGGATCGGGTCATGTTGGATGGAGAGTTGAAAGATTGAGGAGGTATATTGGGCGGGAACTGTCCGCTGTATTGCCTTTCGGGCTGAGGTGGAACATTTGCGGCGGGCTGCCTGGGAGGCTGTCTTCCTTGGTTCTTTTCTTGGCCATTTCCGTGATCCCTACCGTGATGAGTATCCCGCGATGGTCCATTTCGTGAAGAAAGTCCAACTTCGTCCATCAGGCGCTTATATCCTTGGCTTGGCGAAGTTTTTAGCTTCGTGAGGACTTTCGCCACGGTTTTTACCACTTCAGCACGCATGCTCTCTTCGAAGAAAGGTGTGGTGAGAACCTTAAAGATCAATGTCGCACCGGACACCTGGTCCTTGAGGATGTTCTCTAGAGTTTCATCTCCTGAGCTGAAGAATAATGCTTTCAGGATAATCTCTCTCGCTTCTGGCTCATTCCTTTGGTTCACAATTTTCAATACAGTCAGATAGGCTACCTTGTGCGTACAGAGATGCACCAAGTGTGGAACGAGTCGAGGAGCGAGCACAGTGCGGCGATGAGGGAAATTGCAAGTATCCAGGAACCATGTCAACAGCAGAGCCCCATTGGCATTAGTTGCCAACTGGACGCTATGAAGAGCAATGGCAGACGCAAGCATTCGTTGCTGGTCCTTCGTGGCATGGTGGCTTTCTAGACACGCTCTCATCGCTCTTGCGCCGAATCTTCCCTGTGCAATTTCCCACATCCGACTAAGCATCGTCTCAAAAATGAAGTCATTGTAGGGCGGCCCGAAGCGAAGACAGCATTGCAGGACATAATTTCCGTACTGGTCAAGGAATAGTGGAACAGTGTATGGTCGTAGGCTTTCGACGATCATTTGTTTTTGGGTGTGAGTCTTCGCTACATCTATAATCTTCTGTGCAGCCCAGGTGCCGTTCTTATGTACGCCGATTTCTGCAAGATGAGGGGCGATCGGAACGAGCATCTCTTCCTTGGTGGCTTCAGAACAGAACTCAAACAGCTTCTGCACCACAGTATTACCCAAGTAATCTGAGGATAGTTCTGCGATTTCAGGAAGCATGGTTTTAGCGGTCTCCTCAATCTCTTGGACACTGCATGCTCCATTGTCAATGCGTTTTCGGATGTCTCTGAGTTTGGGAGCATCGAAAGTTCGAGTTTGGCTCGGCTCGGGGATTGGAGCAATCTCGTCATTGAAAGACTGATAGCTGATTGCTCTCTGGATATTCTGGCTAATATGCATGCATTCGTTCTCTGACGCACCGAATTCTGTTACAATTTGGGCCATCTCTGGAAGCAATTTGGGTAGCTCGGGGATCTTCGGAGAATTGACACGCCCTTCTTCCTTGCCAGAGCCTGCTGCACCGTCACCTTGCTGGCCGGAAGCATTTGGATCCGGTGTTGGAGACGACTGAGAATCGCTGTGACCAGGAGTCTCAGAAGCTGGTGTCACCGGGACCTTTGCATAACCAATACGGACAGGGCCGGCACCGGGAAAGATTTCCTTGCCATTCAAAAGCGACTTGGCTTGGATCGCGCTCTCTACGCGCTCGAAGTTGACGAATCCACAATTTTTGTGGGTCAGCACTCTAGTCGACTCAATTTTGCCATACATGCTGAAAATAGCATCCAAAGAGGTAACAGTTGTCGAGACGGGTATGCTCCCAATCCAAAGCGCCCGGGTTGGTCCTTCGAGATTGTTTTCCT